AAGACACACTTTTTTCCTCCTGAAAAGTAAGGGGAAATGTCTGTGCATCTTATGAAGCGAATGCTGCACGGAGGAGGGGCGTGTGAATGGCTCCTGTCCACTTTGCTGCTTTAAAGTCAGCCACAGAGGAGGGAAGGTAGCGGAGCCATGGCTCCCGTCCGTCCCTCCTCCGCGGCTCGCTTTAAAGCAGCAAAGCGGACAGGAGTCGCCTGCTTTGCTGCTTTAAATAGTTTAGTACAGCATTTGATTCAGAACAATTTTTTTTCGTGTTTTCCTCCTCTAAAAACTAGGTGCGTCTTATGGTCAGGTGTGTCTTATGGAGTGCAAAATATGGTATTTATGTTGCCAGTTATCTAAGTACCTTTCAGTACCACCTCCAGTTCTGTTTATATACTTCATATCCACATATGCATGGCAGTCATGAGTATCAGGACAATTTTGGGCATCTCTCTTTTTTAAAAAAAAAATATTAATTTTTATTAAATTTTTCATTTTAACAATCCATTCAAATCACATTAAATATTCCAAATTATACAAATACATATCATATAGTCCGAATATACTGCCAAATTATAATTTTTTATTGGGACTTCCCATGCTTCAAGTTCGGGGGGGGGGCTCTGATCATCTTATATCTCTACTGTCTTGAGTTTCCAATAATTCCTTTAAATCTTCCTGTTGTTAACCTTCCTTCTTTCATGGCCTCTGAGCTGTTTCCACAGGCGAGTTGAAGTAAGCAATGATGTCCTTCTGTGTGAATTTTGTATGCTTGACTCTCCTATTGTTACAGCTTGTAAGCCTATTGTTGCAGTATATCCTCACACACTGGTGTTTATGCCGAATCAATCCAAAAGTCATTTCGCTGCTGGCAGACGCCATCTTCTCTCAGTTCTGATGAAATCAAATCTAGGCATTTGCTCATTAATTTTCCCAGACCGGTTGCATCAAACATTAGCCTTTCCAGGGGAGATTTGCCAAATCAGACTTTTGGGGCATCTCTCAAGCCTACATTCCAACATGTTCGCACTCCTGTCTGAGCAATGTTTACACTGGCTTGGTCCATGTCCACAGAATGGAAGATGGCTGGATCCCCTTGGGATGTGCTCTGCAAAGAACTGGCTTCAGGCACCAGATTCCTTTAGCAGACCAACTCTGCGTTACAAAGATGCCTACAAACATAACATGACAGTTGATAACATCAACCCTGCAGTGTGGGAATTCCTTGCAGATGACCGCGGTGCCTGGAGACAGATAGTCAGGTTGTGCATCCCTAGCAGTGACCAAGAAGAGGAATGACCGCCGGGAGGAGTGCAGAGAGAAGAAATGCCATGGTGCATCTGCAGCAGCACAAATGCCTTCATCTGCCCCAGCTGTCTCTCCTCTATCTGTCTCTACAGCCACAGCAGCCACTGTAACTTCCCAACAATTTGATTCCACCCTCAAAGGCGCACTCCTCCCTTGTCTCCCAAGATAGACAGGTGACAACAACAATACATTTGTTGTTGTTTAGTCATATAGTCGTGTCCAACTCTTTGTGACCCCCATGGAGCAGAGCACGCCAGGCACTCCTGTCTTCCACTGCCTCCCGCAGTTGGGTCAAATTCATGCTGGTAGCTTCGAGAACACTGTCCCACCATCTCGTCCTCTGTCGTCCCCTTCTCCTTGTGCCTTCCATCTTTCCCAACATCAGGGTCTTTTCCAGAGAGTCTTCTCTTCTCATGAGGGGGCCAAAGTCTTGGAGCCTCTGCTTCACGATCTGTTCTTCCAGTGAGCACTCAGGGCTGATTTCCTTCAGAATGGAGAGGTTTGATCTTCTTGCAGTCCATGGGACTCTCAAGAGTCTCCTCCAGCACCAGAATTCAAAAGCATCAATTCTTCGGCGATCAGCCTTCTTGATGGTCCAGCTCTCACTTATGGTCCAGCTTTCACTTCCATACTGGGAAAACCATAGCTTTAACTATACGGATCTTTGTTGGCAAGGTGATGTCTCTACTTTTTAATACATACAACATATGTATTAATACATAATAAATACAACAATACATACGTAGCATAAATTTAAGAGCCCAGTTCTCACCTTGGACTTACTCCCAGGTAGGTATTTCTAGGGTTGTAGACTAAATCATTTAAGAATAAACAAGCATGTTAGTTGTGATATATATATATATTTAATGGTGATGTTTTAATGTAGAATTGGCAGTCATTTCTCATGATCTCTTAATAACTAGCAACTTCATAATTACTGTATTTCCAGAGGAGAACCAATCAGCAGATTATTCCCCACTGGGTGTCCATTGGCAGTCTGAATGGGGAAGCAATTGAGCAGCAGGTGGTTCAGAAATGTTGCCATGCTGCCAATAATGTGGTAGGCTGTGCTGCTGTGGCTTTGACACTGCATAGCAAGCTAGCAAAGCAACAGCTGTATGAAAAGAATACTGCGCAGCCTGGACAGAGTCAACTGCGACTCTTTTGCTTGTCTTCACAAAGATTCTATTAAGCAACAACTTGTAACTAAGGAAGTTACATGTAAATACTTGTAAATAAGGAAGAATTGAGAATTCCTGTGGTACCTCGACCTGTAGCAGATGCCTCCTTGTACAGTGGTACCTTGGGTTACAGACGCTTCAGGTTACAGACTCCGCTGACCCAGAAATAGTACCTCGGGTTAAGCACTTTGCTTCAAGCTGAGAACAGAAATCGCGCGGTGGCGGGAGGCCCCATTAGCTAAAGCGGTACCTCAGGTTAAGAACAGTTTCAGGTTAAGAACGGACCTCCAGAACGAATTAAGTTCTTAACCAGAGGTACCACTGTATGTGAAGCTGCCATCCTGAAATATATCAGTGTAACCCAGTTTTTTGATGTTGAGTTTTGAAGCTCAACATCAAAAAAACAAAGGTCATGGCCACTGGTCCCATCACCTCCTGGCAAATAGAAGGGGAAGAAATGGAGGCAGTGAGAGATTTTACTTTCTTGGGCTCCATGATCACTGCAGATGGTGACAGCAGCCACGAAATTAAAAGACGCCTGCTCCTTGGGAGAAAAGCAATGACAAACCTAGACAGCATCTTAAAAAGCAGAGACATCACCAAATTCTGGAACAAGAGGGAGACAGATTGAAATTGCAGAGTTTTGAAAAACTAAAAAATAAAGTGCGAGATTGGCTTCATTATTATCAGATAATGGAGGCATATAATTTGGACAAGAAAATTGGCTTCCAGGTGGAAAAATCAAAATTAGAAACAGAACTGTTAGAACCCAAAACGAAGATTTTGTCAAAGATGTATAACTTGCTGTTGAAATGGAATACTCAGGATGAAACGGTTAAATCTGCTATGATTAAATGGGCACAGGATGTTGGACATAACATAATGATGGCTGACTGGGAACAGTTATGGACCACAGGTATGAAGTTTACGGCATGTAATGCCTTAAGAGAGAATATTATGAAAATGATATATAGGTGGTACATGACACCAGTCAAGCTTGCAAAAATCTATCATTTGCCCAATAATAAATGTTGGAAATGTAAAGAAACTGAAGGTACATTCTTTCACCTTTGGTGGACGTGCCCAAGGATTAAGGCTTTCTGGGAGATGATCTATAATGAAATGAAAAAGGTATTTAAATATACCTTCCTGAAGAAAACAAGAGGCCTTTCTCCTGGGCATAGTCGGCCAATTGGTGCCAAAGAAGGACAGAACTTTCTTTATGTATGCTACAACAGCAGCAAGAATACTTATTGCAAAGTATTGGAAGACACAAGATTTACCTACTCTGGAAGAATGGCAGATGAAGGTGATGGACTATATGGAACTGGCGGAAATGACTGGCAGAATCCGAGACCAGGGAGAAGAGTCGGTGGAAGAAGACTGGAAGAAATTTAAAGACTATTTACAGAAATATTGCAAAATTAATGAATGTTAGAATGATGTCAGAATGAAATTAAGTGGTCTTAGCAGCAATGTTATAAAGGTGTATGCTCAAATGGATTGTTAATAGATGAGAATCTAAAGTTATAATATGTTAAGTTAAAGGATTAAGATAAAAACAAAGAGGGAAAGGAACTGCTGAATTAACTAATAGAACTGGAATACAAAAAAGGGAGGTGCGAGGAAGTCAGGGAAGTAAGGAAATGAAATGTAAGTTATGGAAAGATCGATGTGGTTTTTTTTTATTAAGTGTTTTTTATCTTTTTTCTGTATTTTGTAATTTTTTCTTTTTTATTTCTTTTCTTTTTTCTTTTCTGTTTATTTATGTAATCTTTTCTTTGAAACTTTAATAAATATCATTTAAAAAAAAAAAAAAAGCAGAAACATCACCTTGCCAACAAAGGTCCGTATAGTAAACTGGTTTACTGGTTTTCCCAGTAGTGATGTACGGAAGTGAGAGCTGGACCATCAAGAAGGCTGATCGCCGAAGAATTGATGCTTTTGAATTCTGGTGCTGGAGGAGACTCTGGAGTCCCATGGACTGCAAGAAGATCAAACCTCTCCATTCAGAACGAAATCAGCCCTGAGTGCTCACTGGAAGGACAGATCCTGAAGCTGAGGCTCCAAGACTTTGGCCACCTCATGAGAAGAGAAGACTCCCTGGGAAAGACCCTGATGTTGGGAAAGATGGAGGGCACAAGGAGAAGGGGACGACAGAGGACGAGATGGTGGGACAGTGTTCTCGAAGCTACCAGCATGAGTTTGACCAAACTGTGGGAGGCAGTGGAAGACAGGAGTGCCTGGCATGCTCTGGTCCAGGGGGTCACGAAGAGTCGGACACGACTAAACAACTAAACAACAACAACAACAAAACAACTCTGAGAACCCTTGACAAGCTACACTTCCCCATATTCTTTGGGGGAAGCCATGACTGTTTGGTTTAAATGTATAGTTCAGGTGAGCAGCAGAAGCCAAATGAACGTAACCAGAACCCATTTGAATGAGTATCATAGAACTGTAGACTTGGAAATGACCCTGAGGGTCATCTAGTCCAACCCCCTGCTATGCAGCTGTCCCCTGCAGGGATTGTACCTGCAACCTTGGCATTATCAGTACCACGCTCTAACCAACTGAACACTGTGTCTACAAGTGTTAAAAATGGCTGAAAATACCACACACACACACACGGAAACATGAGAATGAACACAGAATTTGACATACAGTTGCATTTCTTCCTTTTCCCTTCTGTTCTTGTATTGTAAAAAAAAAAAAAAGGCAAAGGACCCCTGGACGGTTAAGTCCAGTCAAAGGTGACTATGGGGTTGCGGCGCTCATCTCGCTTTCAGGCTGAGGGAGCCGGTGTTTGTCCACAAACAGGTTTCTGGGTCATGTGGCCAGCAGGACTAAACCGCTTCTGGCACAACGGAACACCATGCCAGAAACCAGAGTGCGTGGAAATGCCATTTACCTTCCCACCACAGAGGTACCTATTTATCTACTTGCACTGGCGTGCTTTCGAAATGCTAGGTTGGCAGGAGCCGGGAAAGAGCGACAGGAGCTCGCTCCGTCGTGGGGATTTGAACCGCCGACCTTCCAATTGGCAAGTCCAAGAGGCTCTGTGGTCTAGACCACAACGCCACCTGCGTCCCTTATCATGTAGAGTTACTTTGTCATTAGTTGATGTGACAAAACACTGAATGTTAAAGGGGAAGTAAAACTGGGTACAGTGATACCTCGGGTTAAGAACTTAATTCGTTCCGGAGGTCCGTTCTTAACATGAAACTGTTCTTAACCTGAAGCACCACTTTAGCTAATGGGGCCTCCTGCTACCGCCGCACCGCCGGAGCACAATTTCTGTTCTCATCCTGAAGCAAAGTTCTTAATCCGAGGTAATATTTCTGGCTTAGCGGAGTCTGTAACCTGAAGCGTATGTAACCTGAAGCGTATGTAACCTGAGGTACCACTGTATTTGTGAAGTGATGGGCAATTTATCAAAGGGTATTGCGGTACTATAAACGTTTATATATTAAGATACAACGGAGACAGCCAATGCTGCCGCTGATGCTTTTTTCTTCTTCTTTATCCTAACATCTCTGCCTATGTTTAGAGAAAATGGCCGAGCTGCTTGTGAAGGCAGAGTTCACCTAGATGTATGGGGCTTGGTGGGAGCGCCATAGGCAGCTGTGGTTCACTGAAATCTTCATGGCTCCCGTTTCCTTTCCTAGCCTGGGAGAAGCATTAGAGCGAGATATTTAGACATCATAAATAATCATGTTCTATTTTAGCTGTTAAAATGCGGGGGGAAATGAATAATAGTAGCAGAAAACTGAATTTAAGAATCTCCCAGCGGTGCAATTGTAGCAGCAACTGATGAAGGGGAAATATAGATATTACAGCTGGGCGAACTGAGAGTATTTCTGGGCATTACACTCAACTTCAATTGAACTGCAACTGAAGATATACACTGACATATACAGTGAGGCTCAATGGAGTCTTTAGTCATGTTGCCTTGTCATGGAACAATTGAAGAGAGACCCCCCGGCCATTTCCCTGCACATACAGAATTGGTCCCTTGAGAACACTTTCCAGGATTTAGAACAACATAGTTCGAACTCCCTGGTGAAATTAGGAAATTAACTATCCAACAGACTAATAAACTTTGTTGCTATGGGGTTTCCCCCTGGAATTGAGCTTATAGTTGTTCAGCTGATGGGCTCACACATTGGAAGCTGACATTGACCCTCAGCCACTGCAGTCAACAAGTTTCAGCGATGCCAGCCACACCATTTGAAAAGCCCGTTTGTTGCTGAAACTAGTTTAAGGGCTTTCCCCATGGCTGCACTACCCTGCTGTCTGTCATTCTGCATTCTTAGAGAATATTGGGTCTCAGTGAAAAATAGAAGACCTGGTTCAGGACTCATAGACCAGGACTGCAATATCTCAAGGACCGCCTCCCCCCATATGAACCAACCCGGACCCTATGACCAACATCATCATCATCACTTGCATGAAAGTGGCCTCCCAATTTTTCTCACAGGCCCATAGAAGTTCAGCACAAACAGTTGGGCCTGGTGAGCATTTAAGGTCCCCAGCCCTAATCTGCAGGTTGCCATCTGATTGGATTTTATTCTGATCCTGATCTGATTTGAGGATGTATTTTAATTGATTGTCTGATTTTATGTTAATGTGTTATACATTTGATGTTAGCCGCTCTGAGCCCGGCTTCGGCTGGGGAGGGCGGGATATAAATAAAATTATTTATTATTTTTATTTTTATTATTATTTAAGTCCCTTCTTTGTGTGCCTCCTCTGCAAGAGGCCTGGAGGGTAGGATCATGAGAATGGGTCTTTTCTGTGGTGGCTCCCTGCTTGTGGAATGCTCTCCCCATGAAGGCTCACCTGGCGCCTTCATTGCATATCTTTAGGTGTCAGGCGAAAATGTCACTCTATAGCCAAGTCTTTGGCTGATGGGCATTCTATGTCCTTTAAAATGTGTTTGCAAGAGGGAGGGTATTGTTTCATTTTTGATTTTATTATGCATTTTGTGTTCTCATTTTGTATTTTTATGTTGCAAACCGCCCTGTGGTCATTTATTGTTTCATTTTCTCTTTTTGCAAATGCACAATGCTTAGAAATGATTAAGCAGTATAAAAACGTCTTAAAATAAAATAAGATGGTGTACACCACCCTGCAATAAAGTCTAGTCAGTGTTACCATCCAGGAGCTGGCAGTGAAGTTGCAAGCAGCAGTAGCAGGGGAAGGAACGATTAACCCTTTCCTTGTGGACTTGTTTTTTGCTGCTAAAATCACAGAGAGAGAGCAGGTTGATGTGTGTCATTCAAAATCCAGTAAGTCTATTGTTGGGGTGGCAGTATTCCCGTGGCAGTTGCTGCAAGACGTGGTTAGCATTGCAGAGGGCGAAAGGACGACGTGTGTTTGAGTGAGCAGCTGTCCTTTGGGATCCAGTGTCAAGGACCTGTGAGATGAGAAATGTCAAACCGGGATCCAAGCAGGGGCTGACTGGCAGTAACTGGGAGGGGCAGGTCATGTGCAGCATCACTGAGTAACTGATGAAGACTTTGGATAACTTAAACATGGCGGCTGTTGCATAGATAGATTGATTGATTGATTGATTGATTGATTGATTGATTGATTGAATAAGTAGCATGAGAAGGCAGAATCAAATATTAGCACAGAGAAGTTATCTTTATATCCATCCCTTTGTCACGATGAGTTTGTTCACAACCCTTCTTATGAGCAATGATGCACCAAGTAGCCCCTTGAATTCATCTCTAGCCGCTACTTTCGTTTCCATCTACTGTGTGAAGCTACTGTGAGTAGCTCTGTAACAAAGGTTGGGCTTGAAGGATCTCTTTGGGCACTTGCCATTTTATCTCCTAGTTTCAGGTGCGTTGATTCAGCCTTCACTTGGTCTACTTTCTTTTTTGTTGGAATCCCTGTGATCCAATGGCTTATTTAAAATAGATAAAGCAGAATGCAGACTCAGTATCTCCAAACAGTCAAAGCATGAGCTAGTAAGTACTGAGTGATACTGAGTGAATCAACTAGTTCAATTAAGGTTCAACTACTCCAGCCTTCTTTGCATGAATCCCACCAGGACAAGTTCCCCTCCCAACTGGAGAACGATCTAATTTCTTCTCCTCCACCCACCCACCGTTCTCGGTGACACTCACTAAATGCTTCTATGTGGTGCTCTGACATGACATCCACTGAGGTCCAGCTCCGAGGGCCTTCTGGCAGTTCCCTCGCTGTGAGAAGTGAGATTATGGGGAACCAGGCAGAGGGCCTTCTTGGCAGTGGCGCCCTCCCTGTGGAACACCCTCCCATCAGATGTCAAGGAGATACTGAACCACACAACTTTTAGAAGACATCTGAAGGCAGGTCCTGTATCGGGAAGTTTTTAATGTTTGATGTTTTAGTATGTATTAGAAGCCATCCAGAGTGGCTGCGGCAGATGGGTGGGGTATAAATAATAAAATTATTATTTATTATTATTACTTATCCCATGTAGGTATGGGCTGCATTTAACTGGTGCAAGGTTCACCAGTCTAGATTTCCATCCCAGAATCAGCACCACAACAAGACAGCGTGTGTGTCGATTATTTTATTTTCACCCTTTTTTCCTAACATTTTTACCCTTCTGTTGCATCCTTCACAGACACAGCTTCCCGGACATGGAATAGATTCCCAAAGAGAGGTTCCTAAGGGGCTGGAGACATGTTGTCATAGCACCAAAACCTTCCATTCCTCTCCTTAATTCCTGATGGCTGGATTTGTGTGTGCTCTCTTTTTCATGTTAGCCAGTCATATTCTCAGAACCTCTTGGAAGTGCCACAGCATTCAGAAACCCATTTTGCGGCCATTTGGAAGAGGGCCTTTATGGTGGTGGCACCCACCATGTGGAACAACCTTCCCTTGGAAATATGGAGTGAACTGACTGTTCTGTGCTTTCAGCATATCTGTTTGCTCAAGCATCTCTGGGCCATTTACATTGAATTGGCACAAATCACCAGCTATGGAGGATGCTCTGCTGAAGTGGATATTGTCTTGTTATGCATGTTTGTATTTTGGCTTTATGCTGTTTTAAATGTCATCTGTTGCTTTATGATTTCTGTACACCACTTTGCAATTTTCTAAACAGTATGGATAAGTGCTTTAAAATATATAAAGTGCATGTTATAAACTTAGACCTTATTACCAAGTGCTTGGTCAATTATAATACAGTGGTGCCTTGGTTCTTGAACGTAATCCATTCCGGAAGTCTGTTCGACTTCCGAAACGTTCGGAAACCAAGGCATGGCTTCCAATTGGCTGCAGGAGCTTCCTGCACTCAAGCAGAAGCCGCGTTGGACGTTCAGCTTCTGAAAAATGTTCAAAAACCAGAACACACACTTCTGGGTTTTCAGTGTTCGAGAGCCAATTTGTTTGTCAACTAAGCCGTTCAAGAACCAAGCTTCCACTGTATAGATATTAAAATCCAAATATTCAGCAATCTTCTCTCTTACAAATTATTTCAATTTAGAGGCTGCTCTTATTTCTTTGAAAGCAGTTGCCTTAACTGGTTTCCTGATTGCCCACCCCAACACCAGCTTTCCTGTACTTTTCAGACAAATGACTATGAATTTGACCTATCTGCTGGTTCATCCACCCAGTCATAGGAATCATAGGTACACTGTCAGTTCTCCTGTAATGTGAAATTAATAGGAGCTGCGCAACCGCACATCTGCTAACGCACAGCTCCCATTCTTCATGCAGAAGATTGTCTTGGAAGATAAAATATCATTTTAATGGCCTTTTCCAACCCTGTAAATTGCTCTGATCTGATGTTCTGTTACGAAGATAATACTGCTTTATGGCTGGAATGGTGGCACTGTGGGTTAAACCACAGAGCCTAGGACTTGCCGATCAGAGGGTCGGTGGTTCGAATCCCCGCAATGATGGGGTGAGCTCCCGTTGCTCGGTCCCTGCCATCCTAGCAGTTCGAAAGCAAGTCAAAGTGCAAGTAGATAAATAGGTACCGCTCCGGCGGGAAGGTAAACGGCGTTTCCGTGCGCTGCTCTGGTTTGCCAGAAGCGGGTTAGTCATGCTGGCCACATGACCCGGAAGCTGTACACCGGCTCCCTCGGCCAATAAAGCGAGATGAGTGCCACAACCCCAGAGTCGGCCACAACTGGACCTAATGGTCAGAGGTCCCTTTACCTTTTATGCCCAGAGAAGGTCAATTTGAATGGTATGAAACCCACCCAACCCTAGAGGTGTTTGACAGCTGTATTTAAAAGCTGTCTTTTAAAAAAATAAAAAGGGGAAGGGAGGATGAATTAAGTAAAACCATCCCAGCACTCTGGAACTGGAGGCCTGCATTATTTCCAGACAGACAAAACACAAAAGGAACAAAGGTTTATTTTGCATTAGTTATGTGCTTGGCACCTACAAAGAGAGTCCCCTGCAGAGGGCAAATCTTTATACATTTTCTTTCTTAATATATATTTTACATACCCATTTATTACCCTCTTTAATATTCATAATATTGATTCCCCTCCCTCCCCCACACGCTAGAGACATAAATACATTTATCTACAACACATCAAAACAAATCTCTATACTGCAATTTCTGTATTCTGTTGCTCGGCGTTTGGACTTCCACACGACTTTCAAACTTCTTAGCACGTGCTCAGCATCACTTGTTTGCTTACTTTTAAAAGAGCTGAAGGAAAAGTAAAACCAGAAGAGAACAGTACTTTAGAAAGAAAGAAAATTGGCCATGACTTGATGGTCCAATTGGCAAGCTGGACAGGGGATAAGAAGACTTTCCCCTGATGTTAATAACTAGCTTTCACCACTTCCCTGGTACATGCAAGATGCCTGGGCTTAGGCTGCATACTTTCACAGAACAGGCCTAGCCTCTTACAGAACTTGTCATTTGACATTATCACAGTCTGGAGACTTCCTTCCCTTCCAGTTGACTCCTCTGAGTGATATATATTTTAAGCATGCCTTGCTATGGCTTTGCTAATGTTACTTAGGCTATCAATAGCTCAAAGGCACTGAACGTACGTACAATTACCGTATTTTTCCGTGTATAAGACTTAAAAAATAGGCAAAAACTGGGTGTCGTCTTATACACAAATAGTGAATGCAGAGGGGGGGATGTGTGATTAATGGCAGCAGCAAGTAGGAGATTGGCAGCAGCGATTGGGTGGGTGATTGATGGCTGCAGCAAGGCCTGCTGGCGATTGGCTGTGGCTGTGGCAATTGGGCCGGCGATTGGCAGCCGTGGCAAGTGGGTGGGTGGACTGGTGGTGGTGGTGAGAGGGCAGACAACTGGCGGCTGCGGCAAGGTGTGCAATGGGCAGTGGCAGGCAGGCGAGTGATTGGCAGAAGTGACCCCCCCCCCAAAAAAGCTAAACAACTTAATTTCTTAATTTTGGGTTAAAAAAAATAGGAGCCGTCTTATACGTGGGGTTGTCTTATACACTGAAAAATACGGTAAACACCGATTCCCCTTACACAGCATTTTCAACACGGAATCCTGTGCAGCAGAGATCCTCCTCTTTTTTTGCTACCAACCATGTTTAACAGAAGCCTTTCCGTGCAAAGTTAAAGAAAACCCTTTTTAATGGTTTAAATCCTCCCTCGCCCTCTTTTCGATGGCATGCTTTCGTTAGGAAAATTATTGTCGTCTAGGGAGATTGAAAGGCCCTCAACAGCAAGAACACCAAAAAATAATTACTCAAGGAAGAGAATGCCCACTTCAAACACAATGTTCTTTTCCTACAGTGGGTGAGAGAAAGCCGTAGATTCAACTTAATGACTGTAGACGACAAGATAGGGAAAGATGGTGATGTTACAACAAGGACCTCTTACTGGAAGTGCAGATCTAGGGAACGAAGTCTTGTTGCTTGCAGCTGGGAAACAGAAGGAACAGCACACCCACACTGGACTTCCTCTGTTGTGAACAGTTCGCACCAAGTTCAGATAGTTAACGCATACACTATATAGGTCTCCCCACCCCACCCCAGGTTTTCTGCAAACAATGCCATTTTCTTTGTTTATTTTTTAAAAATCCATTAGAAACAGAAGCTACTCAGTTGCATGACGGTCTTGATTCCAGTCTGCTGCTATCAGGTTCTTTGGGATTTAGCTAAGGATGGCTTGTGTTTCCATTCATTGTTCACAAACAAGTCCTTTTTCAAAAGCTGAAAAGCAACAGGGATGAGATCTCCCATAGAAATGACGAGATCCTCGCTCACTGTCGACCAGGATGGTGACTCTAAGCACCAGTTAAACCATGTGCACTGACATTTGTGAAGAGGACCCTGGTACAGCCCCGTATTGTCTATTATCGCAAGCATTGGCTGGGGGTTGGCTGTTGCCGGGAGGGCTGATCACATGCATCCCATGATCCATTCCCGTCGACAGATATGGCCTCTCTCCAAAGGCCCCGTTGGAAGGCGAAGAGCAGAGTAAAGTGCTTTGGGTGTTGGCCAGTTTCTCGGGGCTTCCTGCCAACCTCGGAGAAGCTGGGAAATTGTATCCATACAAGTTGTAAGGGTTGTGAAGGGAAAAGGCGTTGTAGGAGCTCTGTTGCATGTGGCCGCCGCTAAACATATGTGAGGAAGATGAGGTGGAGGCAGGATTCCCAGCTTGCATGACATACTGGAACTGCGAAGTCGGGAATGACCCCAGCTGGCCACCGTAAGCTTCCATCTTGCCATTGCTGGGCAGCGAAGGAGGAGCTGGCATCCCTGAGATCAAAGATGGAGTCCGCTGAGGCATGAAGTTTTCAGAGGGCTGGGTGGCAGACGCACCACCACTCTGCAGCCGGTTGTATCCACTGTCGCCCAACCCTGGGTAGCTCTGCAGGGCGGCCATGTTGCTTCTTGCGCATGGAGGATAATCAGAGAGGTTTAGGTTGCACAGCTGACTCTCCCGGCAGCCGACATTGAAAGAGTTGGGAGCCAAGTGGAAGGCCGGCGGCGAGCATGATGGAGAGAGAAGGTGAGAGGATGCAGAAGGGGAAGGTGTCCCTGTGCTGGATGTGGTGGGAGAAGTTCCTGTGCTGCCCCCTGGAAAACAAAAGCGACAACAAACATTTCTGAGGCAGAATGCAGAACAACCACCAAGCATCAACATCATGAATAAGGTCCATGAATAATCATAGTTTAGAGGTCCCAGGCCCTAAGGAAGTCAGATTATCCTCCACCAGGGCCAGGGCCTTCTCAGTGGTGGCTCCAACCTGGTGGAATGCTCTGTACCATGAGACCAGGGCCCTGCAGGATTTAACCTCCTTCCGCAGGGCCTGTAAGACAGAGCTATTCCGCCTGGCTTTCAATTTGAACTGAATTTTGAACAATTAGCCTGATATTTTATTCCCCTTCCTTCCTTCCCTCCCCCTCCCCTGGGAAAGACAGGTTGGAGTCTTGCTCTCGAGCAACCACGCCAGCACCTGACAGGTTTGATGAGGCCCTAAGCTACTGAAGACAATGGGGCCCTTTATATGTCCAGCTTTCCTTTGTCAACAACAAATTGTAGCTGTTTTTTGTGTTGAATATATGCTATATGGCAATTTATGGACCTCATGGGTATCTAAAGCCATTTGCACTTGTTGCTATGCAACCAGTCCATGCAGAATGTAGGCACCCTATATATAGATGTGAGCAAACCAGTGATATTTTATGGAGCAGGCTAGCAGGCGGGCCCATTACTTACATCATAGGAGCCTACACAACACAAAACACTGTTGCTGTATGTAGGTTTTATATATTTTGGAAATGTAATCCAGTTTTTTTCCCTGTAATTTTTTTGGGGGGCCCCAAGAGAGTGGTGCCCTAAGCTATAGCTTGTTTAGCTTATACATAAATCCGGCACTGTTCTATCCTACTTTTGTTTACAGTCTCTGGGGTCTTTGCCAATTATGTGCTATCTGCAAGTGAATAACACCTTTGATTAACAATGGAACCCATGGTTGCTTCCTTGTCACTCACTTCTGGCTAGGGATGAGCAAGAAATCAATTTTGCTGTCACCAAAAGTTGAATTTACACTTTATGAAACAGTACAAGAACTAGGACACAGCCATCCTATGAAATTCGCCCTTATCTGACATTTGATATGCAGTTTGCCAACCAAAGTTTGTTTACAGTAATGCACATATTAAGATGTGCATCTACCTGCATATATTAGTTAAAATAACACTCACAAAAGTGCATTATATTAGGAGAAACTGCTTGTAAAAATGTTGCCCCTGAAGGACCAGGTGCGCAGCCTGGGAGTCATTTTGGACTCACAGCTGTCCATGGAGGCGCAGGTCAATTCTGTATCCAGGGCAGCTGTCTACCAACTCCACCTGGTACGCAGGCTGAGACCCTACCTGCCCGCAGACTGTCTCGCCAGAGTGGTGCATGCTCTAGTTATCTCCCACTTGGACTACTGCAATGCGCTCTACGTGGGGCTACCTTTGAAGGTGACTCGGAAACTACAACTAATCCAGAATGCGGCAGCTAGACTGGTGACTGGGGGCGGCTGCCGATACCACATAACACCGGTCTTGAAAGACCTACATTGACTCCCAGTACGTTTCCGAGCACAATTCAAAGTGTTGGTGCTGACCTTTAAAGCCCTAAACAGCCTCAGTCCAGTATACCTGAAGGAGCGTCTCCACCCCCATCGTTCTGCCCGAAAGCTGAGGTCCAGTGCCGAGGGCCTTCTGGCGGTTCCCTCACTGCGAGAAGCAAAGCTACAGGGAACCAGGAACTCGGTAGTGGCGCCCGCCCTGTGGAACGCCCTCCCATCAGATGTCAAAGCAATAAACAACTACCTGACATTCAGAAGACATCTTAAGGCAGCCATGTTCAGGGAAGTTTTTAACGTGTGATATTTTAGTGTATTTTTGGTTTCTATGGAAGCCGCCCAGAGTGGCTGGGGAAGCCCAGCCGGATGGGCGGGGTACAAATAATAAATTATTATTATTATTATTATTATTATTATTATTTACATTAGTCAAAACTGCATACAAAAATGTGCTTATTAGAAGAAATTCACACTAAAATGCTGGAGAATTTTCATAAGGATGTAAAAAGGAAAATTCATGAATTGCTCCAGAAATGTGAAGAACTGGATTTAAGATTAGAAAAACGGGAGAACGAGAAAACCAAATGGGCAAATTCTTCAACCCGCTACTTCTGACCTCGATGTAAAATGAAGCAGATGGGCGGAAACAGATGTAGTATTTTAAGCATGATGGGAATTTTGGACACATCTTTGCTGCCGTGAAAACAAATGCCATGAAGACAGTTAATGTGTTCTGAACTACTTCCACCACACTTATAAAGTGACATCTGTCTTCACGTTCCTTCTAGTTATCCCATATGACTTCCTCAAAAAAGAACATTGATATAACTTGTCATTTGACCAGTTCCCCATTGGCTTATTGCAATAAGGAGGCTTTGCGATGCATTCTCGCATTTCCAAGTTGAGTTTCTATTGAAGCTGCCCTCTGCAAGGGGGGGGAGTAAATCCGTCAGAAGGGAGCCCAGATTCTGACCACTTTGCAGTGGACCTGTATAGCATTCATATCTGTATGTTCATTATTTCTAATTTTGTAAAACAATAATTTTACAGCAGATAAGAAAAGGGACGGGGGAGATGACAAGGGAAGATAATGCAAATTCATTAGGCATAAACTTATATTAGTTTAACATCAATCTATATATAGCTGACACTGAAACTGCTCCCCCGAGGAATAGCCCCACTGATTCTATGTGACGGGTTCAAGTCTGGCTGGCAGACAGAAGTTCTGAATACTCTCCAGAAAGTGGGCTTTGCTCCTCAAGCCTCGGCCTGGGCCAAGCAAGATCTGTGGTCAGGCAAAGAATCATGGACTCAGAGAGACAACAGAACTGCTTGAGGCCCCCTGATTATGTAATCGTAGAAAATGAGGGGTATGTTGTGGCCCTGGCAGCATACCTCTGTTTTCTCGTATCAAGAAACATAAGAAGGACCTTTACTCTAGCCGGAAGCTGGGCCTTGCCCTCGCCGGTTTTGGAAGGAGCATTTGGGAAAGTCCCGTATGCTCAGAGACTTTGCGCCTGCCCATTAGGGGAAATAGGAGACCCCAAACATTTCTTTTTTAGATGTCCCTTTTATGACAAGGCACGCAGAGATACCATTGACCCCCAGCTGGTGAGGCTTGCTGACCTTCCGGATAAGTCTAAACTCAATTTTCTCCTCTTAGGCAAAGACCACAAGACGACCAGGATGGTCGCCAGATTCTGCACGCAGATTTGCAGGCTCAGACCACCCCCGAAACAAATTAGTTCGCTAGGAAAACAGTTGAAATTGGCCTCCAGGGTGTCAGGGCCAATTTGTATGGGAGCCCAAATTTTTAGGTCTTTATGTGTATATGCGCTTATCTTAGATTTTCATCTTTAAGCCGTTGTTGTACACTGCTTTACATGTATTTTTTGTCTTGTGAAAGCTGTCCCAGTTGTGCTTTTCGAGCTGGTCTTTGACTGTAATATTCACCGCACGCCCCGGATAGGATTCTACTACATGTTTTGTTAGTGACATGTCAATTTCCCCCCCAGCATATTGATGTTGTATCTGGCTTTTGACATAATGGCAGGGGGAAATTGGCTTCATAATGATGTTTGTTAAAAATATTTTGCAGATGACTCTGGCAGATCAAAGACATGGATGAGAACCAGATTACTGCACAGAGGTAAGTGAAATGTTTGCTGCCTCTAATAAAGTCTCCAGTATATTATCTTGCATACAATACCCAGCTAGCTTTCTATTCAAAACACTTGCACCTAAGATATTTCTAGTACCTCTGAATTTCTGAACCTTGTGACTTGTTGTCCTGTTAACCTGCCAAAAATAAAGAAGAAGAAGAGGAGGAGGAGGAGGAGGAGTTTGGATTTGATATCCCGCTGTATCACTACCCGAAGGAGTCTCAAAGCAGCTAACAATCTCCTTTCCCTTCCTCCCCCACAACAAACACTCTGTGAGGTGAGTGGGGCTGAGAGACTTCAAAGAAGTGTGACTAGCCCAAGGTCACCCAGCAGCTGCATGTGGAGGAGCGGAGAAGCGAACCCGGTTCACCAGATTACGAGTCCGCCACTCTTAACCACTACACCACGCGATTAAGCCCTGAAGAAGCAAATTGAAAATAGGAAATGACATGTCTGTTCAGGAGCATCAAACAATGATTCCATACTAAGGTGCTCTGTGAAGTGTTGGCCACAGATCATTTATTCAGTGAGCAAGGTATTCTGAAAGTTATAGGAAAGACTAAGAATTATTCATGGTGAAGGAAGGAGGAGAAACTTGAATCTGTTCACATTTTAATGTAAGTCAATGTAATTCACAGTACCTAAAACAATACTTGAACTGAAAAACAACTATCCAAGACTTTTTTCAGCTGGACTTGCCACAACTCAGTTCCAGCACCTCTCAGCTGGGTGCCATTGTAAGAAAACAAGGAAGGCATTCATGGTGAGTTCTGGCACCTCTTTTTCTAGAAAAATAGCCCTGCCGCCATCCTTCCACACTTCTCCAAATTTTGCGATGCAGTCTTCCAACCAAAAAATGCATACAAAAATGAACAGATGATGGAAAATAGCTTGTATTGTGCAAAATTGCATAGAAAAATGTGTATATTTGGGGAAATACGTACTAATATGCCGACTGGTTTTTCCACAAGGACTTGTTTTTAAAAATAAAAATAAAAATCACAAACTGATGTGGAAATGTAGCAAACCGAGCTTAATATTGGGGGGGGGGTGAGATGAGGAACTGAAAGAAACCAACATTTTCAGAATGGTCTACTGCATGGGGCATACACTCAAACCTCTGTTGCCTGTGTAAACAAGAGTTTGTGGGGTTCAGGGCTACTAGGCTGCTGGCTTTTTAACATTTCAAAACATGAAAATTCTATATGGCAGAAGGAAAGTAGAAGTACAAAAGAAAGAAGCATGTACACTAGGGAGGATGCTGTGTCTGATCATTGTCTACGTCAAGCCTGAGATCCAGGAAAGGGAACTTCACAATGGGGAGTCCCATTCTGGACAATGCTAGAGAACCTCTAAGAAGAGCAAAAGACAGAGTTTCCCCTGTCCTTCTGCACACCAGTGGAAGTGCAAGAAATTACACTGCAACCATCCATGCCTTTTCCTCTAACCTCATCAAACCCAGCAGGTGCAACCCCATGTGACCAGAGGAATCAGCAAGGTTCACAAAAGCAGTAGCTGATGCTTATCAGTTCCCTTCAGGCTGACATTCCTCCAGCAATTATCCACAGAATGCTGAGTATTGGATTTGGAAATTGCTGGCATTCAGCCCCCACATTTCCTGTACACACCGTCCATGGAATTTTCCACCAGATGATTACAGAAGGTCACAAATTGGAGCTATTACACATATAACCTGGGAATTATAAAACACTTGCGAAATACCCATCACTGTGACAGGCATATGTATGTGCAGAAGGAAGGCCAGCAATGTGCTTTGGAGAGTCAGAAGGGCAAAAGAATTAGACTTTGGCTAAAGATACTTGGCTCCAAGTCCTTGCTCGGCCCAGTATACCTCGACCCAGTATACCTGAAGGAGCATCTCCACCCCCATCATTCACTGAGGTCCAGCTCCAAGGGCCTTCTGGCGGTCCCCTCACTGCAAGAAGCGAAGTTACAGGGAACCAGGCAGAGGGCCTTCTCGGTAGTGGCACCCGCCCTGTGGAATGCCCTCTCAACAGATGTCAAGGAAATAACTATCTGACTTTTAGAAGTAATCTGAAGGCAGCCCTATTTAGGGAAGTTTTTAGATGTTTTATCGCTTTATTATTATTATTATTATTATTATTATTATTATTATTATTCTGTTGGGAGCTACCCAGAGTGGCTGGGGAAACGTAGCCAGATGGGTGGGGTATAAATAATAAATTATCATCATCATCATTATTGCTAAGTCCATGAAGCCCACAATGTAAACTTGAGCCAGCCATGGTTTTCTCAGCCTGAACTACCACCCAGGGTTGTTATGAGAATAAAATTTGGGCATGCCTTAAGGTGCGTTGATTTGGGCTCCTTGGAGGAAGAGCAGGATACAAATGTGACATATGAAGATCCCCTGCTGGAGGCAAAACTACCCAATGTCTTGGTCCTACTCCCATCGCAGTGTGAAAAGGGCTCAATGCACTCATGGATGACACAGCGCTGGAGAACTAAACCTGCTTGGCACAAGCTGAGAATTACCTGAGGATAGTAATTATTTGAATTCTGGTGCTGGAGGAGACTCTTGAGAGTCCCATGGACTGCAAGAAGATCAAACCGATCCATTCTGAAGGAAATCAGCCCTGAGCGCTCACTGGAAGGACAGATCGTGAAGCTGAGGCTCCAAGACTTTGGCCACCTCATGAGAAGAGAAGACTCCCTGGAAAAGACCCTGATGTTGGGAAAGATGGAGGGCGCAAGGAGAAGGGGACAACAGAGGACGAGATGGTTGGACAGTGTTCTCCAAGCTACCAGCATGAGTCTGACCAAACTACAGGAGGCAGTGGAAGACAGGAGTGCCTGACGTGCTCTGGTCCATGGGGTCACCAAGAGTCAGACACGACTAAATGACTAAACAACAACAAGTAATTATTCTCAATCATTTGTGCTTCAAAGTGAAGGATTCTAAACTAGTTGCTATAAATTTGTAAGGCTGGGGCTGGGGCTAATGAGTTTTGGCAAACCCTCTGCCCATAGAGCCATTGCTAGCATCTCCTATCTGTGTTGTTTGAGAAAAGGAATTGTGTCTAGGAGCCAGCAACAGCTTCTGCACTCTTGGAAAATGACATAGTACAGAGTTACTGGAACTCTTCTCCCTCCCTAAATGTTCTTCATTAAAGTCAAGAAGCAGAGCCAAATATTTTTAATAATGAGAATCTGGATCGGGTTCAACTTGGTTTCAAAAATACCCCCAAAACATTTAAAGTGTTTAATAGTTTTTTGGCTCTCTCCAGTCCACAACATCTCATTGCCATGTGCATTTAATTAATCTCAAACCTGCTTCGTCCCAAGCTCAGTGTCGGTGACGTCATTCGTAAAGAGTTCTGCTCTTCCAGAGCCCTTATGTTTTGAAGTGTATCTCTATTATTTTGGCTGCTTTTTTTTTTTAAGCTGGGTAGAGCCTGGTTATTGGTTTAAACCAGCTAGATGCTTCTTTTTCTGTAAAACAAACAGGATTCTACAGAAGGTCTTTTGCACCTGTCATTTTCCTGATCTCTTTCGGCCAGAGAGATGACAGCTTTCTTAGGAGAAAGACGCGATGTCCTGGTCTGGCAAAATGCCACTTGCTTGCTCAGTAATGTTATTGATGAGCAAGCCTTTAAAAATCAAACAAGCAGTCACACACAGAACATGATGTGCTGTTATACACAAGTTAAAACCATTGCTCAGGGAACCTCAGCGTTCCTTGGAAGGTTTTTAGGGATGCCATAATGAGAATATCATCAAGGAGCTGATTTTACAATCCATTTTAGTACAGGCGGCATTATTTAGACACGTCCAACTGATGAGCAATCGCCAACGTGGAGGTCCTTTTTGACCTGGAAGAAGACAGAATGGGGGCAGAACAGGGGGTGGAACGGGGCTGAAATGGAACCCCTCTGCAAAATAGTCCTCTCCTGTAGTCATAGGGTAGGCAAACTGGCATCTTAGAAACAAGGTTCTGGTTGTGCTTAGGGCTTAGAAATACTAAGTATTACTTGGTTCTGATTTAGTCCCCTTCTGCAACGACCTTTAATCTATTATCAAATTCCCTGGTTGTCCCAAATTTATCTCTTTGTTTCAAAAAGTGTGAACAATAAAATCATTTTAAAAAATAATAATAGACAAGCTATGCCCACAGGTCACTTGCTCACCACTATCATGCTTCCCTTCCTGTGTGCAGCCACTAGAGTTTATTAGATACATTCTACATAAGTCACATTCTTATTTCACACAGAGAAACTGTGAGGTCCAAGAAATTTTGGCCTTGCTCTGGAAAATCCAAGAATGTCCAGAATCCTCTGCAGTGCTCTGCAGGGTGAGGTTCCACAGTAAGGTACAAGGTAAAGGTAAAGGACCCCTGGATGGTTAAGGCTAGTCAAAGGCGACTATGGGGTTGTGGGGCTCATCTCGCTTTCAGGCTGAGGGAGCCGGCATTTGTCCACAGACAACTTTCCAGGTCATGTGTCCAGCATGACTAAACCGCTTCTGGCGCAACAAAACACCGTGATGGAAACCAGAGCGCACAGAAATGCCGTTTACCTTCCCGCCGCAGTGGTACCTATTTATCTACTTGCACTGGCATGCTTTCGAACTGCTAGGTTGATAGGAGCTGGGACAGAGCAACGGGAGCTCACTCTGTCACAGGGATTTGCACCGCCAACCTGCTGATCGGCAAGCCCAAGAGGCTCAGTGGTTTAGACCACAGCGTCACCCGCGTCCCTTTTGGTTCCACAGTATATGGGCCACAACAGATGCATTCGGTCATAGGTGCCAACTCCCTGGGGCCCTGGGTGCCCAGGCACCCACAAAATTTCCCATGAAGGAGCTGGACACCCAAAAATTTAGGCACCAGGACCATGCACTGGGACTAAGCCTGCATTCAGTCCAACTCTTATTCATCCTGAGGAAAAACCTATATTCTGGCATCTGTCCTTGGTAAATCACTGCCCAAATTTTCTCCCCATTTTGCCTTCAGAGGAGATATTAGGATGCCTTTCAAAATGTCTGTTAATATAACCAGGGAAGATTTTCAGATTTTTAGCCCTCCCCCCACCCCCAGTAACAGATCTGAGTAAGGGGACACATTTATTGTGGGTGGAGCTAACTTTTACTCAGAGAAAACCTATTGAAATTAGTAGTCCTAATTTAGTCATGGTCACTGATTTCAGTGGGTATAATCTGAGTAGGCCTAGCATTAATTTTCAGCCCTTTTGTAGTTACCTGTGTTTGCAGGTAACTACAAAAACATGAGAGTCCCATGGACTGCAAGAAGATCAAACCTCTCCATTCTTAAGGAAATCAGCCCTGAGTGCTCACTGGAAGGACAGATCGTGAAGCTGAGGCTCCAATACTTTGGCCACCTCAGGAGAAGAGAAGACTCCCTGGAGGGCCCAAGGAGAAGGGAACGACAGAGGACGAGATGGTGGGACAGTGTTCTCGAAGCTACCAGCATGAGTTTGACCAAACTGCGGGAGGTAGTGGAAGACAGGAGTGCCTGGCGTGCTCTGGTCCATGGGGTCACGAAGAGTCGGACACGACTAGATGACTAAACAACAAAAAAAACAAACACATGGATGGACAGGAGCAGCACTCCCTGTGAAGGAACAGCAGTGGCGTTTTGGGGTCCTCCTAGAACTGATCCTGGAGTCTCTTCCACCAAAGGGACTTTCTAATGTGTAACACAAATAGCTTTACTGTAGCCAGTTTTAATACGTATCACTTCTTACGCTTTGCTGCTACAGTAATAGGCTTTAGGGGTTTCACAGTTGTTGCTTTTAAAGTGGCAGTTGTGTTTCTTACTGTTTCAAGAAACTGTTTGCTGAATCTTACAATTACTTTGTCTGCCACTCTGAGCACTTCTAGAAGATGAGAAAAATATAGACAATAATAAATAAATAAAGGCTTGCGCAGGAGAATTTCTTAGTGAAATGGACGTGCCGAAATCTGTCGTCTGGGCTGTGCTTCTCACACTTCTCACACGGCATAATCCTGCTAATGTCCTCCTAAGCCCCTCTAGAAAGAAAGAAGCCAACTACAAAACATTTATAATGACTGAGATATTTGTGGGCTGGGACTTTCAGTTATGTAAAAAGCACAGAGGAAGGAAGGAAGGAAGGAAGGAAGGAAGGAAGGAAGGAAGGAATATTGTGTTAATCTCATTAATTTAATTTTTTTTTTTTCGAAACAGCTTGCTTGTTTTTGTTTATTGAAATCAGTTTTGACTTTCTCACCTAATTCTCCTAAAGGAAAGTGACATAAATGGAAAACAACAATTATTTACAAGCTATTTGTAGGGATTACTTTGGACAACCTCTCCCCATATGCTGACCTGGACCCTGTGATCATCACCCCAGGCCTTAAGTGTGCCTCCTCTGCAGGAGGTCTGGAGAATGACAACATGAGATCGGGCCTTTTCTGCTGTGGTTCCCTGCTTGTGGAATGCTCTCCCCAGGAAGGCTCGCCTGGTGCCTTCATTACATATATTTGGGCACCAGACAAAAATGTTCCTCTTCTCCCAGGCCTTTGGCTGATTAAACAACCATTTGTAACTGAAAACCAATGAAATACATTTTATTTTTTTAAATGGCCTTTTAAACTGAGGGAGGGCTATTTTTTTCGTTTGTTACCATGTTATGCATTTTTGTGTTTTCATATTGTAAACTGCCCTGTGATCCTTGGGTGAAGGGAGGTATATAAATGTAATTAATAATCATAATTTATATATGTCAAAGAGCCTGTAAAATGCTGACGAGTCCACAGATCAGCCCTGAATCTCTCTTGGTCAGCAACTCAGAAAGCACTGAGTCCATGTTTTGCACGGTGGTCATAAAAGTCCAGCTGAATCGTAAGGAAGTTAGTTACAAAGAACATAATCTTCCACACATGAGCAGGAGTCCAGGGGGCAAACATTGTGTTGAGCCTGATTCTAGTTGTTTAGCAATGGGCCACAGGTCTTCAGTCGGTTCCATATAAGATTCCGATGGTTGTTTCCAGGGCTAGCAACGTGGGCTAGCATAGTAAAGGTAAAGGGACCCCTGACCATTAGGTCCAGTCGTGACCAACTCTGGGGTTGCGGCACTCATCTTGCTTTACTGGCCGAGGGAGCCGGTGTACAGCTTCCAGGTCATGTGGCCAGCATGACTAAGCCGCTTCTGGCGAACCAGAGCAGCGCACGGAAACGCCGTTTACCTTCCCGCCAGAGCGGTACCTATTTATCTACTTGCACTTTGGTGTGCTTTTGAACTGCTAGGTTGGCAGGATGCATAAGGTAAAGGAAACGGTAAAGGACCTCTGGATGGTTAAGTCCAGTCAAAGGCGACTATGGGGTTGTGGCACTCATCTTGCTTTCAGGCCGAGGGAGCCGGTGTTTGTCCACAGACAGCTTTCTGGGTCATGTGGCCAGCATGACTAAACCACTTCTGGCGCAATGGAACACTGTGACGGAAACCAGAGTGCATGGTAACGCCGTTTACCTTCCCGCCGGAGTGGTACCTATTTATCTACTTGCACTTCGATGTGCTTTCGAACTGATAGGTTGGCAGGAGCTGGGACCGAGCAACGGGAGCTCACCCCGTCGCAGGGATTCGAACAGCCGACCTTCTGATCGGCAAGTCCTAGGCTCTGTGGTTTAACCCACAGCACCACCCACGTCCCTTGGGCTAGCATAGGCAGCATTATTAAATTGCTCTTAGCTGTTGGTTCTACTGGGTTCAATGTTTTACATAGCTGGAAAAATGCAAAGCCGCCCATCTCTTCCAGGGTGTCAAATCCTTATGCCTTTAAAACTCCCCATTTTGCTTGAGCTTAGCTATCCTTGAGGGTCTCTTCAGAAAGCTGCACACAAAATGAAGACCATAAAAGCTGTAGGTGTAAAGTCATTTATGACTTTGGCAAATGGGTCCTGAACTAGGGACAAATTTTAGTTGATGCCATCCTGAATGAGCAGCCAAGGCAACAGTTGGTAGTAAGTCTGCAGGGAGCTCACCGGTCACATGGTCTTGGCTTGCTTCCTGGTTTTTCAGCTGCCAAATTGCATTTAAAGAAGCTAAAAATACATGAAATATTTTCCTTTCCTTATATTACTTGACTGTGTCAGCAGTTGCTGTGGCTGATATGAACATGTCATTTGATAGCCACTGGGGCAGAAGGTTATCAGTGCAGCTATGGATTCAAGGCCTGGTGGTCCATCGAATCACTGGAGCAGAAAATGCCACACTTGGCCTGATAATCCAAGGATGCTCACAAGCAAATGTGCGGCTAAAACATGCCCCAGGCTCTGAGTCAAAGCCTTTAGGCACAGGGCTACCTTTCACAGTCTTATAGTAGCTACATGAGAGATGTGTGATCTGATCTCCCAACATTTTATTTTAAAAACAGCTATGGGACATTCTGAATTGGATCAGAGCAAATATATTGAGGAGGGGTGTCAACTTTTTACTTCCATGCCATTATAAAGTTCTATATTGACACCACCACCCCTCTAGAAAAAGGAGAGAGAAAAAAGACTGCTATTAGCCTGGCCATACATGTAAGTTGTAGAAAGTACTATTTACTTACAACGTTTTGACCAAGGGTATCAAACAAACAGGCAAGGGACACGGATAGTGCTGTGGGTTAAACCACAGAACCTAGGGCTTACTGATCAGAAGGTCGGCGGTTCAAATCCCAGTGTTGGGGTGAGCTCCCGTTGCTCGGTCCCTGCTCCTGCCAACCTAGCAGTTCGAAAGCACGTCAAAGTGCAAGTAGATAAATAGGTACCGCTCTGGCGGGAAGGTAAACGGCGTTTCCGTGCGCTGCTCTGGTTTGCCAGAAGCGGCTTAGTCATGCTGGCCACATGACCTGGAAGCTGTACGCCGGCTCCCTCGGCCAATAAAGCGAGATGAGCGCAGCAACCCCAGAGTCAGCCACGACTGGACCTAATGGTCAGGGGTCCTTTTACCTTTACTATCAATCAAACAGACCATAACAGATATTCCAGTCCTAGGCGGCTGAAATATACTCAGAGTTGAGTTTGAATTTCATGCTCTTTATTCAGCTCATAGTAGCAATGAATGAAACTTTCCCCAAAACGTCTGCTATATATACATTATTAACCCAATGGGCCCCGCGTGATTGGCTAATTACGGGCTGCTCCTGCAGGCCAATCAGGTTGCTGATTCACTTCCACCTGGAGCTGGATTGGGTGGCTCCTGCAGACCAATCAGACTGCTGCATTCTGGATCCTATTGTTCTAGGATTCAGCTCAGTACATAACAGGGGCAAATCACTAAAAGTCATGGTCCCTGAGGTCTTTGTATGTAGCATTAATGGAACACAATAAGCAACAGAGATTGTATGTTTTTGGGTTTGGTGTTAAATTCTTGAAAGAGCTTTGGACTGGGTGAGAGAGAATTTTCAGCAGCACCCAGGAAATACCTCTGAAATTTGGATAGGTGCAGTGCTTTTTTTCTGGGGGGGGGGGGGTGCAGGGGGACGCCTACCCCTAAACATTTTGTGAATCTTTGCACTTTTGTCCATTTACTGTATTTATTTTCCCCGATTTGAACGATAAAATGGAGGTTTTCTTGGGTCAAAATGAGAGTACCCCTAAACATTTTTTTGGGGGGGGAGCACTGGATAGGTCACAAATCTGACAAAATGGAATGATACAGAAGCTTCCTCGTCATACATTTAAATAAACTGTGGACTGAGGAAGCAGTAGTTAAATTATATCAGAACAGTGGGGGCCATGGGACTTAATGTACCTCAGAAACACTTGCCGACTCCTCCCAATTTTATCCAAATTGTGAATCACCCTCAGCCCCCAATAGCCTTCGAACACGGGAGCTAAGAAGAGGTCACAAAATGTAATGGTCCCCTTTGCCCACCCAACCCTCACAGTTCAATCACTATGGATGAAGCGGGGGGCTAGCTATTCTACTTATTCATTTCATAAAATTTATACACCGCTTTATTATTTTTTTAAAAAAATAATAATTCAAAGCAGTTTACAAAAAGATAAAACAAGAAAATCAATAACAATTTACAAGGGTACTTTAAAACACACAAAAGTTTTAAAAAAAATACTTAAAGAGATTAAAATTACCTCAACTTTTTAAGCACCTGGGTAGGCTTGCCTAAACAATAATGTTTTTAGCAGGTGCCAAAAATGCGTACAGTGAAGGTGCCTGCTTGTTATCAATAGGCAGGGAGTTCCAACTTGTTTAATAGCCATTCCTTCTCTCCCAGTAAATTCTTCCAATGAAATTTAGCACAAGAGAGCGGGTTGTTGTTTTTTTAAAAGCATGGTTTCCATTAGGTTTACTGCCACTGTTCGACTTTGGTTGCTGATGTTTATGCTGCTTATTGGTTTTATCTTTCATTTTGTTTTTTTGCTAACGGTTTTTGTGTGATTGTGAGGGCATAATCTTTTATCTAAACAAACTCTGAGAGGTCTAGTTCCATACAAGGAGCCATGGCTCTCTTCTAGAGAATTCTTAACACCTACATCAAACTGCCATTTCTGGGATTTCTTCAAGGGAAACCATGATAATTAGACTGGTAGGGAACTGACAGAAGTTTATGGCATAAATATGCCTTATATTTATTGACAAGGGAAGGCAGCAAAGCAGTACAGCTCCTCCCTGCTTTCTTGGTCACCTCCCAGGAGGCAATCCTTGGCTCTGGGGCAGAACCTCCTGGTGATCCCTCAAAAGACCACCCTTGGGCATAGTTGCCTGGGAGAATGCAAACCACAGTGGGGATATTGTGACAAGCACACTGGAAATGTTGCCACTTTTCCCAGGAAAAAATAACAGCGGAGGTTTATTTCAGCCCTGGCCTTTGCTAAAGGCAGGGATCGTCTATCAGGGCTCCATGTTCCTTGGCAGGGACAAGGAGATGGAAAAAGCAGCAGGGAAGCAGTGCGGGAACAGTAAACTTACAAATGAGGAGCTTTGTCTCAACTGGCAGATGAACAAGGGAAGAAATGAGGAAGGGAGAAGAGAGCAAGAAGTCAGCCACATACGTACAAGGAAACCCAGTGCTGAACTGAAAATGCATTGACGTTCCCACCACCACCATTACGTTGACCAGACACCTTTCATTGTAAGTCCATTTAAGTAGACATCCTCTTTCTCTATCAGGAAGAAACCGTATATTGATTCAGACCATGGGTTTCTGCAGCCTAGCATTGTCTGTTCCAGGGATAGGGAACCTATGGCCCTCCAGATATTGTCATGCTACAACTCCCATGTATGGGGTGCTAGGGGAGTGGTAGTATCTGACGGGGGACACGTCATGCTCTTTCTGGGAGCCCACCTTTGCTCCCTACCTGCACTCAGCTCTCACCTGTGGCTCCTAAAAGCTGTTGGCATGTGAAAGGGGCCACACCCCAGGAAACGGCTTCGACTGGCCGGATAAACCAGGTGAGGGTAGCCAATGGAGCTCAACCCCTCAGCGAGTTAGGGACTTCCCCCTGCATGTGAAGACGGGCTCTGACGGATTGAGCGGACAAAACCAATAGTGGGCCCAATGGTCAAGAAGGCAGTTTCTGCACGTGTTGTAGAGGGAAATGGGGGGCAGATGGGGCTCGTCAACCTGGGAAGGTAGCCCATCGAGAAAAAGGACCCTGAACCTCTGCTACCTTGTGGGATATCTTCAGAGGAAAAGGCTTAGGAGTAAACCCTAGACAAATCCAGAGTGGAGTCCCTGGGATGGCTGGAAGGCAACTTGTACACCTCCTTCCAGCAACTCCTGCAGCCAAGCTGGTGCCAAACTCATTGCTCTGCTTACCTTTGGACATCAGTGAGGCTGAGAGGGAGGTCTTGTCACCTGGGCAGCCCATACACACTGCCCAGGCTTGCGCCCTGGAGAGGCCACTTCAATTTGTCTTCACCCTTTGAGGAGCACTCCATTATCTCTCAAGACAGATGGACGTCAACAACAAAGCGTTGTTGGCGTCCAACAACATCTGGAGAGATCCAGGTTCCCCCAGCCCTGTCCTACTCCAACTGGCTGCAGTTTTCCCAGGTTTTCAGGCAAAGAGGCCTTTCCTAGGCCTTTCATTTGAAATCTTGCTTTAGTGGGAGGTTCAGCTCGGGATCTTCCAAACTCAAAGCACATGTGCTGCTCTCTCCCATACAGTAGGGGTGTTAGTCCAAATATGAACTACCCATACAGAGGGCTTTGCAATGGCTATAAAGTGCCCCTGTTATGAAACCTCCTCTGTTTCTGAAACTAGTAGCTGAACTTTTTCTGGTTTATATCTCTGCACGGCTGTCAAGAGTCCCAGGACTATCAGGGATTCAGCTGGATACCATATGCCCATTAGAGCGGCTCTGCAGTTGCTTCATTGCCACCATTCTGGTGCCCATTATAAAATGGCTCACCTTGCTGTTTTTGCATGGTGGTGAAATCTTCAAAGGTGAGCGTGCGCACGGGAGGCCTCCAGAATGCATATGTTTCCATAATGGCCTCCAGGCCAGTTCTGTGAAATGAAAACAGAGGGAGAGAGACAAGAGAGAGAAATGTCAGTGAGTAGGTATAGCCACTTTAATAAATGAGATTATTTCAGCTTTATTGTTCTCTCTGTCAACAGAAACTTTCTGAATTGCTACGTTCTGCACACCTGTGCTTTTTTATTTTATTTTTAATATCACCCATGTTTTTAACGATAGAGGTTTTCCCCTTCATATTTTCCTGTTGGCTTCTAAATCATCCACTCCTTTGTGAGAAGCGGCTTTAGTGATTAATTTGGCACTGCCTCTTTGATCAGAAAAACTGATCTTTCCAAGCTGTGCCTCAGACTCTGAACTGGGAAAACCTCTGGAAGGGACATGAATAAATAAAAATGAAACAGCCCATGCAGAAAGTGAGGCAGAAGGTGATGAGCCAGAGGCCACATTCAAGGCCTGTAGCAGAGCTGGGGTCCAAACTCGGAGTTGGCTTAACAGCTTTCATTATTGTCCGCAAAGCTAGAGGAGGACTGGGGAAAGAAACAGCAAGAGAAGTGAGGAGGAATCAGGGGAGACCAGTTAACCTTCCTCCATTACTCGCTCTTCCCTCTTTTGTTTTATTTCCTATCACTGGCTTTCTTATGGCTCATTAAATTTGAGAACCTGCTCATGTTCCATTTCTGTAGCCCTCAGGTCCCTAGAGACTCTTAAGGGAGCTTGTGTTGCTGCAGCTAAAAAGGTTTCCTGAACATGCATGCCACTGCTCAGTTGACTTTCCAAAGTCACCCCGGAAGTGTGGATGTTTAAAATATATAGCGCCTGGCAAAACTCTGTATTGTAATAGCAAGTTTGAGAGATGAGAAGTTGCTGTACAGTGTTTATTAGCTGCTAAGCTGCTGAGTGTAAGAACAGAAGATGTTTCCACCTTGCAGTCTCACAACAGCACAGGCTATACAACCACAAAAACCCCCCAAACCTTTCTGGTTCATGTGAAATCCACAGGAGTCGCACAAGGCTCAAGTTGACAAAACAATGTGAACTTGCATTGTTAACGCTAACTCAGTCCAGAAATAAACTTTAAAAAGAGCTGCTTCACACATTTGAAAACCAGAAATAATGTTTATTAGCAGTGTGGGGGAAATATGGCTTAAGAACCTTCTTCGGATAAGGAGCCTCTTCGCTTTGGATCACTTAAAACAAGCTCCACTTTGCTCCAGATCCAGGGCAGGGGCTTACTTCAGATTTCCAAACCTTAACTATAGCAAGGGAATAAGCATACAGATATAATGTAGTCCAAGAAAACATTTGGACAAGAGCACAAGGTCGGGGAATGTTGGACTGAAACGTCTCCTCTGTTGGAGACAGTAATGTTTCTGGAAATTCCAGAAAGGGATTTTCAGTTGTGCTCAGAACCTATTTGTGAGCATCTTGTTGTCCACTGGGAGAACAGGATGCTGGACTAGATTGGCCTGATCCAGCAATGCTCTTCTTTTTGACAACTCACTTCAGACCCTACCACCAAGGGTACTTTAAAGTTAACCTCAGGTACCCATGTTTTCATGGACCTTAGTTACTCTCAAGCAGTGGTGGACCTTGTGGTGGTATGGGGCAGGGCAAGGGCACATTTGGGGCTGAGTAGATGCACCAGGTACGTATAGTTAAAGCTCTGGTTTTCCCAGTAGTGATGTATTGAAGTGAGAGCTGGACCATAAAGAAGGCTGATCACTAAAGAATTGATGCTTTTGAATTCTGGTGCTGGAGGAGACTCTTGAGAGTCCCATGGACTACAAAAAGATCAAACCTCTCCATTCTCAAGGAAATCAGCCCTGAGTGCTCACTGGAAGGACAGATCGTGAAGCTGAGGCTCCAAGACTTTGGCCACCTCATGAGAAGAGAAGACTCCCTGGAAAAGACCCTGATGTTGGGAAAGATGGAGGGCGCAAGGAGAAGGGGACAACGGAGGACGAGATGGTGGGACAGTGTTCTCGAAGCTACCAGCATGAGTTTGACCAAACTGTGGGAGGCGGTGGAAGACAGGAGTGCCTGGCCTGCTCTGGTCCAGGGGGTCACGAAGAGGTGGACACGACTAAACGACTAAACAACAACAACAGATGCACCAGCAGAACCAACTGGGTGCTTTCACTCATCCCAGACCTCACTGCTGCCCCACCTTGGCAAGCTCCAGGGGCACCGGTCTCAGGAAGATGGCTCCATGGCTCTACCCTGCCAAATGGGCTGCTACTGCATGGAGAACGAGTTTCACAAGAGGATATCAGACTTTGATGAAATGGTTGCAGATTTGAATTCCTAACCAAAACTGAAGCTCTTATGCATGACCTGGTCCAAGCGGACTGCCTGCCTGTCAGCTCAGGTTTCCTATTCTCTGCCCTCCCCCCAGTCCTATTGCGGACTAATGTTGTCTGTTCAATCACAAACTCTCATTTTTCTTTCTGTCGTTAATGATGGACTGGAAGGAGAAAGAGGGAAACTGTATAGGCTCCATTTCATTTTTAAAAACCAAACCTCTTTAATAGGTCTTCAGACTTTACTGTCTCTTGTTTGATTTTCTTTTGGGTTTTTAGGGGTTTTTTTAGTGCCATTACATTTTATTAATAGGTAATATATTAAATGACCCCATTGTTCCCCCAAAATGGGAAAAGATGTTCCACGTATCTCTTTGTTTCAGTAACTCTTTCCATATGGCCCGCCTTCCCCCACGGCATCTGCTAGCATACAGTGTTTTTGCTGTCTTCTGAGTGTTCTTGCAAGAAGCCCGTTCCTTGGCATCTGGAATATCTTGCTACATTTTCCACCCCACCTAGCTGATCTGAAAAGCTTTCCCCACCCCCAGTGTACACCGCCAATCTCAGTTGTCAGAAAGCAACTGCATATCTAAAAGTTTCGCTTCTAATTTGAGAACGCCAAACCTTCTCTGATGGAAAGTAGCATCTCTCCCAGGCAAAGTGGCCATGAGAGCAATCTGTCAAAGATTTGTTGTGAAAGTTGGGGAGGATTTGTTTTGTTTTGGCATATGTCACAGAGTGTTTTCCAAATAAATTTGGGGTTTTATATGAAATTAAGAATACACTTTGGTAAAACACACATACGCTTTGTCCCTTTCAGCTTAACACTTACAATACCATTTGAATAATCACAATATCCAGTATTCAACTTAAGCTATGGGATGGTTCTTACAGAAGCAAAGTCAAGGATAGAGAACGGCTGTATTTTTAATCACTAATACAGAAAAGTAAGCTGGTGTAATATTTTTCTGCTTTTATTTGCAAAGTATCCCTAATGAGGGAATGGCAACAGAGGCAACAGTGAGGTGGAGCAAATTAGGGGAGCTGAGCAGGAGTGAGGTTAGAAGATGAACATCGTTAGGGAAGGGGCTAGAAAAGAGCACCCTAACAACTGTATTTTAAAACCAGATAGATGAATGACAACTCTCTGTAAGGATTCATAGCCTTATTTCTTCTGGTCTTTACATTCATCTCTCTAAAGACATTAAACAAAATGCATCGGAGCAAATGAGGGGTGTAAAAATCCCCAAAACAAAAGCAAACTCCATTTCTGTTTCTCAAGACACAGGCAAAAAAGGGGGGTATTTTTGTTATAATTGTTATCAGTGCTTTTTTTCTATAAAACAATGTTTAGGGGTACTCTCATTTCCCTACTCATATTGAAATTGTTGTTGTTTAGTCGTTTAGTGGTGTCCGCCTCTTCGTGACCCCCTGGACCAGAGCACGCCAGGCACTCCTGTCTTCCACTGCCTCCCGCAGTTTGGTCAAACTCATGCTGGTAGCTTCGAGAACACTGTCCCACCATCTCGCCCTCTGCCGTCCCCTTCTCCTTGTGCCCTCCATCTTTCCCAACATCACCACCCCTCAATGAGGCCGAACTTAGATTCACAAAATGTTTAGGGGTATGCGTGCGTCCCCCCAGAAAAAAAGCCCTGATGGTGATGGTGATGATGATGATGATTAGGGTATGAAATATTCAAGGCATATTGAATGCATTTTGTAGAATTATTGCCTTACTTAGCTTGTGCCATGTTGATTACTCACCAACTGTAGCCTGTAGTTCACACTGGCTACCTAGTGCCTCATTATTTTGTAACTACTCATTTAATGAGAACCTGGGTTCAAATTTCTCCCCTAGCATATTAAATCCAGCCAAGCTGTGGCATTATCTCTAGTAATATGCTAGAAGAGAAATCTGAACCTCTGGTTCTCTCTTGTTCTCTCTCCCTCCATCTCTCCCTCCCTCCAGGTCAAGCACCCCAGCAAACCACTACACCACACTAGGTTAAGTTTGTTTTGTGGAGTAGTACATTTCGGTTGGTGTTCCCAAGCCACCAATTAATTCAGCCGGGTTTTATAGGCTTGTGCAGGGTTCTACCCAGAAAAAAGGGGGAGGGTTGAGGGTTGGTAGAATTTATGAGCAAATAAAAACCATGGCTTTAATCCAGTGCGCAGTTAAGCATGCTTAAGCCCGTTGACACCAATGGGAAACCGGCACGCCTAACTCGGTGTTGGAGCCTGCCCCATAGGTTTCTAAATGGACAGCAAACTATGCTTTTAATGGCAACGTTACACCGTGTGAACGCTGCAGTAGCTAATAAAAAGAAACAAAACCTGGAGACTGCAGGGGAGAGAAGGCCTCAATTATCCCAGGATAAAGTGTGGGGGAGAGACACAGTTTCTAAAAGGAAAGGCGTGATGAAAGAGGATACCAATATTGTAATCCTTTTTTATTGTTTGCTACTCGTTTTTCAGCCCTGGAGGAGTTTTGAACAAAAGAAAGTTTGTGACGGGAGGCAAAAGTCATGGGTGCACCCCCAGAGTGGGGAAGTATAGCTGTTGATCCCCCTCGGATGAGACGCAATCCCCAGATTCCGAGCTTGCTTGGTTCAAATAATAATAATAATAATAATAGTTTTTGCCCTTGTAATTATGGATATTTATTGCCACTTTTCCTTTGTGGTGATTAAGGAGGCACCCACGGCTCTCCACAACCCCATTTTACCCTCACAACAACAACCCCCGTGAGGTAACTTAGCTGATCAAACACTAGAGATTTTAATAGCCAGCATTTTGGTTGTTGAAAAACTGCTTTAGTGTTGAAACTTTAGTAATAATAATAAAAATTTATTATTTATACCCCACCCATCTGGCTGGGTTTCCCCAGCCACTCTGGGCAGCTTCCAACAGAATATTAAAAACACGATAAAACATCAAACATTAAAAACTTCCCTAAACAGGGCTGCCTTCAGATGTCTTCTAAAAGTCAGATAGTTGTTTATTTCCTTGACATCTGATGGGAGAGCGTTCCACAAGGTGGGCGCCACCACCGAGAAGGCCCTCTGCCTGGTTCCCTGTAACTTCGCTTCTCGCAGTGAGGGAACCGCCAGAAGGCCCTCGGCGCTGGACCTCAGTGTCCGGGCTGAACGATGGGGGTGGAGACGCTCCTTCGGGAATACTGGGCCGAGGCCGTTTAGGGCTTTAAAGGTCAGCACCAACACTTTGAATTGTGCTTGGAAACATACTGGGAGCCAATGTAGGTCTTTCAGGACTGGTGTTATATGTTAACATCCTGCCTTTATGTTACTGTGTTTTATTTATTTTTAATTAATCCAAAGCTTTGCTATGCTTTTGCAAATCATGGGTTGAAAACTGGGAACCACAAGCAGTGAGAAGGTAGAGAGGGTGACTGCACATCCCTTTCTGCTGTCCACACAACAATATTTCTGATCACTTTTTTGATAATGTTTACTGGCGTTCTAGGGATGCAGTTGGCACTGTGGGTTAAAACAGAGAGCCTAGGACTTGCCGATCAGAAGGTCAGCAGTTCGAATCCCCGCGATGGGGTGAGCTCCCGTTGCTCAGTCCCTTATCCTGCCAACCTAGCAGTTTGGAAGCACGTCAAAGTGCAAGTAGATAAATAGGTACCGCTCCGGCGGGAAGGTAAACGGCGTTTCCGTGCGCTGCTCTGGTTCGCCAGAAGTGGCTTAGTCCTGCTGGCCACATGACCCGGAAGCTGTACGCCGGCTCCCTCGGCCAATAAAGCGAGGTGGGCGCCACAACCCCAGAGTAGGTCACAACTGGACCTAATGGTCAGGGGTCCCTTTACCTTTACTTGGCGTTCTATTTATGTATCTTTCATGTTACTTGTAAACTGCCTTGTGAAGATTTGTATCCAGAAAGGAAAGACATATATACCTAATTACAATGAGAGTGTGTGTGTGTGTACATGTATGTACACACATGCATACTAGGGTTGCCATATTTTGAAGAGCAAAAAGGAGGACACATCTGCCAACTTCTGCTTTTGACTATGGATCACTATGATGACTCTCATTTTACATACCCTGATACACACACTGTATGGCGATGGTGAGAAACATATAATAGTAGTTAAAAAAAAAAAATCTGGGTGAATTGAGAATAATCACAGAGCCCCCTGCTGGTTCTGTACAAGGCTAACTATGACGCTGAAAATTGTGGCGAAAGAAAGAAGACAAGAGTAATTCAAAGTACACAGCGGGGTTATCTACGCTTGAAATGTATATCAATTTTATAGCAATTAAGCTGTCATGGCTCTCCCACTGCCTCCCAAAATCCTGGGAACCGTAGTATGTCCTCCATTTGAGAGCCTTGCCATGCTCTTGGCTGATTTGATTGACATCCTATGCTCCTTTAAAATGGGGTGGTGGTGGAAGGGGAGTAATGGGTTGTTGTTTTTAGTTTAATTATATATTTTGTGGTTTTATATTTTGATTTTGTTCTGTGAACGGCCCTGAGACCTCTGGGTATAGGGTGGTATTTAAATTCAATAAATCATAATAATAATAATTCTCTCCCGCTATAGTCCCCTGATTCTCCAGGTGAGGGAATGGCTGTTGAACAAAATTAATGTGTATGTAATGCAATAGAAAACCTCTTCAGGACAGCTTTATTCTGCCTTTCCCTTTAGCCCCTCCACCCAATTTCTCCGCAGAAGGCCTCCAAGAATTACAGCATCTCGTTGGCTGAACCCTGCAACAAAATCTTGGCAGGATCTTCGTTAACACTCACAACTATTTGTGTGGCTTCCCTGCAATAAGCCCCCCAGGGCAGCTTTCTTAAATGTGTAATACCTTAAAGATTTCAGTTCCGTTTGACGTCAGCAGAAAGCTGCGCTGAGCTCTCCGCAGCCACAGCCGTGTAGCAATTTCCTGCCCTATACCTAATGTTAATGAGCCACAAGTTTCTGTGATTCCCAGAGTTTTTTTGGGGGGAGGGAGTCCAACCACACCAGGCCAAAGCCTTGTGGATGTCTCATTCAGATGCTGGACTTCGGCCCCCCAGCCACATCTTCATGGACCACTCTCATCACTCACAAGCACCTTCAGACCTGCTGAATGCAGTTAATTTATTTACACAAACTTCCCTGGCCCTTCCCAATTTTCCCCAAACAAGGCTCTTGAATCTATCAGTCCCCCTGAGACCCATGCTTCATCAGGGAAGGGACAAATCCCTCCAGCCCATCCTAGAAATTATTTTCAGAAATGACTAATTTCCCAGATGCGTGGGAAGTTCATCCAAACTCCAGACTGAGTTCAGATTGGACTCCTAGGCCTAATAGTGATTATATCATCATCGTACACCAGAACAGTGGGATGGAATCCACTGGGAGCAGTCAAATACAACATTCCTTGTTTTGCTAGAGTGGACATGCAAGGGAATGTTTGGTTCAGCCAGTCGAAACTTCCTGTTCCTCCTGGCCTGGAGCATCCTTCCTTGCATGTGACCAGTGGGTGGGTGTGACCTTGCCAGACCTGGTAAAAGGACAAGGCATGCTGCCACTCTCTCTTTTTCCATCTTCCTTTCATCCTGTCAACTTCCTGGAATGAACTGCTGGCTGCCAGCCAAGCAGTCCCCCAGGTTATCTCCCATATGGGGTAAACCTGTTTGTACATGTTTGTAAATTTAAGCCTAAAGGCTGTGCTCTGCCTGATCGTGAGTAAACTTACTTTTTACTGTTTATGAATAAGACTGGGGTGTCTTTATTATTTTAGGAGGGATTCAAGGGGTCTTACCAGGAAAATATTAGAACACATTTCAGTCTGGACAAGCCAGATTGAATTGCGTATTGTCTTAAGAAACTCACATGAGTTTGCAACTAGTTTTCTGCTGTGTAAAGGGGAATGCACACTGCTGAGTAAAGAGTTTGGATTTGATATCCCACTTTATCACTACCCAAAGGAGTCTCAAAGCGGCTCACATTCTCCTTTCCCTTCCTCCCCCACAACAAACACTCTGTGAGGTGAGTGGGGCTGAGAGACTTCAGAGAAGTGTGACTGGCCCAAGGTCACCCAGCAGCTGCAGGTGGAGGAGCGGAGACACGAACCCGGTTCCCCAGATTACGAGTCTACCACTCTCAACCACTACACCACACTGGCTCTCAAGGAGAAAGGAAGTAAAGAACTTGCTAGTGCAAGTTAGGAAGGATATTGATAAACAATATATCCTCTCCTGCCACCCTGAACATTCCCACAAGAACCAACTGATGAAGCCTTCCTTGGCCTTCAGACTATGACTTTCCTTGACGCCACCTCTCATATTGTGTTGCGCTACTTGCTAGAAGGCAACAAGGAGAGCTGCATCCATGGCAATGTGGGTTTCACTGTGTACCAAGTCCTGGAGGCCTCTTATGAGCCTGGAGGGTCTGATCCAGAATTGATCCCTGGGAGACGATGCCTAAAATCTCAGAGTTAGACCTCCCCCCACAACACACACGCTTCAAGCTTTTCCACCATCTGCAATGTTACTGGATCAGAAATCCAAAAGAACTACCAAACCACCCAGACTGGCCCAAATAAGAGAGGAAACCTGGCACCCTCCAGATGTTTGGGTCTGAAGTTCACATCAGTCCCAGTTGGCAGGGCCTATGGGAGTTGAAGTCCAAAACATCTGAAGTTAGGGAAGGGCATCTTCTGGTCTTGATAGCAGAAAGACCACACACACCTATGAGCCTACAAGGTTCTAAGCAGCGAGGCTGCAGTCATTCTGCTCCCACTAGTAGGGTGGATGGCATAGCATGGTGAAGAGGAAAGCAATCACTGGGCTAGGAAATCAGTGCCTGTTTCAGAAAGCATTGTGAAGAACTAGAACTATCAAGCTTGGGCAACCTGATCAGAATTACCCACTGAAACCAGGACAATTAAAGCAGCACGACAGCCTATATATGTTCTGTACACTGCCCTCCCCAAAGCATATAACCTGGTCCAGCGATTCATGCACATAGCGTTGGCTATGAGCAAGGATCTGAGAGGGGGATTGCCCAGCAGATTTATTTATTTCATAACATTTATATATTGCTTGATTGTAAAAGAGCAGAGCAAAGCAGATGGTAAGTGAAATTAGATTTGATATCAGTCAAGTCTTGGGGAGGAGCGAATGTGACTGTTACAAATAAAACTGACCACAGCCATGTTTGAAGATGCAAGTGAATCCATCTGCTGCCCCAGATGCTGATTCCAGGGCCATTTAACTACATAAGGCACCACATTGTGCCTGGGGGACCTGATCCAGCACCGTGGCCAGAGAAGGATGATACAATAAAGGAAATCAGGGACTCTCTTACCTGTTTCTTCCAGAATCCCTGAACCCTTTTGCAAATGGATTCCGGTCAATTTTTAATCGTGTAATCTGTAACAGAATGTAAATTAACTTAGATTCTATGGAGAATATTTCATTCCTGAACACTTTGCATAACTTTGATCATCCCACAATTACTCTTCTTTTCATTGGTGCTTTATGCCATTTCACACGGCCCCCCAGTTAAACAGTTTGCAGTTGAGTTAGGAGCATGCACAATGAATTTTTGCTTCCATAAATGGTAAATTAACAGTTCTATGTCACTGTAAATTCTGGGTTGCATTCAATTGCATTTTATTCAGAATTAAATTACACACACACACACCTTGTATTGTATATTGTGTGTGGTGTGTGTGTGTATTTGTTTCTTCAACTTGTAAATCAGCTATCTCGGATCAATACCCCTTGCTCTTCCTAAAATCCCATGTCGCTTATTCTATGAGACCTTTAGGCATCCCTGCCACCTTCTTCTAAAATGAAGACTGCATTTGCTCACAACTAACCATATTTATCCTTCCCTCCACTCCTTTTTTCATTTCTCCTTGTGTTGAAATGCTGTGTCGGCTTTTACGAGGTACAGTTATGTTGCTATAAAAATAGCAAATCTCAGAAAAGCATTCTATCTTCAAAGCTGCAATTGGTGTTTCTAGATTTCCATCTCTCTCATATCTTGGTATTTGTTTTTCCAACTACAGTGAGCTCAAGAAAGCAGCAAAGTACACTCAGTCCTTTGCATGTCAGCTGTTTCTGGGAGAATGGCAAAGTTCACAGACGGCAATTCCTACTTTAGCCTGTCCTATTCAGGAATTTGCTGAACAATGCCTGATGGCGTTAAAACTGGAACCAACATACATTACTTTGTAGGATCTATAGTACAGGGCAAAGAGTTTTGATCTTGTCAGGGGACCGAGTAAAGAAAACAGATTGTGCTTTCATATGCTTTAAGCTACATACTATGTAATGACACTGTGCATCTTACATTGCAGCTGGTTGACCTCACAAGAGAGAGATTTCATGAAGGATTTGGGAAAAGAAAACAGATACCCATTATGAGGAAAGTCTGCTCTCAACCCTTGAACACTTCTCCATGTTTTCCTGAGTTCCTAACGCGGACAATTTTTTAATAGCTGTGTAAGTAGCTTAAAGTCATAAAGTCACAGAAAGGGTTTCTTTGTCTTCTGCAAAACTCAGCGTGTATTTACAATTTTGAGATTTGAAATATACATATGTAGTCGAAACGCTGTTGGGCTATCTTGACATTAATGTTAGGTCGGTTCCTGCTGGCATTCTTCCAAAGACTTAATATTTCTATATCAACAGCCTGTAAACTCAACTGTCCATGTTGCAAATCTCCTTCTGTTCCTGATTTATGACAAATTCTGTTCCTCTGTGGAATTTGTGTGTGGGGTTTTTTTTCCACAAGTTGGGTTACACCACCTGTCCTTTTCTTTCAAAGCTAACTTATGCTGTCATTTTCGCTTGCTCTGCTGACTTATTGCTGAGACCACCACTCTGCTCGTGCATTGTAACAGTACTTGGCTTGTTGTGACACTTTTGCTGATAGATTTGTTTATAAATGTATTAATTAGTGGGCCATAGTTTGGCACAGACAGCATAGCTTTCATTTAAGAGCAGATCGAAACCTGTTCGGCAGTTAACAGATGGGCTGCTAGATCATCTTTTTCATTACCTGCTGGTTTTGATAAGCAGTGACAGTGGTAAAGACAGTCTCTGGGAAGTTGAAGGTTTTCACCCCATCACCTGTGGGGACTGGCTTCGTGGGAGACAGGTCACTGCTGAAGTCTTTGCGGATAACATGGACGCGGGGCTGATATTTGTGCATTGAGTGCAGGATTATCTTTGGGAAAACAGAGGAAAGGCAAGGGAGATTTATTTGAAATGCACCATTCTAAAAATTTCAGAGCTGATATTTGGGGATGGGTACTGAACAAATGACTCCCAAACTAGTAGCTTGATAAGGATAGAATTATACTCTAATGATGATGATGATGATGATGATGATGATGATGATGATGATACCCCCACCCATCTGGCTGGGTTGTCCCAACCACTCTAGGCAGCTTCCAACACATATAAAAACATAGTAAAATATCAAACATTAAAAACTTCCTGATACAGGACGGCCACCTTCAGATGTCTTCTAAACGTCAGATAGTTGTTTATTTCCTTGACATCTGATGGGAGGGCGTTCCACAGGGTGGGGGCCACTACCGAGAAGGCCCTCTGCCTTCTTGCAGTAAGAGAACCTCCAAAAGGCCCTCAGAGGTGGACCTCAGCGTCTGGGCTGAATGATGGGGGTGGATACGCTTTAAAGGTCAGCACCAACACTTGGAATTGTGCTCAGAAACATACTGAGAGGCTGCATAGATCTTTTAGAACCAGTGTTTTATGTTCCCTGCAGTGACTCCCAGTCCCCAGTGGAGCTACAGTGGTACCTCTGGATGCGAACAGGATTCGTTCCGGAGCGCCGTTCGCATCCTGAAGTGAACGTAACACGCGACTGCCTGTCTGCGCATGCACGGATCGCGTTTCGCCGCTTCCGCGCATGCGCGTGACATCATTTTGAGTGTCTGCGCATGCGTGAGCGGCAAAACCCGGAAGTAACGCATTCCATCTCTTCCAGGTTGCCGCGGAGCGCAACCCGAAAACACTTAACCTGAAGCGTATTCATCCCGAGGTATGACCGTAGTCCCTAAATCTTACCGTTGGTTGCCAGTGTCCAGGTGGGACAGCATGCACACACTAGGCAGGGGGACACGAGCCCAGTCCTCACTGCCAGAATGACCCCACCCCCACTGGAGCAAAGCAGGGCTTCCCTGAGCCACCTTCTCACCCATGCAGGGGGGAGTCCAACCGGCTGACATGACCCTTGGTGGCTGGAAAGGAGCACTGGGCTAGGCCTACATGGGGGCATCCCCCCCACACACACACTGTGCCCCTGCCTTCCTATGGCCCTGCAGGAAGAGCAGAAACTGCACCTTGAAGGCAGTGGCGGAGAAAACTGATCGGGCACCTGGGGTGTACCCTGTGCCCAGGGGTGGGGCCAGCCGGGGCAGGACACTCCATGGGGCTTTTGAGGAGTTTGCCTGCCTCCTCCCACTCAGCCGCCCTACAGCTGAGGGGGAGGCAGCGGGGGGACCATTTGGGGCAGCACGGAGCCTGCGGGCGCCCAAGTCACCGCGTCACTCCCAGGAGAGACGCATGGCTCGGGCACGCTGCAGGCCCCGCGGTGAGTGCCACCCGGCATTTTGTTACCCCCCTCAGTGGTGACACCCGGGACGACCCGCCCCCTCCGCACCCCCCTTCCTCTGCCCCTGCTTGGAGGAAGGGCTTTGAGCTAAGGAATACATCCCTGTCGTGTGTGGTGCCCAGAGCTGAAAGGGGCAGGTCTGAAGCAAAAGGCTGGTGAAAAGGGAATGTGCTTCTTAATAACTTACATGGCCTTGGTCGTCTAGCTCGTTGTTGGTCAGTTTGAGTTTATCAAAACTGACAACCTGCCGCATCCAGGTGTCCCCAGATGCCAGCGAGTCGGGGTGAATATAAACCCTTGGAGGCACCGGGGAGTCTGCGTTGCCCGCTACCATCCACTTGGAGCTGTGATACACATACCTGCGAGAGACGAGGATGCGAGAAAGGAGGCTTTATTATTCAAAGTGCAGACACAGACAACACCTGTAATCCCCCTCCCGTTAAGAGCTTTCCTTCTGCACTCACCCAACAGCGTTCAGGCTCAGATTATATGCACAGGAAGGAAACCATGTGCTTCATCTTTAATGGAAACCAGATGATACCTGGAACCAGTTCCTCACTTTTGCATCTCTATTAATCCTCTTTTCCAATTACTGTCCCTAAAAAACTTTGCACATGGGACAGGCTAATTGGTTAACCCTACTAATCCACAGATGAAAGCCTTTAGAGATATAATAGGAATATTTCATTACTTGCAGATGACTCTTCTAACACACTCTGCACCTGCAAATGCCATTTGCTTCTCAGTTTACACAGCGGAGGTCCCATGATTTCATCTCTAAAAACCCTTAGTTCAGACTCCATTTCTGTGTGCTGCAACACTGTCCATGAACATTTTAGTGTCCACCCTGTTATCTTGATCATAATCTGCTTCAACTGTTTTTAATATAGTATATTTAAATTGTTCTAACCCGCCCTGAGATCTCATGGTGAAGGGCGAGTAAAAATATATATAACTGATGAAGAGGATAGCAAGCTGAAAGTTTTCTATTCAGTGAAAGTTACTAACATCAGAATCCACACCCAAAATCTGCTGGGATGAGAGAGATTGGAATTGGGAGGTCTTCGGGTTTCCAAGCTGAGCCAGAGCTCAGCCAAGCTTACACCAGAGTGAGACCCTCACTCCAGCTGTGCCGGAGATACACTGGTATAAATATACACCTTGGCTCAGTGAGGGCTCAGCCAATGGAATTTAAGTCAGCATAACTTATTCTGCTGTAACTCCCCAAATAGGGGGCGTGGCTGGGATGGGACCAGGAAAGAGTTACACCTATTCCAAAGCCATACTCCTGATCAGAGTATGAAATCAAATCAAATCAAAACCTTTGCCAGCATAAGGTAAAAGCACCTACATACATAAGTAAAGGTAAAGGTAAAGGGACCCCTGACCATTAGGTCCAGTCGTGACCGACTCTGGGGTTGCAGCGCTCATCTCGCTTTATTGGCCGAGGGAGCCGGCGTACAGCTTCCGGGTCATGTGGCCAGCAGGACTAAGCCGCTTCTGGCAAACCAGAGCAGCGCATGGAAATGCCATTTACCTTCCCGTCGGAGTGGTACTTATTTATCTACTTGCACTTTGATGTGCTTTCGAACTGCTAGGTTGGCAGGAGCTGGGACCGAGCAACGGGAGCTCACCCCATCGCGGGGATTCGAACCGCTGACCTTCTGATCGGCAAGTCCTACCTAGTCTATAAATCCCTGGACCTGTCTGAGACTCAATAGGCTTCTTACGCACAGAAATGGCTACTTTGCCTTCAAATGTCATTTAATTCTGAATGTGCTTTTTTCCTGGGGAGACGCAGGGGTACACATACCCCTAAACATTTTGTCAGTCTACGTTTGGCCTCATTGAGGGGAAGTATTTCAATATGAGTAGGAAAATGAGAGTATCCCTAAACATTTTTAAAGAAAAAAAGCAGTGATGATGATGATGATTTTATATACGTGTGTGAGAGAGAGAGAGAGCGTGTGTGTGCACTATTTTTTAACCAGATGTGTTGTGGCACACTCCAATTCACATCCAAACATCTCTCTTCTCTTTTAAAAAACAATTCTGACCGTTTTGGGTCTGGCGCTGAGCTTTCTCTCTTGCTCGCTCAGGCTCTCTGGTTCTCAATGGAGCACTTAGTTAATCGTTCCCATTCTTTAGCAGCTCTTACCTGTACCTCTTGTTATCCACAGGCACAATGTCCATGGCAATGTAATACTGCTGATGGGGGTCCAGTCCGGTAATCTTCACTCTCATTGCAGGAAACATTCTCCTAGAAATATGAAGGTTGAAAAGGAAGGAGGAAAGTGGTCAATGTAGACATCCTGATGAGCCTTAGAGAGCTGCTCTGTTGAGACAGAACTGTGCAGGCTCCTACAGATTATGGCTGGGCTTGGTAACAAAGCATTAGTTTGCATTGTCTTTTTGTGTGCCCATACTTTGTTGCTGAGAGTTCTGCCTACAGAAAGTGGCAGGAAATCCTCAGAACTGAGACTCTTGACAGTGTTAGGTAAGAAGAGCACTCTTTTTAAGCACCACACTTAAGGAGGAGGTCCTTAGCTCAGTGATAGAGCACATGTCAGGGAAGATGGGAAAAATCCATTTAAAGCTGAATCTATCAAATTCCAAAATACCATGAGACTCTTAATCTCAGCTTTGTGGATTCAAGTCCCACATTGGGCAAAAGCTTCCTGCATTACAGGGGGTTTGACTAGATGACCCTCGTGATTCCTGCCAACATCAAACATTAAAAACTTCCCTAAACAGGGCTGCCTTCAGATGTCTTCTAAAAGTCAGATCGTTGTTCATTTCCTTGACATCTGATGGGAGGGCGTTCCACAGGTCGGGCGCCACTACCGAGAAGGCCCTCTGCCTGGTTCCCTGTAACCTCACTTCTCACAGTGAGGGAACCGCCAGAAGGTCCTCGGAGCTGGACCTCAGTGTCCAGGCAGAACGATGGGGGTGGAGACACTCCTTCAGGTATGTAGCCAAATCCATTTAGGGCTTTAAAGGTCAGCACCAACACTTTGAATTGTGTTTGGAAACGTAAAAAGCATAACAAAACATCAAACATTAAAAGCTTCCCAATACAGGGCTTCCTTCAGATGTCTTCTAATAGTTGTGTAGTTCTTTATCTCCTTGACATCCGATGCTATGATTTCTGTGATTCTATAAGACCCAAAACACAGCCACCCTGCAAAACTTCACATTTATCCGAATTTTGTGACGCAGTTCCCCAACCAATCATAGAATTGCAGAGCTGAAAGGGACCCAAAGGATCATCTAGTCATATCCCTTGCAAGGCAGTAATCTCAACTAAGGCACCCATCACAGAAATGCAGTTGCTAGGGGGTAAGTGTGCAGAAAAATTAGTACAGTAGTGCCTCTGCTTACGTAACCCTCTGGTTACATAACCTTCGGGATGTGAAAGCAGCACACCTGGAAGTATTTTCTGGGTTTTGCCACGTGCGCATGCGCAGAAGCAGTCTACCACCGTGCGCACATGCGCAGAAGCGGTCCTCAGGTTGTGGAAGCCTCAGGATCCGACCAGACCTCCGGAACAGATCCCATCCGCAACCAGAGGCACCACTGTATATTGGTGAAAATAGTGTACAAAATTATATCATATTAGAAGAAAATGCTTGCAAAAAAAAGTGTACATCTGTCAAAACTGGCAACAAAAGTTTGTTTATTAGGATAAATTTGCACTAAAATGCTGAAGAATTTTCATGAGGATTTCTTTTAAAAAATCACAAGTTCCTGCAGAAATCTTGAGGAACAGACGGTGACAATTATACAAAGCTAGATGAACCAGTTGTCTGAATTGGTATAAAGTAACTATCCAAGCTTCTGTGTTCTTTATCAACACGACAAAGTGTTGCACTATTTTGGCAATGTGCTACCTATCTCTTCAGTAACTAAATGTAACTAACATGAATTTGGAATGGCTAATTTCCTCTTGGAATGTTTTATGTCAAGTTGCACGTTTTTAAAAAAAGTTCTGCGACACAGAGGCTGAACAAGGTCTTCCACTGTGGATATAAATTTGTAGAAACACTGCCCAACATATTCGTTTGCTGCACAGAGCCTTTCTTAGCTATGAGTTTATAAATCCACCACATATTAAATAATAACCATCCATCCCCACATGGTATCAATATAACTCAGACAAGACTAGTCATGCTTTAGTCAAAAGGCAGGAAATTATCTTCATACAGAGCACAACAAACATCAAGAAAGTGAACCACAGGCTTCAGGTCATATCACACATGATACGCTTGTGTGATGATGGAATTGCATGTGAACCTCTTAGAAAAAAACATGTACCCATTTTAGAGATGGGGGTACATACCACCCAAGCCTGAAATGACAATTCACATGGTTTTATATAGCCTTCTCTATCATGCACAGACAGGCATCATACAACAAGCGATAAAACTCATACACTCTCCTAACAAACGCTGGGGACAAACAGGATGCCTTGTGCACCGACCACTTTTAAGAATGTCAAAGGTATTTGGCTGGCACGACTACAGAGGCATTTGGAGACATTTTATTGTTCTACAATAATAATAATTTATTATTTATACCCCACCCATCTGGCTGGGTTTCCCCAGCCACTCTGGGCAGCTGCCAATAGAATATTAAAAACACGATAAAAACTTCCCTAAACAGGGCTGCCTTCAGGTGTCTTCTAAAAGTCAGATAGTTGTTCATTTCCTTCACATCTGAAGGGAGGGCGTTCCACAGGGCGGGTGCCATTACCGAGAAGGCCCACTGCCTGGTTCCCTGTAGCTTCACTTCTCGCAGTGAGGGAACCGCCAGAAGGTCCTCAGCGCTGGATCTCAGTGTCCGGCTGAATGATGGGGGTGCAGACACTCCTTCAGGTATGCAGGGCCAAAGCCGTTTAGGGCTTTAAAGGTCAGCACCAACACTTTGAATTATGCCCGGAAACGTAAAAAGCATAACAAAACATTGAACATTAAAAGCTTCCCGATACAGGGCTTCCTTCAGATGTCTTCTAATAGTTGTGTGGTTCTTTATCTCCCATCCTTGATGGGAGGGTGTTTCACAGGGAGGAAAGGACTATTGGGAAGAACACACCCCCACGTTTCCCCTAATTCATTGTCCAAATGAATTCATCCTAAATTAACCCACAGTCCATTCATTTCCCCGGTGCAAATAAGTCACCCCACATCTCTTTCTCTCCCCCAGGATCATGCCATACACACACACACACAGAGAGAGAGAGAGAGAGAGAGAGAGAGAGAGAGAGAGATTCTCCTCAGTTCTTCGCCCAAACATACATGCAGCTACTCCAGTGGTTGGTGACTCTCAGATTAATATATATTTTATAATAAATATAATATAAGAACATCTGTGTCTGTAACATCAGTTCCACCCCCCTCCAATAATTACCCCTGTTCATCAATCACCACATCATTCCCTCCCCATAAATTAAATTAAATTGAGGCTGCAATCCTTCCTTCCCCACCCACCCAGCACCAATAAAAAGTGTTTAATTTCTCTGAAAAATCAATCTGCACATCATTTAAAGAGGAAGGGGAAAGGCAGGATTGTAAAGATGACAGAGGAAGGAGTCTGCTAAAACATTGAAAACTGTTGCTCTGTGTCCAGCGTCAAGGGACACAAAGGGACTCTTGGCATAGAAAACTCCTCAAGCAAACATGCCAATAAACTCTTGCCTCCACTCACTCGCCCATTCCAAGTTTTTTGCAGAATCTCCAGAATGAAACGGGGAAGCAAAGAAGCGACACTTTGGGATCTGTTAATGCAGGTGGATGCTCAGGTCACACCTGTGGCTAGGAATGCTGCAGTAGGGCATGCTGAATTTTTCAAAATCAAAAAATTAGGGGTGCTAAAATGTTGTAAGAGACTTGGGAATTCAAAAATATTTCGATTAAATTAATAATGTTTAGTTTTGTTTGATAGGGAAAATGTGTGTAAAATTGCATAGAAATCATTTCAAATGGTTGCCAAGTACTTGCAATTATATTATAGATTATTATTATTATTTTTATTTATTAATGTTATTTAGAATTGGCCTGACCTTTTCAGAAGGCAAAATTAAAATTCTTTGGTTTTCCGAAAGCAGTTTGTGTACTTCTTCCTCATATGTAGGCTTACCAAGTTAAATACAAAAACGATAGCAGATTTGAATCCCGCACACCTAACGACATATTCTCAAGACCCCCTCACTGAAGAAATTTGCAAAAGATTAAGTTTCACTCCCTAAAACGGCACACCCTAATGGCATAATACCAGGGACAACTAACATAGTGTTCTCCAGGTGTTGCAAATACAACTCGCCCCCAACCATTGATGAGGACAACTGCTACCCCTTACGTATAACCCACCCCAGACTCCTGGTCTCTCCTCTACCCCCCAGATTTCATCCTCTTTCCTTTGGTTAGTACAGGGGTGAGCAACCTTTTCCAGCCATGGGCCAGTCCACCACGCCTCAGACCATGTGGGGGGCCGGACTATATTTGGGGGGGGGGGTGAACAAATTTCTATGCCCCACAAATAACCCAGAGATGCATTTTAAATAAAAGGACACATTCTACTCATGTAAAAACACCAGGCAGGCCCCACAAATAACCCAGAGATCCATTTTAAATAAAAGGACACATTCTACTCATGTAAAAACACGCTGATTCCCGGACCGTCCGTGGGCCGGATTGAGAAGACGATTGGGCCGCATCCGGCCCCCGGGCCTTAGTTTGCCTCCCCCTGGGTTAGGAGAACAAATGGCACATGCTGTGCACCCTTCTTTTTTCTCTGAAGGACTGATGCGCCCAGTCTAATTCACGCATCACATTTTCTTCAGTGTGTGTGCCATACCACTGATGGCCACCTGACACCAATTTCTATTTATAATATGATTATTTTCCTAGCGCCACCTTGGTATTTTACCAAATGGAGACAGTAGCCCTGTTTTACGAACAAAGAATATTCGCTGCTGGGGTCATCGAAGAGATTATAACTCCTCCTCCAGCCACACTGGAATCCTGCCAATTCAGTGTTGTTATATAACGGAAGCAAGAAATGATTTTCAGTGGTGGCCGCAATGCTTTCCGCTCAAACGTAATAAGAGGGGAAAATACTTCCTATTTATATAGCATTTAGTGTGCTTTACACAGATTACCTCAGAAATCCTCACTGCGCTATTTATATATCTGTGCTGTAAATTGGGAGAGGGGCTGAAGAGGAAAATGGCTGCTTACTTGAGGCCACCTGGTGACTTTATAGCTGAGGTGAGGTTTCAGCTGCGGCCTTGACTCTTAGCCAGCATTCTCATGCTAGCTAGATGGAACCTCCAAATTCAGAAGCATTCTACCACCAAATAACAGCTACTCAGGACAAAACCATGTATTGCATTTACACCTTGCTTATAGGCATCCCCAAGGCCTCCTGGTGATTATAGTTGGAAACATTAATATTGGATTCAATGGACATTGGGCCCAAATGCAGCCAACCTCTTGTGTTCTTACCAACATTTGGTCAACATGCTTCTATCTTGGGCTATCTCGGGTCATATGAACAACCTCACAGCAATACATCAGAGCAACAAAGTAAATGAACACTCATAGAAGACAAACCAGTAACCTTATTTCCCTCAGTGTGTTCACAATAGTTATTTCTAACACTCAACAAAAAGAATTAAAATGATGTGAATTCCCCTGCCAACCTCTCCGTCTCTTCCTTCACCACACAAAGGCAACAAACAAAATCAGTAGGTAAAAGAAAATTAAAAGCAAAGAAAGAAACCCATACCAACTAAAACAATACCCCCAAACTCAATAAAACAATCAATAAACAGGCTAAAATCTGGCATACAACCACCACAATGCTGGCGCCAGAGCGTGCCAATACCCATATCCCTACCCCAATACCCCAACAAACCAATAATGTTGTTAATAATACTGACAACATTGCTTATAAACCTTATACCCAACACAAGTGTCACAAAGGCACTTAACACCATCTCACTGACTATTCCCCTATCGCAAACGATAGGCAGGATGACCTGTTCTTAAACAAGGCCCTCCATGCCAGCTGAGACCCAGGACCAATGGGTTGGAAGCCAGATGATCCAAATAACCCCAAGCAAACACTTATATAACTACATATAGGCTACTTTCTGTAATCTACCCCCCACTCTTTAACCCAAATCTAATTCTAATCCCCCTCTTCCCCCACCCATCACACTTTATGCCAATACAACAAAATAGGTTGGATAGACAATATAAGGTGAGAGACACAGGACAACCCTGACGGATTGGTAAGGAATCATCCTATAAAGTAGACAAGCAGAATGGCTTGCTTAAAAGCAATTACACTAAACGTGAGATGGATGGGAAACTCTATCAGAAGAAAATGCATCACCTCATATGTAAACACCATGAAACCACACATTGCCTTCCTACAAAAAATACACAATTCACCTAAAGGAAGCAAACTCCTGAGCAAACCCAGCTTCAGTCAACAATGGTTTGCACCTGACTCTGGAAAGGCTCACGGAGTAGCTATAATACGCAGTAGAGACCTTAATTTCAAAGCTACAACGATGCTAAAAGACAAGAGAGGCAGATTCTTTTTCGCTAAAGGGATACTAGACGGCAAAACCAAACTGACAGTGGAAGCTATGACCAGGAGAAGAACAAATATGGATAAACAGTGGTTAACATACAGTGGAATTTTAGATTTTATAGGACAGGAACCAAAACTGAGAAATCTCGAGGAATTAAGAAATCTGGTTACAGATTGGCTACAGGTACGTCAGATTAATGAATTGTTTAAGATAGATAGGGAAAATGCCTTTGCAGGACGAAAGTCTCAAAGACCTATTAGATACAAATATAAAAGTAGTATAAAAAATGTTCATACTGCTGTTGGAGTGGGAAACTAAAGAGGAACTTGTGAAATCGAGCATGATTAAGTGGGCACAAGATGTGGGTCACAATATTGATTATGAATTATGGGGAAAGTTGTGGAAAAGAAATATGAATTTCACAGCATGTTATGCGATAAAAGAAAATATGATGAAAATGACCCACAGATGGTATTTAACACCCACCAGATTGGCGAAAATGTCTGAAAAAGAAAAAGGTATATGTTGGAAGTGCAATGAAAATGGGGGATCCTTTTTCCACATGTGGTGGTCCTGTACAGTAATTAAGGAATATTGGGAAATTATATATAATGAATTTAAAAAGATACTTAAAAAAAACTTACCCCGAAACACCACCACCGCAGCTAGAACCTTATTGGCACAAAGCTGGAGAGCAAGTATAGTACCCACTAAGGAAGAATGGCAGTGTATAATGTTTAAATATGCTGAATTGGCTGGTCTGACAAACAGGATAAGAGAAAACAAATATAAGTAATGCAAGGAGGAATGGATAATGTTTGTTGAATATTTTAAGAACCAGTATAAACAAATACATAGCTTAGCAGGTCTTGAGTAAATCCAGTGGAAGAGTTGAAACAGATAGAGTTTTTAATAGATAACAAATTGGATGATTAAAAAGATGTAGATTACACAGAGTAGTAGAAAGCAAAGGAACCAGGACAAGAGTGGAAGTCATATGGTATATGTATACATGCTGTATTTGGTACGAAATTGTAAGTGGGACGGGGGGGTAGAGTATGCTTTCTGTTCCTGTTTTTGAAAATGCAAAGAAAAAAAGAAAAGAAAAAGAAATACAAGACAAGATAGGGGACATCAACATGCTCTGGCTAACACACCACCAATTACATGTCTTCTTAAACAATCCAGTAGTAAAATCAGTAGCAACAAAACTTCCTCCTAACAACAAAGGTACATGGCAAGGGGATGATATGCACAATATACAAAATACTGCTCCAAAATCCCACAAACCCCATCGACGTAATCAGAAAACAATGGGAGGATGACATAGGCTATGAAATTAACCCCACCCAATGGACTAGAATGTGGTCCAAACCCCACTTTAAATCCATCTCAGCTAAAAGAAAAGAACTCACCCTGAAACTCACTTACAGATGGTACCTAACACCACAGAAACTAGCGCTGATATGCCCAGGAGCCTCACCAAAATGCTGGAGAGGATGAATTTCCACAGGAACATACCTCCACATGTGGTGGGAATGTCCCAAAATCCAACTCTTCCGGACATCAGTCATACAAGAAACAAGCAAAATAACTAAATAAGTCTTAGAAGTCACTCCAGAACTGGCCCTATTGAACATCTTCCAAGAGAATAATGCCCACTCACATTATGAAGAGTTCATAACCCACCTACTCTCAGTAGCCAGAAGTGTAATAGCCAGACACTGGAGAAACCTGTCAGGAGTAAACATGGACCAATGGTATCAAATAGTATGGGAAACAGTCTCACTAGAAAAACTAACCAATAAACTGAAGCTGACATGGGCATAAATAGAAGAAGACGCCTTCACCCCGGTATGGTTCCCCTTTATCACATACATAGCCCAACAAGACAACAACAAGAATCCGACAGCATACGAATCAATATGGCTAACCTGACCCAAAAATCCACCCTCTCACACACTCAGACACATAAACAAATATCACTACAGTGGTACCTCGGGTTAAGTACTTAATTAGTTCCAGAGGTCTGTTCTTAACCTGAAACTGTTCTTAACCTGAAGCACCACTTTAGCTAATGGGGCCTCCTGCTGCCGCCGTGCCGCCAGAGCAATATTTCTGTTCTTATCCTGAAGCAAAGTTCTTAACCTGAAACACTATTTCTGGGTTAGCGGAGTCTGTAACCTGAAGCGTCTGTAACCTGAAGCATATGTAACCCGAGGTACCACTGTACAGCCAACCAAAGACAACCAACCACACCCTAGGCCACCCCCAACCTCTCTCCTCACCAAGGAAATATAACACGCAAATAGAAAGAGAAACTCACACAAGTGACACTGACACAAAACCCCACACATACAACTAAGCAGAAAAATAGAAGCATTATGTAACTGACCTGTAGAAAACACAACTTGAAAAAAGAGACAACGCACATATTTCTGTAAACTAAGAAATCTTTAATGAAAAATATATTTTTTTAAAAAAAAATGATGTGAATGTTCCCACAAACAACATCAAATATTTTTTTTACTTGTATTAAGCTAAACCTTGGGAGATATGTGCACATTTTCTTCTCCTGCAAAATATGTAGGAGTTATATTTATGGGGGGGGGGGGCTATAGCCACCTCCCAATATCAGCTTTCCCCCAATAGCTGCTTCTCCCATCTTCTCGACAATGCATACCCTCCTCTCATCCCTTTCTTAGTTCATTTACAGCCTGATTCAGCTCTTTGGTGTGAATGGTTTATATCTCATTCATCCCCAAAACAGCAACCTTTTTATATGGCCAGTTGACTTTGACTAGGGCCTGTGGACAAACAAAGATTATGGGCAGTAACCTCAAAAGCTTTGTTTGCCTTCTATGGTCTCAGCACCTGGGTAAATCTAACTGGCTACATGATAACCTCAGTCATAGGAGCAAACTCATAGGGGCCCAAGTCCCTTTGCCCCCCCCAAAAAAATATTTGAGAGGGCCGGGGAGCCCAAAAATTGATGGGCATTGCCATTCAAATAGTGTGTGTGAGCCACATCATGTGATCAATTATGGGGGTGGGGCTTACCTGCCCCCTCAAAAAAATATTTTATTAAAGTTGGCACACCTGACCTCAGTATTTAAAGAGGGAAGATGGCTGGGGGTTTCCAACACACTGAAGCAAGAGCTGATTGGGACAGCAGATAACAGGAAACAGATGCAAAACAGCCGTTATCAACAAACCATTCGAGTGGGGTTCAGGAAAAAGTTTGCCACACTCCAAATCTCTTTTGCACCAGGTGTATAGACCCCTGTCCCCCCCCCCAAAAAAAAATGTCGTGCAGTACTAGTTTTAAAGGACATGATTAAAGGACATAATGATATGTTCTGATGTCACTGATCACAATTTGTTGTTGTTGTAGTTTAGTCGTTTAGCCGTGTCCGCCTCTTCATGACCCCATGGACCAGAGCACGCCAGACACTCCTATCTTCCACAGCCTCCCGCAGTTTGGTCAAACTCATGCTGGCAGCTTCAAGAACACTATCCAACCATCTCATCCTCTGTCGTCCCCTTCTCCTTCTGCCCTCCATCTTTCCCAACATCAGGGTCTTTTCCAGGGAGTCTTCTCTTCTCATGAGGGGGCCAAAGTATTGGAGCCTCAGCTTCACGATCTGTCCTTCCAGTGAGCACTCAGGGCTGATATCCTTATGAATGGAGAGGTTTGATCTTCTTGCAGTCCATGGGACTCTCAAGAGTCTCCTCCAGCACCAGAATTTCTTCCCATTCTATTGATCACAATAGTCTTTTCTATTGGGCTCTAAAAAAAATCAGCTAAAAATGGTTGGTTGTGGGTTGTAAATAAGCACTGTGGAAAAGTTCTTTCCAAACCAGTTCAGAATGGCACAGAAGGGATTGTCCGTGGAACATTTGCGATCTATTGCTCCACCTAGCTGTTGCTTCTTCCATTTCATCACCTTAAAGTCTGCATTTTTAAAGCATGAGGTATCTAGCGGCATTTGCAGCTTCCTTGCTTTTTAAGCAGCATTCGCAGGAGCACAAGGAAATCTTGCTCTTGCCAGAAAGGCTCTGGGTAGTTAAAGCTAAGAGCATAAAACTGTCCGGGGGGGGGGGGGAGGAGGAACTCTTCCAAAACCCCATATTGAGGGAGAGGATTTGTCTATTTGATGAGGTTAGCTTCATAGCCGGACACAGTCTTTAGGCAAGATAAATTACTATGGAGTGGCTTGGGGGCCTTGCCTCATTTCCACCACACCGGCTTGTTAAACCTGCCAAGTCAAATGGGTAGAGGAAGTTGCAATTTACAGCCAAGGTCTCCCTAATTGGAGAGAGGAGACTGGAGAACAGCTGAAGGACGTATCAGGTTTCCGGGGCCTGATCCAGAAGTAGCCCTAATAGACAAGGTGAAGCAAGACTGAAGGTGCCACAGTCAGACAGGTCTCAGCCATGAGAGGCAGCCCAACTGAAAATCCCCCAGCACTGCAATATATAGACATCTTGGCATTGATAGCCTTATTCTCCATTAATGTGCCTTTTGAAGCTGTCCAACTAGGTGGACATAACTATATCTTGGGGCAACAATTTCCATATCTTAACCACGACCTGCTGTGAAGAAGCGCTTCATTTTGTCTCTCCTCAATGTCTCAGCATTCAGCTTTATTGAATGACCTAGCTGCTAGAATTAAGCAAGAGGGAAGATGATGGACTTTTCGGAGCTAGCTGACCTGACTGGAAGAATCCGCGACCAGAAAGAAGAGGAGTTTCAAGTGGAATGGAGGAAATTCAAGGACTATTTGAATAAATATAGTAATATAAAAAATCAGAAATTACTTGAAAGAAACACATAGGCCTAGGATTAAATGAAGTTATAATTAAATAAATGGGATTTAGAATGTTAGGAAAAGTGAATAAGATGGACTATAATTGGAAATTGTTTTAGTTTAATAATGATATTGGAAAGCTGTTACCTTCAACTACAAGGAAACTCAGAAGGGAGGGATTTGAGGAAGTCAACCAAGATGTTTAAAAGGTTGGATTTGTGAAGAATTAAGTTTGTTGTTATTGTTTATCTGTTTCCCCCCTTTTTTTCCTTTCTTCTTTTTTCTTTTTTTCTGTTTTTGTGTATCATTTTGCTTTGTGGTTTGTGTTATCACTGTGGAAAATCTAATAAAAAAATATATTTTTTTTTTTAAAAAAAGAATTAAGCAAGAGGGAGAAAAACTTCTCTCTATTCACTTTTTCTTTCTCTCTCTCTCTCTTTGCCAATTAATTTTTATTAAGTTTTTTTTAAAAAAAATAAAATAAACAGATTAACAAATTTAGCAAATATCAGATTAACAATTCTAAAATTAAAATTAATTTCCAATTTAATATATCCTTAGAAGTTGACTTCCCACCCTTAGCTCCATTGTGTTTTTATCTCTACCCATTTTCTCTATACACAGTGATGTGAACAATCTTGCCTGTTTTATAAACTGAAAAGCCAAGGGCGTTGTAACCTTTTCTCATAGAGGAATTTTTCCAGCCCCCTTAATAATGTTGGTGGTCCTTTTCTGAACCTTTTACAGCTGTCCAGTATCCTTGCAAATGTAACTGCATTGGACGCCTGCCTACAGATAAGCTCCATGTGTCAAGGCATGGCTCAAAGGCCCCTTCATGGGAGAATAATTGTTTGCTGACTTCAAACTCAGACTACCTAGGTAAAAGGTAAAGGTGAAGGAACCCTGGACAGTTAAGTCCAGTCAAATTTGAGGGGCACAAGGGAACTGGTGGAAGATACAGCTGCTGCCCAGGCTTGGTGTGGACACTTCAGCAGGTCCTCAGTGGTGTTGGCCCCTAACACTGTCAGATTTAAAAAGGTAAAGGACCCCTGAACGGTAAAGTCCAGTCAAAGACGACTATGGAGTTGCGGTGCTCATCTCACTTTCAAGCCGAGGGAGCCAGCATTTGTCCGCAGACAGCTTTCTGGGTCATGTGGCCAGCATGACTAAACTGCTTCTGCCGCAATGGGACACCGTGACAGAAACCGGAGCACACGGAAATGCCGTTTACCTTTCCGCTGCAGCAGTATCTATTTATCTACTTGCACGGGCGTGCTTTCGAACTGATAGGTTGGCAGAAGCTGAGACAGAGCAACAGGAGCTCACCCCGTCGCGGGGATTCGAACCGCCGACCTTACGATCGGCAAGCCCAAGGGGCTCAGTGGTTTAACCCTTATATTACCTATGCCAGGATGGTGCATAAGTGTTTCTCCACTGGCCTCCAACAGTGTGAGGGGCTCCTTGGATGCATTTTGCTGGGGCTGGGAGGTTTTCATGAAATTTGCTTTGCCAAAATGAGCCCCCCAATCAGTGCCAGATTTACGTATAAGCTAAACAAGCTATAGGGCCCCCCAAAAAATTTAAAGGAAAAAAACCTGGATGTACATTTCCAAAATATAAGATAAAAAACAAATAAAAAAAACCTACATACGGCAACAGTGTTTTGTGTTGTGTAGGCTCCTATTTGATATGTGCAAATGGCTTTAGATACCTATTAGGTCCATAAATTACCATGTAGCATATATCCAACACAAAAAATAGCGACAATTTGTTGTTGACAAAGGACAGCTGGGCATATGAAGGGTCCCATTACGTTCAGTTGCTTAGGGCGTCATCAAACCTAAATCCCTGACTCCAATACTTCATTTCACATGAATGTTTTACCCAAGAAATAAGAAACAGAAATGGCATGTAAGCATAATGGAGTCTTGGGTACCGATTTCCTCTCTCCCTACGCAGGAGCAGCTCCCCTGCTCAGAGACCTGTGTCTGCAAAGTGTCTACAAATGGCAAGAGATACGACATAAGCAGTGCTAACAGGGCGACAAGTTCTACAAATCCATCAGGCCCGCCTTGCATGACAGTGGGTGAGATGCCAAAGAGTTTCGTGGATGCAGAAAGCATCAGTTGCAAGACAGCAAAAGTGGCTGCTAGGAGCCAGCTGGTCCTGGAGCCTGGGATCGCCACTATACAGAACCCAAGAGACTTTTAAGCACTGCAGTACAGATTTCTGAGGGGAGAACGGAGCCAGCTGCAATCATAGTTCAAAGGATGGAAACCAGTAAAAAAAAAAAAACCTGACCTAAGTGAAGTCATGGGAGATTTGCCATAGATGTCAATTGGTTAAGATTTTCAGGCTAAGGCAGGGTAACCTCCATGCAGCCAGTGTGAGCAGTCTACAGAAATAACTGTGCAAGTTTAGTGCAAAAGCACAATGGCTTTGCTCTCATCCGACGCAAACGCCATTACATTCCAGACTAACAACATGGGACACGGCACAAGTATGCAGTTAAAAGAGTTTAAAATAGTAGGGCCTCATACAACCCTACCTGTACTCAAGTATTACATATCTCATCTCATTTAGAGACTACTCTTCATTAGAAAAAAAAAAGAAAACCAAAGTAACAAAACAACAACGTACAACAATATCCCAACAACAAACAGGAAAGGACATTAAAATTCCTAAACTGGAATTCTTAATCATAATCAAAAGAACAGCAGCCACTATAACACACTCCAAAATCACCATTCAACAATATTATAACACAGCCTGCTTCTTATACGGAAACATCAGGAGGTCCCCAAGTCTTGCGTGGGTAGGTCTTGTGCAACAACTAACAACTCAATAGGGTGATGTGCATCTACACACTCAAAGTTTCATCCAGCTAATTCAACGGAACCTGGATGAGCATCATAAAACTGCATTCAGATGCACTCCCAACACCCACATCCATTGCACACAGCTTGCTTTTATGTGTAGATCACACTCATTGGACCAGGAGGTGAAGGTTTTAAAGATGCTGCAACGAATTCCCTAAGCTTAAAGTCACACCATGACATTTCTATTCTACCGTTTCTGCCATGAGCTCAGAGTGGGGGTGTAAATGTCAGCCTCTGTCCCCTTTTGTTCCATCTTCACAACAAACCTGTGTGGCTGAGAAATGTCCTGAATGTACCGTCAGTCAATTTATTTGGGGTAAGAGAGGGAGGAGGGAAATTATCTCTCTCTAGATCATACTAATTCATCTTTATATTTAACCAGAACATACTTTTTTTGCTTCACTGAGCCACTGATGCTCAATTTCATTTTAAAAGAGACCCTGCCCAGTACATACTGTATTTACTGATTTCAAAAAAGTTATATACCGTATCACTTGATTGTAAAAAAACAAACCTCAAAGCGGTCACTTTTTTACACAACAAGTTAAGAACCTATGTCCTGCGTATAGGCTTCATAGTGGAATCTATAGAATCACGTTTTGTTTTTCTCCATTCCCATTGCTTATATAGTTGGGGATTTTTTTAGGTGTTATTTGTCATGCTGTTTAAATAAACCAACATCTTTTTTAAAAGCACAATTGAGAAGTTCCCTGGGAAAAGGGATTGATTGTTAAACCACTCGAGGGATTGTAGCTCTAGGATGGAATAGGGAGCGTCCTAACAGCTCACAGCACCCTTAACAAACTGCCCTGAGTTGTATGATGCTGCTTTAAATGTATAGTTCAGATAGCTTGAAGCATCTGCATATCCCATATATACGGCATATACTGCATATACTGCATATACCCCTCTGCCAGCAAACAGGCACAGAGTCACCTCTTAAAGCCTATTTGCAAACCTGCAACTGAGTTGAAGGAGTATTTCCTCACTGAATGTGATATGATTCCATAAATGTGAGAACAGCGGCTGCCAAACATCCATTGTTTGTTTACAGTGATCTGTGTAATTAGGAACCATGTACGGTCTAAAACAAATGACAAAAACTAGATTAATACTTGTACTCATGGGGAAAAGGAGAGCCTTGAGACAGGTAAGAATTGGCTTCTAAGATATGGATTGTTGAAACTTCTCCAAACCCATTGGGTTCATCTGGAGCAGTAGCTCAGTGCCACGTGGACCATAATACAGGCCACAAGCATATCTTACACTTGGTTCCTCTTATGAAATTCAGGGAATTAAAGGAGAGCAAAGAAAAAAGATAAGGGAAATCAAACAGTGGGGGGAAAGAGGCTGAATCTCTTCCCCCCAATTTTCCTTCATGTTAAGTGACTGAACACTATTACAGCTGGTGAGTCCTTTCCCTGTCCAAGGTCCTGATTATTTGCAAAAATGAAAATTAATTGGAATTAAAATGGGAACTGGCTGGAATATGCAACGCCAGTTTAAAAGATAACAGACCATTGGGTGCCTCCGAAGGCATCATCACCCAATTGCTTTTAATGGATCTTTTAATATTATTATTTCAAAGCTGAAGTTCTACAAGCTTCCAAATGTCATGAGTGTTTTTTTTGTATTTGCATATATAGATTACCATTTGAAATGCTTTAAAATTGGCACTAAAGGTTTCATGCTGGCCAGAGGTAAGGCACCAATACTAATAATATATATTTTGGAGGGAGCAGCTTATTGTTTTGCTCTTGTTCTTATTATGCTTTTTTTGTTTTTATCTTGTGTTTTTAGACTGTGAACTGCCCAGAGATCTACAGATGGTGGGCAGTATACAAAATAATAATAAATTATTGTGATGATGTGTTATTCTTTTTAACGATCACCCTTCTGAATGAAAATACATATATGTATACATGCATACACACCTAAACATGTACCCATGTGGCAACAGTTGCTTTGGTATGGCCATAGCTAGGATTGAGAGATGAAATATGAAAGGTTTTGTGTACAACGATGGCTCATATTTCCTATGTACAGTCAAACCTCAGTTCTCAAGTGGCTCCATTTCGGTTCCCAAACTCTGAAAACATGGAAGTAAATGCTCCGGTTTTCAAACGTTTTTCGGAACCCGAAAAACCCGGTGCAGCTTCCGTTTAGAGCAGGCATAGGCAAACCTGGCCCTCCAGATGTTTTGGGACTACAACTCCCACCTTCCCTAGCTAACAGGACCAGTGGTCAGGGATGATGGGAGTTGTGGTCCCAAAACATCTGGAGGGCCGAGTTTGCCTATGCCTGGTTTAGAGTTTCCCTGTTAAATTGAGGCTTCCGCTTTCAGTTTTCGAACGTTTTGGAAGTCAAACAGTCTTCCAGAACAAATTACGTTCGAAAACTGAGGTTCCACTGTATCTCTGTTGTGAAACTTACTGCCAGGCAGGGCTGCCTCCAAAGCAGCATGGATGTAAAGCTAAGGCATGGATATTATGGTAAGGGAAAAGTCCCGTTCCAAGCCTCAACCCTTGTCAGTCTTGGGAAATGAGTTTGTGACAAAGCACAGACGATACCGTGACAACCTTTCTATTTCATCAAGTCAATTTCACATCGAAACTCAGAGTCTTGTGCTGAGGGGATGCCTTCATCTTACCTGCCTGCTTTAGTGATGATCATTTCTGTGCCAATATCATGGAACCGTTTCCAGAGGTCAGCACACTGCAATTCCACCTGGATCTCCTCCATGGATGAGGTAGGAGGTGGTTGAGAGATGGGGCCGCTGGATGTGAGGTCAGAGTGCGTGTCAAAGGAGCAGGATGTCCTCTCAGCCAATGCTTCAGTGTCTGAACCCGTACTCTGCTCTGAATCTAAACAAATGAGAGAGAACACCAGATCAAACTATCAGTTTCTAAAATTCCCCACAGAAGGAAGGCATAAAGAAAAGTCAGCATAAGGATTATTTTTTAAAATAAATAAAATAAAGAAAGACGAGTGAAACGGCATCTCTTTTATTATAGCCATGCTATTGTTGTGATTTACAATCTGGTTTCTGGTTTTCTGTTCCTAACATGACATCTGGAATTTTCGTTAAGTTTTAAAGCAGCTGTATGAAATTGCCCACAATATAAAATATAAATAGCAAGAAATGTATTCAGGATGCACAATAATGGAGCACTCCAACTGGAGATGGGAGGAAAAGAAAGAAAGAAAATTCACTCAACACCAGAGAAATAATGTTCTGGTTACTCATATGTCCTGCCACATATGTTGCTCTTGCAGTTAGGTATTTTTAGACAAAACGCTTGTTTTCCTTCTTTTTAGTATCTCAGAAATAATGGGTGTTGCTTTTGGTTTTGGGGGTTTTTTTGGCAGAGCTTTCTTTGCAAATATATGTTATTTGTTCCTCTATTATAATTTCTGGAACAATGATTTTTTCCCCCCTGAGAAAATAACCACATTGCACTAAAGCTGCAGAAGGAAGGATGGCGAACATATGGGAAGAATTATTGGGAAAGTAATTGTTATTTCAAGGGACACCTAAGTTTTTGCAGGGGTCTTGGGATATAAAAGTCTGACTAACAAAGGAGGGGGAAACAGAACAATGGGGCTGAACGAAAGAAATGGCTTGTGCCAAACCATTTTCAAAAACTGCTCTGCAAACACTGAATGTTTGTGGAGGCCATGGCCATGTTGTGAATATTTCCATGGCCTTCTGAGGTTTGGTGAGCTGGAAGGCAGCACAGGGCCTTCTTGGTCATGGCCCCCTGGTTGGTAAATCCCTTTTCTAGAGATGCCCAGCTGCTTCCCTCTATTAAGGCTTCCAAGTGAGCCATAAGAACTAGTTATATTTCGCCAAGCATTTGGCATGATGTGATGCTCTCTCCACATGTGATGTTATTGGATTCCATTATAGTGCTATTAAGGGACGCGGGTGGCGCTGTGGGTTAAACCACAGAGCCTAGGACTTGCCGATCAGAAGGTCGGCAGTTCAAATCCCCTCGACGGGGTGAGCTCCCGTTGCTCGGTCCCTGCTCCTGCCCACCTAGCAGTTCGAAAGCATGTCAAAGTGCAAGTAGATAAATAGGTACCACTCCGGCAGGAAGGTAAATGGCGTTTCCGTGCGCTGCTCTGGTTCGCCAGAAGCGGCTTAGTCCTGCTGGCCACATGACCCGGAAGCTGTATGCCAGCTCCCTCAGCCAATAGAGTGAGATGAGCGCAGCAACCCCAGAGTCGGCCACAACTGGACCTAATGGTCAGGGGTCCCTTTACCTTTAGTGCTGTTTGCTACTTCTTGAGGGAAGTTTTTAATGTATGACATATTAGTGTATGTTTGGTATTTGTGGAAGCCGCCCAGAGTGGCTGGGGAAACCCAGCTGGATGGGCGGGGTACAAATAATAAATTATTATTATTATTATTATTATTATTATTATTATTATTGATGTGATGGTTTCCACATTCGTCTTGCAGTTTCATTTTTTATTATTGTGAGTTGTCTTGTGAACCCAAAGCCGTAGTACGTGTTTTTATACTTGTAAACCGCCCTGAAAGTATTCTTGGATGGTATACAAGTGTAATAAATAAATATAGGATATATTCTAAGCAATATCACTGGCCCCTCCCTAGGATTTTCATTTTGATAAAACGTTAAGCCTCCAGTCCTTTTACTTATAAATAAAAACAGGCAAGCAGTATTCAGTTTTCTTTCCTTTTATTGGTCGTTTGCACAGATAGGAAGTGAAAACTCCAGCAATGTACTGCTAGTGCAAGGAAATGATTTTGCACCAGCCTAGAGAATTTGTACACATTAAACAAAAATCTGATTTATCAAGGACACCAATATGAAATGACACATCCCATATTGCATGCTTAATATGTTTCATTAACTTAGCTATTGATCGTGTTGAAAAACATGAGAACAAACCATCTAATAAGCATTATCCGTGTCAGTATAACAAGAATACAAATATACAAGCAACCAAAATGCATGACTCTCATACAGAATATATTGGAGTCAAAAGTGCAGGAAATGTAAGCAGTTCATACCAATTGAAAGATGTCCCAGGGATTAGAGAATAGTACTTGGCTTTTACACAGAGTGTTCAAAACACTTCACAAAGAATGCAAAAAATGAGAGGCTAGTTTTCAAAAGTGAAATTGACATGTTTAATCAGAGAAAAGTCATTTTCTTTAACATTTGTTAAAGACTGGAAAGCTCACATAGACTTTTTGCATGAAAAAGAAAAAGAAATGATGATATATGGATTTGAGGATTGAAGATAATGTTTGTTTATAGACAGTGAATATTGTTTTTATATAGAGGACAAATGAATAATAAGAAGTTCTTTATTTTCCAAATCTTATTTTTCTATGTTTCTCTTTTAGCCTCTTTTCTACTCTTCATTCTTTCTTCCTCTTTCTCTATTTTTTCTCTCCCTCCCTTTTTGTGTATTTACTGTATCTAGATAAAAGCCTTGGTTTGTTTTTTTAAGGGGGGAAAGATATTAAGTTTTGTATTTTTCTCTATAAACCTTAATTTTAAAAATTATTATTATTATTATTTTAAAAAGGAAGATGTCCCAAGGATTAGAGTAGGCCTTACTTCCAAAGAATAGTACTTATCTTTTGTATAGAGCAGGGATGTCCAACCAGTAGATCGCGATCTACCGGTAGATCCCCAGCTAATCCTGGTAGATCACGGGATCCTTATCATGTACAAAAGGTAATGGGGGGAAGCTTAAAAAAACCTCTGTGCAATCCTCCCCCCAAAAAGCTCAACAACGCAATCCACCACCCCCCCGCATGCTCCTCCCCCCTCCAAAGACAATGGGTAGATCACTGCCAGTTTTTTCTATACTGGGAGTAGATCACCGTCTCTTGGGGGTTGGACATGCCTGACATAGAGCATTCAAAACACTTCACAAAGAATGCAAAAAGGTAGAAGCTAGTTCTCAAAAGTGACACCCGTTAATGTTTATTGTAGCTCAACACATTTCGGATCTAAAGTTTCTTCCTGAGGAGCAAGCCTAGACTTACTTTCTTTTTTAAATATATTTTTGATTAATTTTTACATAAAATTCCCCCCCACCAAAAAAAACATACAACATATTTTCTCATCTTATTCAATATTTTGGACTTCCATCAACCACATCTGAAGATTTTTCAACCTTTATCACTTAATCTGCATTTCATTAATTTCACTATTGCTTTTAATAGTCCTTCCCTAATAGTTCTCTTCATACTTTTCTCTGCAATATTTCACATAGTCCTCCTTACAAAACTTCTTGCAGTCCTACTAGCGTGATCTGTTGATTACAATTGCTTTTCAGATAGTTCACATATTTACTCCAGTCCTCTGAGAATCTCTGATCCCACAGGTTTCGAATCCTTCCTGTCATCTTGTCTAATTCTGCATAGTCCATAAGCCTAGACTTTCTGAAGCAGATCCCACAAACTCTGCTTGCTGCCCATCTGGCTCCAAAAGGAGCCTGGTTCAGAAGCTCAAAGTCTGCATTTGAAGAAAGAAACCTACAATAAACCTCCATCGCTGGCACTTTGGAGAACTGGTTGCTCTCTTTTTGCATTCTGTTGGGTTTCTGTGCCACCCAGCTGACTTGTTTGGATTGTCAAAACACTTCAGATAGCTTATAAGGCCATAACCTTTGCAATAGCTCGGGCTGGTAGGTCAGGATTATTGTGAATGGAGACTAAGACGGAGAGGTTATAGCCTGCCTAATGCCAGCCTTACAAGTTCATGGGAGAATGAATGGAGTTTCCGCTGGGGATTCCCTCATTTGTAGCTTAATCTCTTAGGCACTATGCCAGTGCAGCTATAATGTGCTCAAGACTGCCATGATTCAGCCACATCTAATTTATCAAATAGTTTTCATTTGTAACAGCAGCTTTCCGTAGTAAACCTATGATCAGAGAAGACTGAACGAGAGACAGGCAGACATGGGTGTGACTGAAATATACTACACAGTTGTTTGCTTAAAAACTGCTATCAAAAGCTGTTTTCAAGTCATGGGGTTCGAGAAGGCAAAATGAATTTTTTTGTCATTTGACAGAAAATGTTCTGCTGATGAAACATCACCTAATTATTCTGGATTTTTAAGCAACCTCTCTGCCTAAGAAAGAATGGACTCCAATATTGTTTCTCATGAGAAAAGGAATTCAACAAATTATTTCTGTCAGTTGGGTCAAAGACATAGATTTCCCTCTATATAGGCTGTTCTAATGTTTACATAATGCATTCTAACCATTTTGGGCTCCTATAGATGCATGAACCCGGGCAGTATTAGGGCAAAGCCCATGGCACTTCATGTGTTAAATTTACACTGAATTCCCAATGCAAACCTGCATCCAAAATAAGGGCACAAGCCCTCCACACAGAATTAAATGCACACAGATGTCAATCCCCATAGGAAGTCAACTGAGCCTTTCCCACCCTCCCACTTTGCCAGCCCTCAGCTGGGCACATATGTTGAGCACACTGCAATATGCCTCACAACAGGTGTCCAGTGGCACAGAGCGTGTTTCTCCCTTGCCAAAAGTCCCTCTTGGGGGAAGGGTGGTTTCAAAGTCTTCAATGGAACTGAAGGCATCTCTTCGGAGAGGCTTCGCAGCGTGCCATTTACAGCTGCCAAAAACCAGTTCAATCAATAAGTGAAAGCTCAAAAAAAGCAAAAACCCTACAGATGAATTGAAAGTTGGCTCCTGCACTTTGGTATCTGTCCTCTCAACCAACCCCTGGCTCTACCAATAGGTCAGCCTTCCACCAACCTGGTTTCTTCCAGATCTTTTGGACTACAGTTCCCATCAGCCTCAGCCAGCACAGTCATATTGGTTGGGGCTGGTGGAAGCTGTGGTTCAAAGCATTTGGAAGAGACTACGTTGTGGAAGGCTGATTGCTTCTCCTGCTTCCACCTCCATCATCTGCCAAAGACAAGGATGGAGATAAGATTAATTCTGTGGCCTGGCATTTGGCAACTCAATGTTTCCATAAAGGAAATGAGGGAACTTCCTTCAACTTGTCATTATTTTCCACTCTTATGATGGTATGACAGATGCCAACAATTCCAACAGCAATTATAAAGGTTCCATAATGGTAAGGAGGAAAGCCTCCTGAAAGCATTACAACTGCACATAACTTTAATTTCCCATTACTTCCTGTTTCCCATTATCCCTTCCTGTCTTCTCCTGTGTCTCATCTTTGCCTAGATAGTCAGCCTCTGGGCAAGGGCTTCTTATTAATTGATTTTAGGATTTATCTTTTGCTTTTCAGCTCAAATGAGCATTCACAGTGGGTAATAATATGGCCAACAAGGAGAAAAACCAAACCCCATTAAAACAGCCCAAAGCAAAAGGCAAATGGAATCAGCAGCATTATCTTAACAGCAGGAAGAATGATGCAAAGCCAGCAGAACTCTCTAAAAGCTTGGCTCAAAAGAAAAAATCTTAGTAAATGATTCAAGAATCTGAAGATCTAGAAGATTTTGAGTGGGAATGAATCCTATCAATGCAGGACCAAAACAGTTCACCTCAACTACCAGTGCCTTCCCACCACACACACATGCCAAAAGCACAAAGGGATGCTCTCGCCACTCAAGAGCACAACTTGGTGTTTGGTGCTTTGCAAGTTATATTTACAAAGATATTAGCCCCTACAGTTGCATTTCAGATCACAGGGACATCACCATCTTACAAATCTAGCTGTTTCTCTCCTGTCACACACAACAATGTATTAAAAATGCCCTTGCGTAATGACGGTAGAAGAACCAGCGGGAAGCGTTAAAGGAATCCTAGAAGAAATAGAACAATTTGGTCAAGTTGCAGGTTTTTATTTAAACAAAAGAAAGACTAAAATTATTGCAAAAAATATGGACCAAGAATTAATAGAGGAAATGCAACAAAGGACAGGGTTGGAAGTGGTGAACAAAGTGAAATATTTAGGAGTATGGTTAACCCCCAAGAATATCGATTTGTTTCAAAATAACTATGTACTTGTTTGGAATGGGATAAAAAGGGATCTGGAGGTGTGGGGAAGATTGAAGCTATCTTTTTGGGGAAGGATATCTACGATAAAGATGAGTGTGCTGCCAAGGATGTTATTTCTATTTCAATCACTACCAATAATTAAAAGGGCATCAATTTTCAAAGAATGGCAAAAAATAGTTTCAAGATACATCTGACAGGGCAAGAAGCCAAGGATTCAGTTTAAGTTATTAACAGATGCGAGAGAAAGAGGTGGCTTCGCCCTGCCAGACTTGAAACTATATTATGAAGCATCATGCCTCTGTTGGTTAAAGGAATGGATTAAATTAGTGAATGGAGAATTGTTAGATTTAAAAGGATTTGATAATAGATTCGGGTGGCATGCATATCTGTGGTATGAAAAGAAAAAAATTAATAAAGGTTTTGAAAACCACATCTTCCGAAGATCATTGATAGAGGTGTGGGAGAGGTATAAAAATTTGTTGGAACCAAGACTCCCCCATTGGCTTTCACCATTGGAAGTGATGAGTGTGAAAAAGATAAACATGAGGGGGAGGTGGATAGCTTATGGAGAATTGATAGTAAGAGAGGGGGGGGAAATGGAAAATGAAGACTTATGAAGAGGTGAAAGAATTTGTTTATGATTGGTTGCACTACTACCAGATTAGTGAAATGTTTAAAAAAGATTGTAAAATGTGTGGATATGAAGGAAAAGAATCAAAATTTCAAATAGAGGTATTGAATAATGAGTATAAAAATTTGTCTAAAATGTATAGAATGTTGTTGGAATGGCATACAAAAGATGAAGAGGTGAAATCAGTAATGATACATTGGGCCAGAGATTTTGGTTATAATATACAATATGATGATTGGACAAAATTATGGAATGAAAAGTTAAAATTCACGGCGTGTACCGCGTTGAAGGAAAATGTAATGAAAATGGTATATAGATGGTACATAACGCCAGTTAAATTAGCTAAAATGTATAAAACATGTAATGAGTGTTGGAAATGTAAAGAAAAAGAAGGAACTTTCTATCATATGTGGTGGGAGTGCAAAAAGGTGAAAGGCTTCTGGGAAATGATATATAAGGAATTGAAAAAGATGTTGAGATATACATTTGTTAGAAAACCAGAAGCCTTCTTACTAGGATTGGTAGGTAATGAAATTAATAGAAAAGATTGTAAACTTTTCCAATACGCTGTAATAGCTGCAAGAATACTTCTGGCGCAAAGATGGAAGCAGGAAGAAATTCCAACAGTGGAAGAATGGAGAATGAAACTGACTGAATATGCGGAATTGGATAAACTGACTGGGAAGATTCGATATCAGAAAGACCAAAAGTTTATCGAAGACTGGGGGAAATTTACAGATTATCTGAAAAGCATATGTGATGCACAGACAACGCTTGTTGGTTTTGAAGAGTCTCTGTGAAAAATTAAGAAATATTGTAAAAAAGAAAGTAGGAGAAAGGAAGAGGAATGGTTAAAGGCAATAATAAGTTCAGAAATGCGTTAACAATAGAAATTTTAACGAAAGATTGGCAGAGAAACTGAGGGAAGTCAAAAATTGATGAATGTGAGAGTTAATATGAGTTGATTGTATAAAAGTGTTTGGAAAATGAATAAAAATTATTATAAAAAAAAATGCCCTTGCATGACCTTCTGCCAAATAATGCAATGCCTTGGAAGAGTTTCAAATTGCAGTCACAATAAGCTTCCTTTCAACTGTTCGACACAATGTTGTGTTTGTAAAGATATGTATAAAAAAATTGCCACTAGGGGAGTATCAAGATTCTGGACAACTGTTCTGAGCAACTACTGTTGGGAAGTTTTCTAATACTGAATCTGCTTGCATTAACACTTCTGTAGCACTCTGGATTCCCACCCACACCCCAAGTTAAAAGTTCATCCTCAATATGATTCTTCAGAGCCATCTTTTCTACAAGCTTGCCAGGAGATCAACGCAGTCCAGGAAAAGGCTTGCTGCAAAAGGCCCAGGCGTGAGCCAGCTGAAAGACACATCTGCTCTGTTCTCTTACAAAGCTTCCTTTCCCCAACCATGAAATCTCAATGGAACTGAACATACCTCGCAGGACAGGCTTTGCAGCACGCTGTGAGCAATTACCAGCTGCCAAATCCATATCAATCAAATCCCAGGGGAGATTCTTCCTTCTTCAAACCAAGCAAGTTAAAAGGGGGGTGGGGTGAAGGAAACTGCCATCAAACTCAAACACACACACCCCCAAGTAAATTTCTACAGCTGGAACAACTTCATATGCTACCCTTAAAAATTCCAAGCTATCAAACACATAGTGGGCAAAATTTCAACACAAACGACCGGAAGTCCCTTAAGGTATCTCTCAGTTTGCCATTGGCTGCACTGTTTTGATTTGTATAGCTGCCATGACTGCAAGCTCTAGCACTGCAGAATGGCAGCGAGAGGTGGGTGTGGGAATTAAACTGGCCACAACTTTATCGAATACTTAATATAGCTATGAATGCAAAAACTGGGACCAAGGTGGAACCAAGTTATTTGTCTCTGCTTGCGATTACCAAAGGAAACAGCTCAGCTATCCAACAGCAAAGGTCCATTGGGTGCCATGGCTCAAGCCTGAGCCATCTTTGATGGAGCCTTGTGCCTTATTAAAGGTAAAAGTAAAGGATCCCTGGATGGTTAAGTCCAGTCAAAGGCGGCTATGGGGTGCGGCACTCATCTCTGCTTTCAGGCCGAGGGAGGTGCCGTTTGTCCACAGACAGATTTCTGGGTCATGTGACCAGCATGACTAAGCTGCTTCTGGCACAACAGAACACTGTGAGGGAAACCAGAGTGCACAGAAACGCCATTTACCTTCCCACCACAGTGGTACCTATTTATCTATTTGCACTGGCGTGCTTTCGAACTGCTAGGTTGGCAGGAGCTGGGACAGAGCAACAGGAGCTCACTCTGTCGGGATTCGAACCACTGACCTTCCGATCAGCAAGCCCAGGAGATTCAGTGGTTTAGACCACAGCGCCACCCCTTTTACCCTTTTACCTTTCACCATGCCTTACTACAGCCTTCCCAACCTGGTACCCTCCAGCATGGCTGTGCTGGCTGGGGCTGAGAGTTGCCATTCCAAACATCTGGAGGGCATAAATATACAAGAAGAGTCTGCTAGAACAGGCCAGCAGCCCATCCAGTCCAGCATTCTTCTCTTACAATGGCCAACACCCATGGGATGCTTGCAAGCAGAACCTGAGTGCAACAGCACTTTTTCTACTTGCGATTCTCAGCAACTGGTTGTCAGGAACATGCTACCTCCTAAGGTAGAGGTAGCACCTATCCATTGTGGGTAGAAGCCATTGGCAGCCTTATCCGCCATGAATTTGTCTAGGTAAAGGTAAAGGGACCCCTGACCATTAGGTCCAGTCGTGACCAACTCTGGGGTTGCGGCGCTCATCTCGCTTTATTGGCCAAGGGAGCCGGCGTACAGCTTCCGGGTCATGTGGCCAGCATGACAAAGCTGCTTCTGGTGAACCAGAGCAGCGCACGGAAATGCCGTTTACCTTCCCGCTGGAGCGGTACCTATTTATCTACTTGCACTTTGAGGTGCTTTCGAACTGCTAGGTTGGCAGGAGCAGGGACCGAGCAACGGGAGCTCACCCCGTCGCGGGGATTCGAACCGCCAACCTTCTGATCAGCAAGTCCTAGGCTCTGTGGTTTAACCCACAATGCCACCCATGTCCCCAATCCTCTTGTCTAATCCTCTTTTAAAGCCATCTAACTTGGCAGCCACCACTGCCCCCTGGTGGAATCACACAATCCGTCAATGCCCAAAGTGGAGGCTATTTTTAAAAGCCTAGCACTTCATATCTGCGGTTTTGAAAGAGGAAGACTATGGCTTATAGGTGATCTATATACATATACAGTAGCTGCTTGCTTTTCAGAAGGTTCCTCCACTCCTGAACATCAGGAACAATGGTGACTTAGGCAGTGAGAAGTATATTATTTATATTTTTTCACACAAAGACTCCCCATTGTATCTTTACTCACAAATCCTGTCTTAAGGGCATATTTGTGCATGAATAGGGTGAGTCCGTGACCTGAATTCAGGAATTAAAGTACTGGTATTAACCATCACAAAAGAATGGCCAGGCTGCCCAGGTAAAAGCAGTCAGTGACCATTATCAGGTATCCTGGCAGACAGGATTTCTGCTGTAGACTGCCTCTTCTGTGATGTATGTATGATGTTTTGAGGGGGTGATCTTGGGTTACAGGGTGGGCAATTTCAAAAGTCTATATAAAGGCTTGCACACCATTGTTCTGGGTTCCCTGCATGTGGTGAGTGAGGACCCTGTTGCAACAGTTTAATAAAGATCAGGCTTACTAGCCGCTTTGCTTCTCAATATTCTCTAGTTGGCCTCTATTATTTTCTCCTACCAATAGGGAACCCACTTAAGGACTCTTTACGGGCTCTTGGGTACCCCATAAGGGAAAGGAGTAGTTTTTTCTTACAACAATTGCAAAACAAATAATGTTATTAATGGGGAAGGGAGCGGTGTTTAAATTTTCATTCTGTTTTCTATAGGCAGGAGATTTTTGTCTTTGCACCCAGCTGTGGGTTGGGCTGGTTTGCCAGTTTGCTTTATTTTTCTGAGAGAAGTGGGTCCTGCTCTTGCCCGCGCTGCCCTCTCTTCCTCCTCCTCCTCCTCCTCCTCCTCCTCCTCCGGCAGGCACAGATGGAGCAGCAGGGCCCTTGGCTTCTCTGCATCTTGCAGTGTTTATAGGCTTGACGTGACTTTTCCAGCAAAAGTTGACGTGGGCACACACACCACATTCCCCCCCCCCATCCACTCGCCCACCTCCCTTTTCCCTTTCATCCAAACCGTACACCAGAAGTTTCTGCTTTCAATATCCTTGTGCATTTTTTTTTGAATGGGCTCATGGGGGTGGGGGGTGGAAAAAATCAATACACAGGCAAGTAACGCCAACCCTATAGGAGATGCGGAGTTTCCCTATTAAATTACCAGCTTCAGACTCTGGCGATCAGAAGTGATTTCCTCTTTGAAGGAGTTCCTGCCACTTTCGAACACATTTCTTCCCACCGAGACTCAGGCTCTGAACCTCAAAGGGCTTCTCCCAAAGTATCCCCTATTCCTGCCACTTGGGAAGGCGGAGTTCTTGGAGGATATGAGTCTTAACAGCAAGCAGCAAGTTTCCTGCCTGTGCAACAGATCTCTGCCTCATGCTTCTCTCCCTCCCTTCCTCCCTCCCTCCCTCTCTCTCTGCATGGTGCCTTCCTTGCCCTGACAGGAAAAAGAGATGGTGAAAGTCCTACAGCAGTGCTCAGAAAACACCTCCCTTTGCTCTTTTACCGAGAGAGCCATGTGGGGCATGTGCAGAGCAAGGTGACCACCCAAAGCCTTTGCAGTGGAAACCAAGGTCCTTTTATCTGATCAACAGCACCTGGCCAGACCCAATTTTTAGGCTTTGATGTTAACCCAAGTGGAACTGCAAGAATTACATAATCCCATGAGCGCATTGTGAGGACTTGTTTTTATTATTTTATCAAGGAAGAAAGCATCTAGCAGGTAACACTTATTTTCTCCTGCCCAAGCCCCATTGGAAGGAACAGCAGCTGCGTAAGGATACGGAAGCGGAGCCACAAGATTTAGATGCCACTGTTGCCGCTCCCAAAAAAGAAAAGGAAAGTGTTAAGTTGTGGGTGAACATATCAGATGACACAGTGATTCTCCAAACAGCTCTTGTTTATTCACAGGTCAGAACAGAACTGAACTGAAGGGTTCAGCCAGCCTGCTTATATAGAGCTCCAGTACAACGTAATTGTAACAACTTTCTGTAACTATCCAATCACTGAACGTCACTTTTGATCCCTTATTTGCATATGTGGACCTGACTAAAAACTGTCTACAGTATCCTCCTGCTGGCCCAGGGTGAGAACTTCAGTACATAACAAAAAGAAAGCTGAACAGTGATTATTAATTGGCTTGTGCAAAACTGAAAGAACAACTATAGTGTCCCTAAATCTCAAAGGCCCTAATTCAAGGAGGAAAAGAATATCAGTGTCTGCTAGGCATGATGGCTATATTGGCTGCATACTGTCTGCGAGATGGGAGTGGCAGCTGGACCCAGCAGTGAGGTCTGTTTTGGGGGGGACACCCCATGGATCCAGAGAGCAGATATGGACTTCAATAATATAGTGTCCTGAGCAAGGACAAAATTGCCCCCCCACAAAAAACCCCTCTTATTTTCACAATAATTCCTTTTGTTACAGTTGCTTTTTTATGAATCTTCTCAAAATTATTATTATTATTATGGGGCCCCTCTACTCAGCACTGTAGAGAGATCCATAGATCCAGACAGGCACAGCTACTACTCATTTAGCAGTGGGGGGGGGTCCCCAAGACCTTCCTAAATCTTTGGGGGGGGGGCCAAACATTTGTACCTTCCTCTCTAACTCTCAGGGTTAAAGGATTTCCACAGCGGTCTGAAACTGACGTCGCAAACATCTCATGAAAACGATGAAACAGCAGAGCAATTCATGACAACGCCGATGTTAAACCCACTTAAAATCTCTACCAATAAAATAAACGGTATCAAAACACCTGAGCAAATCAAAAGGATTGACGTGGCACCGAAAAGACAACAGTCTCCTGGGACACATAGGGAAGTCCAGCATGAACTATCAGTGGAGGCCAGCCCATTTGGGGCAAGTAGGGCACTGTCCCAGCAACCTCCAAACCCACTGGCCTCCTTTCTGACAAGCAGTCCAGCAAGCTGCCCTGGCAATCTGCTTCCTCCTCTTCAGTCTCAGTTTTGCCCTTGCAAAACTCAGCAGGGAGGAGGATGGGGGCAAAAACAGAAATAGCTGGATCTGCCGGTCCTTTGCACTGGCTCCTCCTACGGTTGAGCTCCTTGGCTTCCACCCAACCAGTTATTTATTTATGAGATATATTGCCTCCCCTTCACCCAAAGGTTTGTTGTTGTTGTTTAGTCATTTAGTCGTGTCTGACTCTTCGTGACCCCTGGACCAGAGCACACCAGGCACTCCTGTCTTCCACTGCCTCCAGCAGTTTGGTCAAACTCATGCTCGTAGCTTCAAGAACACTGTCCCACCATCTCGTCCTCCATCGTCCCCTTCTCCTTGTGCCCTCCATATTTTTCTTTACAGCACTGGACTTTCCTTTCACTTCCAGGCATATCCGCAACTGAGCGACCTTTCGGCTTTGGCCCAGCCGCTTCATCAGCTCTGAATCTACTTTTACTTGTTCTCCACTCTTCCTCAGTAGCATGTTGGACGTCTTCTGACCTGAGGGGCTCATCTTCCAGAGTCATAACTTTTATATGGCTGTTGTCTTTGTCCATGGAGTTTTCTTGGCAGGGATATTGGAGTGGCTTGCAGGTTCCTGCTCCAGGTGGATCACATTTGGTCAAAACTCTCCACTATGACCTGTCCATCTTGGGTGCCCTGCATGGCATAGCTCATAGCTTCTCTAAGTTATTCAAGCCCCTTCGCCACGGCAAGGCAGTGGTGATCCATGAAGGGGTCGCCCAAAGGTAGGGTTGCCATATTTCAAGAAGTGACTGTTCCTTTTTTCTTTTTGCTAGGGTTGTTGAGCTTCTTTTGCAACAAACAAACAAACAAAGTTTTTGAGCTATTTATTAGGAAATTCACCATATCCACATGCCCGTGTTTCCCTGGACAGTTTTGCCGATTTTCAGAAATTACGCATGGACGCTATTTCTGATGGACGGATCACATATATGTGCAAAAAATTCCAGACGTATGGCAGCCCTACCCAAAGGCCCCAGGGCAGTATAACTAGGACAATGAAACCACAATGAAATCACTAGACAAATTACCCCTTAGAGATAGCTCAGTTGGTAGAGCATGAGACTCTTAATCACGGAGTTGTGGGTTCAAGTCCCGCATTGGACGAAAGATTCCTGCTTTGCAGGTAGTTGGATTAGATTATCCTTGTGGTCCCTTCCAACTCAACAATTCTATGATTCTATGATCACCAGCATTGAAAAATATATATAGTAGCCATGTGCAATCTGAAAAGCATTTGTCAAGAGGCTTGCGGATCTTGGTTTGGAGAAGAAAAAGCCAGGATTTGCTTCATGTATTAATGCAAGCCTCCCTAATTTGTGCTTCCTGATGCAAGAGGCAAACTCCAAACAGAAAATAGTTCATCACTTACACAAAGGAGTCATTTTTCCTTGGAGGTACAGCCCAAATTAAGAAATCACCATATACATTTAACGCAGGGCAGTGACATTAAATTTCAGGTGCTTTCAGCCTGACAGGTGCAAAGTCTGTTGTCTGAAATCTGCCAGGCAGTATATTCTCATAACAATTCCAACTGCAGCCTCCAGAAACTGGTTTTGGCTCAGGTTTAAAAAAAGGAGCAGCAGCAGGGGTTAGCCATAACATGCAATAAAAAGTGGGTAAACATAGATGACACTTCAAAGTACTGAGCTGGGAGGCTGCTCAGCAGGAAGAGGAAAGGAAAAAGTCTATAAATATCAGTTGCACTGGACGCTGGAAAGAGGAAATTGTGATTCGGCTCCAGCCAATAGAAAATACACACACCCTGGGGTCACTTGAATAAGTGAGAATCACATGCGGAATGGACAAAAGGGAAACAGGAGAATTTTGAATCCTTGTCCTAAAAGGCCCAGGAGGTTTAATAAAGCCTAATCTGACTGCCTCATTTGAGGAGCACAAGATGAATTTACCTGTCCCAGTGGCTGGGAGAGAGCCTCCATTTTCCAGCTTGTTATATTTTAAAGGTAAAGGTAAAGGGGCCCCTGAACATTAGGTCCAGTGACCAGCTCTGGGGTTGCGGCGCTCATCTCGCTTTATTGGCCGAGGAAGCTGGCGTACAGCTTCTGGGTCATGTGGCCAGCATGACTAAGCTGCTTCTGGCGAACCAGAGCAGTGCACGGAAACGCCGTTTACCTTCCCACTGGAGTGGTACCTATTTATCTACTTGCACTTTGACGTGCTTTTGAACTGCTAGGTTGGCAGGAGCAGGGACCAAGCAACGGGAGCTCACCCCATCGCGGGGATTCGAACCACTGACCTTCTTATTGGCAAGTCCTAGGCTCTGTGGCTTAACCCACAGCGCCACCCGCGTCCCTGTTATATTTTAGAGAGTAGAAACTCTGGATACATTGGGGGAACCTGAATCAGGGCCAGCCCAAGACACTTGGGCACCTGAGGCGAACCACAAAATAGCGCACACATCCTGCCAGGGAAGAAGAGGCAACTGAAGACCTACATTAGGAGCAAGGGAGTGGGATAAAGACAGGGCCGGATTCAGGTATGATGAGGCCCTCAGCTACTGAAGGTAATGGGGCCCTTTATATGTCCAGCTGTCCTTTGTCAACAACAAATTGTCACTGTTTTTTGTGTTGAATATATGCTATGTGGTAATTTATGGACCAAATAGGCATCTAAAGCCATTTGCACATGTTACCCTACAACCAGTCCATGCAGAATGTAGGGACCCTATGCATCCCATTTGCGGACGGGATCTGTTCCAGAGCTCCGGTTGGACCCCGAGGTTTCTGCAACCGGTGGGACAGTTTCTGTGCATGTGCGCATGGTGGTAGACTGCTTCTGCGCATGTGTACATGACGAAACCCAGAAAAATATTTCCAGGTTTGCCATGTACATATCCCGTAGGATACGTAACCAGAGGTGAACATAAGTAGAGGTACCACTGTATCTAGAAATGAGCATTACTTACATTATAGGAGCCTACACAACACAAAACACTGTTGCTGTATGTAGGTTTTATTTTATTTGGTTTTTTATCGTATATTTTGGAAATGTACATCCAGGTTTTTTTCCTTTAAATTTTTTTGGGGGCCCCAAGAGAGTGGGGCCCTAAGCTAGAGCTTGCTTAGTAAAAGGTAAAGGTACCCCTGCCCGTATGGGCCAGTCTTGACAGACTCTAGGGTTGTGCGCTCATCTCATATAAACTTGCTTAGCTTATATGTAAATCCAGCACTGGATAAAGATCTACAGATCTACAAGAGCCAGTGTGGTGTAGTGGTTAAGAGCGGTAGACTCGTAATCTGGTGAACCGGGTTCGCTTCCCCGCTCCTCCACATGCAGCTGCTGGGTGACCTTGGGCCAGTCACACTTCTCTGAAGTCTCTCAGCCCCACTCACCTCACAGAGTGTTTGTTGTGGGGGAGGAAGGGAAAGGAGAATGTTGGCCGCTTTGAGACTCCTTCAGGTAGTGATAAAGCCGGATATCAAATCCAAACTCCTCCTCTTCCTACATTGGGAACAAGGGAGAGAATCAAAGGTCATCACAGGGAAGAGGGAGGGGCCCACTCTGAATCAAGCACACGCTGGGACCCCTCAATTTTGGGGGCAGCCTGGTGCCTCTGCTTCAGGGTGGTGGCACTGGAGGGTCATAGACAGGGATGTGTTGAGATATAAGAGAGGGGAGATAAGGGAGAACTAGCAAAATAATAACAGGGCAATCAGAGAGGAAGACTTGGCAAACTCAACCGGCCTGGTACAATTTTGCACATTTATGCATAGCTGACCCCTGAAGTACGGGTTTAAATATGTACTTCAGCATTTTATTCTTAAAACGCTTCAGGTACGTTAGCTAAATGGAGGTTAATTCTATTAAAAACATTTTAAGGCCACAGTGTAATTTTAACTGCTTATAGTGGTACACCCGGTATAAATTTAACCTTGAAAACAAACATTTTAATATGGGAATCTGTGACTCATGATGGCTTTTGCATACACGTGAGGCCATGCCAGGAGCACGCAAGGAGCACAGGAAACACTCCTCTAGGTCACATGCTGTTGCTTCGCCAACAAATTATCGTTGGGATTCTCAGAGTCCCATGAGCTTTGCTGCAGCCCAAAAGCAGGAATGTTGGTGCCTGGGCATAAAATCCAAATGGCAGGAAATCCCTGCATTGATAAATATATACAGTATATATAATAAATTGATAATGTATCACTCCTTAAAGGTAAAGGGACCCTGATCATTAGGTCCAGTCATGGCCGACTCTGGGGTTGCGGTGCTCATCTCGCTTTACTGGCCGAGGGAGCTGGCATACAGCTTCGGGGTCATGTGGCCAGCATGACTAAGCCGCTTCTGGTGAACCAGAGCAGTGCACGGAAGCGCCATTTACCTTCCCGCCGGTATTTATCTACTTGCACTTTGACGTGCTTTCGAACTGCTAAGTTGGCAGGAGCAGGGAGCTCACCCCGTCGCGGGGATTTGAACCGCCGACCTTCCAGTCAGCAAGCCCTAGGCTCTGTGATTTAGACCGCTGCACCACCACCTGAGCCAAGCCACTTTATCCTGCCTAAAGGAAGAGCCAACTCATAAAGCTACATGAGGCAAGACTGTGTGCCAAAAATACCTGCAGGAGCCAAGACAATGCTAGAAGCAGCTTTGAGCTCTGACGGGAAAGGTCCTTAACAAGGTGAATTCTCCAGCTATGCAAATTCTTTCTGGGCCTACAGGTCTCTTTACATTGCATGCTTCTGCAGTTGTGTCAATGGGAAGTATTGGATAGAATTCGCTATATCTCTCAGCCTATCAGGAGGATAAATCTCTGACCAATCGTGCCGGCTATTACTTTTCTATAAAACTGGTTGAATTTATTATTATTATTATTATTATTATTATTATTATTATTATTATTATTTTGGAACTAATGGAACTGCCCCATTATTACAATTATTATTTTTTTACCCATCCATCAATTAACTGTTGCCCAGAAGAAGAAAAATACTTTAAAAGTGCTAGAACAGCTTATTGCTTTCATAATAGCTGGCAGAATTTACGTTCCTCTTTTAGTCATTCTGATATTGCCTGCTGTTGAACTGCATAGTTAAATAGTAGATTTGGGAATTCAAAGTCATTCCCTGCTTGCTTAGGTTTTCTAGCACATTTGGTGGAACGTTTTGTCATCTGTCCCTTGGGCAAAATCCTTTGCCACTTTAGGGCTCGTCTACACTTCCGCTTGCGCCGCACTTAGAAAGCATGGGTCCGAGCAGTTTCCCCCTTGCCCTGCTCCTTTCCAAGGGAAACCCCATTCTAGCCATAGATCAGAAGAAATGGCAATCTGGGGGAAACCCAAATCACTGTGTTCTCTGGCTGAGCGCTAAAGAGCAGTTTCCCCAGGCAGGGGAAGCAGTGAGACAAAAGGAAGTGTGGATAAGGCCTTGGTTAAAATGCTGACCCTCAAGAAATCCAGGTACTTCCCCTCTCTGCAGGTGTCACTACCAAGAAGGCCCTAGTTCCCTGTAGCTTCACTTCTCACAGTGAGGGAACCACCAGAAGGCCCTCAGTGCTTGATCTCAGTGTCCGGGCAGAACAATGGGGGTGGAGACGCTCCTTCAGGTATACTGGGCCGAGGCCGTTTAGGGCTTTAAAGATCAGCGCCAACACTTTTGAATGAGCAAAGATCAGAAAGAGAAACAAATCCAGTTCAAAAAGACATCTATTCATTGATTCATTCATTTACTTATGTGCTTAAAATGTTTTTATGTCACCTCTCACCAAATGGAGCAATGGCAGAGGTCCCAAGGCAGAGTACAATTAATACAGTTACAACAGGTTTTTTATTTGAAAGAAGCGGGTAAAAAATAATCCACAAATACCAAAATTCAATGCATATGTACAACAACAAAAATCAGAACACAGCTCAGTAACAAGCAGACAAGCAGACATCATCCTCACATCAGCCCAAATCTCCAGTCAAGTTTACCAAGCCGTTTCATGTAGAAGGGAGACAGAAAGGAACCTGGAGAGCAATAGCACCACGTTCTGAGACTTCAAATCCTCAAAAACTGGAACCAGGCCTCATCCAGACAACTGCTCTGGAGAGATACTAGGCTTGGTGATACTGAAAGCCACTGAGAAGTCCAGAGGAATTAGCAGGGTGGCACTCTCCCAAATCCATTCCCCTGGGCTAGTCATTCATCAGGGTGGCCAAGGCTGTTTCCATCCCAAAACCAGGCATGAAGCTGAACTGGAATGGATCAAAACCACCTGCAACATCACAGACTACCTGGAGCTGAGGAGAACCACACACTCCAATAGCTTGCCCCCAAATGCTGGGGTAGTCATCAGAAACCATGAGATAGGAATTAAGTTTCTTCAGGCTATCGGGATTCATACCTTCACTCCCAGAGGCATTAGCCACCTTCAAGGTCCAAATGTCCAGTCCTACCTGATTTTACAAACTGTAATGGACAATGGACACCATCTTATTTCTAGCACTGATGTGAACAGCCCTGGTTTATTTTTGGATAGTTTCCTTTGCACATACTCTCCTTTAGATATGAAATGGTCATTTCCCACTTGCATTGCAAAATGTATCCTGGACTCTTCTTCTTATTCAGTACAATCTGATATATTTGGTGTTGAGATTGGGATATGGAGCGATCCTACCAGAATCAAGGACCAGCAAGCTCAAGCTCACTTGGGGCTTGCTCCTAAGTAAGTTACTACAATTTCCCCTAGGACTAAATCTTACTGAAGTCAATGGGACATACTTCTGAGTAGACATTTATAGGATTGCCCGATCAGTCTTATCAAATCCCACTGGGTGTTAGGATAATGTGAAGCTTCTCGCTTACTGTCCAGCTGCTCATGTGTCCGGCCATCAGATCAGAGAATCCAGAATAGGAAAGAAATGTTTCCCAAATTACAGAAAGACCTCACTGGGAATATTTTTAGCAAAAATTCACAGCAAGACGCATCTTCCTCAACATTTCCAGCTCATAATTTTGTGAAAAATCTAACCATTTTAAGACCAAAACCTTACATAGAGATGTTTTAACCTTCCTGGATACTATTTCCTGAAGACTCATATTAACCATGCACATTTTACAGTGTTATTCTGGTTGTTGTTTTTCTTTTAATGCAAGCCAATCATGCAATTTGGGTAAATCTGGGTTGGCGATGCTGTTTATGTTTGTACCATCCTCTTATGCTGCTCTGATCCATTTCAACAGTATGAATGAGTACGATCAGCCAGGAAGTTCTCCTGTGCGAACAAACAAAATCCATCGAAAATGAACAGAAGTTGGGCAAGAGCTTCTTGGTGGATTGGGCCCCTTGTCTCTTGTTTATTTCATAGAGGAGGGGAGGGGTGAGCTTCCAAATGTGCAGTGGAGTCAAAAGCAGTGAGTGGAGTGCAAAGAAGCAAACATGGATCTTCTGGTTGTAAAAAGATTAATATGTTTTCCATACGCTTCACTCCCTAGCCGTATTTTCCACATGTGTTAAAGATCAGTGCCAGCATCTCTCTCTCTGCTGCCGAAATCGCACGCCACATAAAATAGCTACAACTGCTAGGACAGAAAAGAACCCTAGGAGCCAAAATTGATGGCTTGCTGCCACTCAAATCTCGTCGTCATTTAACCTTTCCCTGTTCCTAACCTGGAGAGAGATGCAGAACACTTCATAACTTCCTTTCAGTTCTCCGTTGTTCGTGCATTAAATGGTGGTGCAGGTGGGGGCGGGGAGCAGGGGGAGAGGCCAAAAGGAAATTTCCTGGGTTCTTCAGAAGACCGCAAGCTTTGTTGCGTTTCCTCCTGTCCATGGGATCTAGCACAGTCTGAAAAAGTTTTATGCAAATGCAGACCATTGTGGATTCAGTGACACCACACGTTCCAAACGCTGTTAAAATGTGCATCTTGTCATAGAGCTGTGGAATGGGAAGTGATTCATAGGGTCATCTAGTACAACCTCCTGCAACGAAATGTTACTGCAGACTTTTTGTCCGAGAACAATTTAGTGTGACGGCTACTGTAGTACTGTAAAAGCAGCAGAGACAGGAAGCATCAAACTAGGCAAGATTAAAGGTAAAGGGACCCCTGACCATTAGGTCCAGTCGTGGCCAACTCTGGGGTTGCAGCGCTCATCTCGCTTTACTGGCTGTACAGCTTCCGGGTCATGTGGCCAGCATGACTAAGCCGCTTCTGGCGAACCAGAGCAGCGCACGGAAACGCCGTTTACCTTCCCGCCGGAGCGGTACCTATTCATCTATTTGCACTTTGACGTGCTTTCGAACTGCTAGGTTAGCAGGAGCAGGGACTGGGCAACGGGAGCTCACTCTGTCACAGGGATTCGAACCGCTGACCTTCTGATCAGCAAGCCCTAGGCTCTGTGGTTTAACCCACAGCGCCACCCGCGTCCCTTAGGCAAGATTATGTGCCTCCTATTGGTTGGGTGGGTTGAGTTAACTGTAGTCTTATGAGGCAGGTTGGACTTGGGGCTGCAGAAAGATGGAATTAACTCTTTCCTGATCTAAGTGGATCCCACAACTGCTATTTGCCCAGTGGGGAAAAACTTAAAGGTGTCAGAAGGGTCAAGAGTTTGCTCTAACATAACTATTTTAAAAACTGCTTTCTCACAAAAGAAACATATTTTTACAAACCTGTCTTTTCTAATTATTAGTTAGTGTCCTTCCAGACTCATCCTCCATGGTCTATCTGAATGTGAAACACTTTCACAAGCAATTAGAAAAGACACACACGTGATTTTCTTTTCATTTGTACTGCCATCAAGCCACACTGGCACAACCATTTTTTTAACAATCTTGCAAAGTTGTCCGGCAAGGGAGAATTTGTAACCGGTGGTAGCAAAAAGACCAAAATCAGCAGGTGGGAAGTTCTGCTTTGCAAATCGTATGGAAATAGCAAGGTTTTTGCACATGGCCCACTCGTTTGAATGAGTCGAGCAACGGAGAAATTCTCACTGGGCTCTTTGTGCCTAAAACCTTGTTACAGCTTTATTAAAAGGCTGGCCATTCAAAGACTCCCCGCTATACACACACACACACACTGCCCAAAACTGAAGCACATTCCTAAATATATTTGGAAGGCTGACTGGATCAGATTAGATATTCTTGTGACTGTGAAGGATGACACACACACACACGCAAACAGTGTTAGGCAGAGCTGTAGCTGAGGGGTGGGCTGGCTGGTCAGGATTTTTGCCCAGGATTTGTGTGTGTCAGACCCTCAAAGTGTCTCTATTTTCCAGAGACGTCCCTTATTTAGAGAATTGATACAACACATTGTATAAATTACTTAGATAACTTCAAATTCATGACTAATCACTAAATTAGAGAAACATATTAGCGACTATGGCTTAAAACGCTGAGTGCTGAGTTTGTAACTAAAATGGGTTATTCAAGCCTGTGCAATCTGTTACCTTCTAACTTTGGTTTATTATTATTTTATTATGTTTCATTACAGAATTGTACATGGAGATGAGTTAGGAAGCCAGGCTTCCTACCACCCACTCAGAATTGTATAAGCCTTATAAAGACCAGTCCTGTTGAACCCAGAGAAGAAAAGAAATCTGAAGAGTGAAACAACAGAGGTACGACTGGGAGGAATGAAGCATTGGCCAAGCTGTTTGATGCCAAATAGAAAATAATTCTTTTGCATATCCTGGAAAGACCAGCACACAGAAAATCCCTACCCTGAAGCCTTTTGATTGCTATTTTTACTTATAGAATGAAATAAAAGTGCTTTAAGAATTTAGACCCATGTGTTGTTTTAATGACTTATTTTAATAGTTTTCCAGATCTCTCAGACACATAGGCATGGACTATTTCATTTCTTACTTTAATAGCACTTGCGAGTAAAACTCTAATTATTGTGCCTGTTTAAAATATTGTGAAGCTTCGTTGTAATAAAACTGGTGCTGGAGAGCTCAAGGCGGCACATGCACCTGAACTGCCAAGCTAAAGACACATAGAGAATGAGAAATGAGTTATGCAGTGCTGCCAGGGCACAGTGGAGTCAGTCTTGCAAATAGACGGGGATCAGGTCCAGTGGGGTGCTGGGTGTCAGTGTGAGGCAAAAGAGGAGAGAAGTGAGGTCAAGGGCAGGCACAGATCAAGTCTGAGAGATGGCAGTCAAGGGACAAGAGACAGGCAACATAAACTAAGGCAGGCAGGAATCTAATTCTGAAAGATAGCTGCTGACGAGTCAGAAGAACAAGTAACCAGTGGTGTAACATGGGAGGGACACAAGGACAGTTGCCCCGGGCACAAAACTGTTAGGGGCACAAAATTTCCCCTTATTAGCCTTAGCTAGCAGGAGATTGCCAAAAGCAATCACATTATAAATGGTAAAGCGACCCCTGACCATTAGGTCCAGTTGTGGCCGACTCTAGGGTTGCAGCACTCATCTTGCTTTATTGGCCGAGGGAGCCGGCGTACAGCTTCCGGGTCATGTGGCCAGCATGACTAAGCCGCTTCTGGCGAACCAGAGCAGCGCACGGAAACGCTGTTTACCTTACCGCCAGAGTGGTACCTATTTATCTATTTGCACTTTGATGTACTTTCAAACTGCTAGGTTGACAGGAGCTGGGACTGAACAACAGGAGCTCACCCCATTGCGGGGATGGGCAGTGTCTAATTACACACAGTACCGAATACTCATACCCGTTTTAGTTTCACCTTTTAGGATCCACACTGCTAATTAGAAACGGTCAGAGAAGACCTTCTCCCCACTCAGTGAGTCAGTAGAGTTGAAACCAACATTCAGAAACAGCCAACAGACTTATTTGCATGGTTTATCATGCTGATGACATTCCTAGCTATGCTGAATGAAAGCGGACTCCAGTGTGAAAACTGAATGTGAAAACAGCATGGAATACTCAACTCTACCTCTCCCGCAGCAAAGAACGGTCTCCTCACCAATCAGCAAGCAAGAACACCAGCAGGGATGAACAGGCTCAGAGTACTGGTATATTGATCAGACGCTCCCAGCGGTTCTCAACCTGTGGGTCCCCAGATGTTGTTGGACTACAACTCCCATCATCCCTGAGCTCTGGCCTTGCTAGCTAGGGCTGATGGGAGTTGTAGTTCAACAACATCTGGGGACCCACAGGTTGAGAAAGGCTGCTACTCCCTTCCCCTCAGTTCTCTTCAAAACTATAAAACTCTTATTACCTGCTTCTGTCTCCAGACTTGTTAATACCTTGTTCTCCCTGAGGTAGCCTACCTGCATCTAGCCTGCAAAACTACATGGGGGAGCTTCACACAGAAGCAGAGAACAGTGGAGTTGGAAGGGACGCCACGGGGTCATGTAGCTCCACCCCCTACAATTAAAGTATTCCTGACAAATGGCCACCCAACCCATTTTAAAACCTACAATGAAAACCCTCACCTTCCAAGGAAGCTGATACCACTACTGGACAGCTCTTACTATCACGATGTTCTTCCCTTTGGAGCAAGAGAAAACAAGCTTGCTCCATCTTCCATGTGACAGCCCTTCAGATATTGGAAGAAGGCTTTCTTATCAACTCTTCTCCAGACTAAACATGCCCAACTCCCTCAACTGTTCCTCATAAGGCCTGGTTTTCAGACCCTTTATCATCCTCTGCACACATTCCAGCTTATCAATAGCCTTTTCTGTACAGTAAAAACTTGCATGACAAGAGGAAAGAGGCCTGGCCCGGCCTTCTCTCTAAGCTAGGAAAAGGTCTTTTCTGTGCCAGTAGAATAGTCTCCCCCTAGAGATAAGTCATGCGCCAGCATACAATTCCAGTGCATGCAAAACAATAACAATAACAGCAACAGCAACAACTTCAAGAACAGCCTTTGCTGGCTATTGACAACAGGCATTGCAGACATTCTTAGAACATTCACTGACTGCTTCTTTGTTTATCTGTATTGTGTTTTGTAAATGCAATTGTGTTTTGTACTGTATTTTAATGGCATTAGAGTATGCCACCTTGAGATGCCTACATAGCAGGCAATATAATTATTTTAATTTATAAACAAATAAAGGGATAGTTTTCTATGTGCAGGGAACATTTTGTATGGATGAGCAATCCAGACAAGAGAGAAATGCATTTAAACCAATTGTCTACTACACGAGTCGGCAACCTAAGGCCCATGGGCCACAAGCAGCCCATTGGGGTTGTTTAACAGGCCCCCAAGCCGCCCCCAAACTGAGCCGCCCACTCGGCGAGTCCCTGCCTGCTGCACTAAACCAGCGCAGTGCAGCGTGGGGGCTCACTTCCACGGCACCAGAAATCATGTCTGCGCAGACGCAGATGCCCAAAATTGCAAGCATGTGTGCTCACACACGCACGACCCAGCCCACGGAGGGATCTCCGCTGGAGTGAACCAACCCAGGCGAGGTAAACCTTGCTGACCCCTGGTCTACTAGATAACCCTGTTAATAATTAAATAAAGAGAAGGCTTAGGAGCTGAAGGAGCACAGCAATGCAGAAATTGGGAGGGAATTAAGAATCTATGCCCCCCATTTTTTCTTCATGAGGCAAGCACCCAGTTGGTTAAAAGTTGTGGTAGCTGGAAAAAATGTCTCCATAATAAAGGTGAACATTTGCTTGCTGTGGGTTAAACCTCAGCGCCTAGGACTTGCCGATCGCATGGTCGACGGTTCGAATCCCCGCGGCAGGGTGCGCTCCCGTTGCTCAGTCCCAGCGCCTGCCAACCTAGCAGTTCAAAAGCACGTCAAAGTGCAAGTAGATAAATAGGGACCGCTTACTAGCGGGAAGGTAAACGGCATTCCGTGTGCTGCGCTGGCTCACCAGATGCAGCTTGTCACGCTGGCCACATGACCCGGAAGTGTCTGCGGACAGCGCTGGCTCCCGGCCTATAGAGTGAGATGAGCGCACAACCCCAGAGTCTGTCAAGACTGGCCCGTACGGGCAGGGGTACCTTTACCTTTACCTTAACAAGAGCTCACATTGGTCCACTCCTGGTTTTATATAGAAATCTATTCTAGAAATAATTTTATAGTTATAACAGGCAGGATGTTGAGGGAGGGCAGAAACTCTACACACAAACACACTTTGCACTTCTCCGTAGATGTCTGGGATGTTGGTTAGGTTTTGTCATTCTATGCCGCAATGCAGTCTTCCCCTCCACACAAGCACACGCCACATAGTAATGAAAGGCAGGCAAGCAGTTGTAGCAATTTAGAAGAAAGGGGCAATTATTTTGAAAGGATAAAAGTTCCTTGGAAGAGCTTCGTTAGAAATGCAAAAAAAAAAGCTCATTTTGGTTGGCTGAAGAAGGGCATTGATGCATGTTCACTCAGAAGAAAGTACCGCTGAGTCCAACACAGCTTATGCCAACTAAATATGCTTACATGCCCAGAATCTGGATTCATTATAAGTTCTGATTAAAAAGAAATAAACCCAAATGTAGCTTTTCCAGACTCCATGGGCAAAGAGTTTCAGTGATCAAGTCTGGAAAAACTGCATCTGTGGGCTGCACCCAGGCTTCCTATGAGTGAAGTTCCAGTAACAGGATCCTGGAGGAAGGGAGAGATTATTGTTGCAGAATCCGCTTTCCCTCTGCAAAAGCAACTTCAGAGTGTTATAGGGAGCTTCTGGAACATCCTGGGGGTGGGATAGCACTGGAGGCTGCAGGAGAGGGAAAGGAAAGCTGCAAAAATGATGCCCCCCCCCCAGCAGGAGGCGCTTATGATGAATCAGAGACTCTTCCAGAGACCTGTGAAAACGTATGCCATAAAACACTGTACTGTCCGGCTGCTTGAAAAACAGATCATTCTTCCAGTAAAAAATTAATTGGGTAGGAAATTAAATAGGCATTTTATTGGCCAGAACCCAGAATGTTTTTTTTTTTTTTTTTTTTTAAAGCAATTTATTGGGTTTTACAATAGGAATAAATGTAATAAACAATATAACATTCGTCTTAACATAATTTCACATTTTCTTTGGACTTCCTCACATCTCCCGCTCCCACCTTCATCATTATAACATTTTGTCAGCAATTTATCATCTTATTTAAATTCTTATATCTCTTCGATATTTCATAATCTTATAGTTCTCATAAAGAGTTAAACTTTCACAGTTTTTCTTATTTTTTTTAAAAACTTCTAGGTTAAGTGGTGCTCAGTTATTTAGTCAAGCATCTTATTCAGCATTCAGTCAAATCACAATGTTTTTGTAGGTAGTTCTTAAATTTCTTCCAATCCTCCTCGATTCTCTCTTCTCCCAGGTCACGGATTCTGCCAGTCATTTCAGCCAGTTGCATATAGTCTATCAGTTGCATCTGCCATTCTTCCAGTGTGGGTAGATCTTGAGTTTTCCAATGTTTTGCGAGTAGTATCCTTGCTGCTGTTGTTGCATCAGAACCCAGAATGTTGGGTTTCGTTCCCAGAAAATAATATAAATGTTGCTTAATTATTATTATCTTAGGATGGCAATGTGTAGTTTCATGGTGTTTACATACGAGGCGATGCATCTTCTTTTGATTGGGTTTCCCAGCCCCCTCACATTTAGTGAATTGTCTTCTAATTATTATTCCAATGTCCTTCGGGTTATCTATGATTTTCTATTATTATCTTAAGGCAATATAAAGCATAGCATTGTTGCTTCTAATAGCGAATTCAGGTGGCGAATGCTGACAGGATGGAAGACAAAATGGACCACAATGATGCTTAACACGATTTGTGGACCGAAAAGCAGCACAAAGGTATTTCTTATCTTGCAGCATTCGTAGGTTGCAAGCTGACTTTGAGATCCCTTTCCTACAACTGCAAAGTGAGCAATCCACCAATAAGTTACCCTTATGTCTACACTTAAGTTCTGCTATCTGCCAAAACCCTTGGAAAGTAGCATGCTACAGATTTAAACAACTGAAAGAAAGGATGTTATGAGACAGGCAACCTGCGAAGTGAGCTGGGGCTAATTCACACACAACCCAGTAATGGTTTATGAGAACACAGCTGCATGCAATAGGGGTATCTGATTGCCACACAGAGACATTCTTCGTAAGTGCATGCGATGGTGGGTCCTTTATTTTTTTCTACTCACCTCACACACTTCTAGAAACTGTTTGCTCCATCTTGTGGCCAGATTCATTTCCATGCAATTGCACAAATTCATAAAATCGTGACTTACATGCTAAACATTGATTTGGTTGTGAGATGGAGACATTTATTTTATTATTAGGTGATTATTATCTTTTTTAAAAAACCCACCTTACATCAAGTAGCTATTAGGATGGTGCACAAAATAAAATAAAATGTTTGGATGCTTTACTGCATGGCCAGAATTTGGATTTAATTGTGTGCTTAGGGTTGGATCTACCTGAGAACCACTGAAATCAATACACTTAAGTAAGTTGTCCACTGATTTCAATGGGTCTGTACTGAATATGATGGGCACAATCTGCACTATACATTTAAAGCGGTATTATACCGGTTTAAATAGTTGTGGCTTCCCCTGAAGAATCCTGGGAAATGGAGTTTGTAAAGTCCACTGAGTTCTTAGGAGACCCTTATTCCAAGAACTACAGTCAATCCTTGTTCCCAGGTAAATCTGGGATCTGTAGCTCCGTGGGGGAAATAGGGGTCTCCTGACAGCTCTCAGTGTCCTTGACAAACTACAATTCCCAGGAATCTTCAGAGAAAGTCATGATAATTGTTTAAATGTAAAGTGTGGATGGGGCCTAAGCTGGAAACAACTCTTGGGGCTGGTTTTTTTTTTTATCATGTGAATTGACTTAACATAATTTCATGTACTTTGAGTTAATTGCTAGGTCCCAAGGAATATAGATACAACATAATTTATGTATTTAATGTGCCTGCTTGTTGACTACCATATGTTCTATTATTCTGTAAAAGCATGTCTTGTTTGATTATGGATAGCAGTCCAAAGGCCATATTCTCTCTGCAGCCATTTGAGTGGGGTCAAGAAACAACAAGAATTCATGATCCAATTCAAATCACAAATTCAAATTCACAATCGGTGTACTTATCTGGCTTACACTAAAAAATAAACTCCAGAATGCAATCTGCACTAAAAACATTTTATTTTATTTTATTTTAAAAATCCATTTTGGATACAAATGGAACCGGTCCCTTCCTTTGCACTGTGGCAACTTCCAAAATATTTACTAGAATTAGAAAAACATTGGTATAGTTCGATATACTGCATTCTAGCACAAGACCACTTATGCATGCATATACACAGACAAAATGAAAAAAAATGTGAATCGACTTAAATTCATCTTAATCTGTAGTTTTTGCAGCTTAATAGAGAACCCAGCACAAATTCTACAGTAACCTATGGAAGCAGGCCTATATTGGAAAACTTGCAACTGAAAACAAGTAGTGGAAATTGTTTTACATTGTAAGCTGTTTCAAACCCTTAGAAATATGAATACAATCAAGCAGCATAAACTTTCTAATGCAGAACAGAAACCTGTAAACATAAGACGGGGACAGAGAAATGTTACTATCCTAAAGACTAAAATATAAATCCTAAAGAGCCGAACTCTTCAAACTCCTAATGCAATAAATTCTTACTCACTCAAACCGGTTCTTTAGGGGGCTTCAGGAACAGGCTGCAAAGTAATAAAGCATTTTGTGGCGTTTTTGAGACTGTCCCCTCCCTTTTCTCCCTCCCAGCTTTTCCATCTGAAAAAAACATCAGTTTCGCCAAAGACAGATATGAATAGGGCTGGGTGCCGCTTCTGGAAGAGGCCAAGTTGTGTTGATATTTGATATAATAACTCCGACCCAAGTGGGGAAAGGGAGCCGTGATAGATGATTTGTAAGTCAATCTTTGACTTTTGCTTGTAATCAAACCTCTTTGGATTTGCTTAGAAATCACAGTCCAGACAGGAATGTCTTCTGAATCCCACTTCTTCCTGCTCCTACAGATGTAATAAAATTATATTGTGCGGAAACCGGCGCGGGGGGGGGGGAGTGGTATTTAAAATGCATGTAATCTTTCTAAATGAAGACATCAGTTGACACCTCTTGCAGCCTTGAGTGCATTTGTAGGATTCTCCCACACACAAAAAAACTTATTACTTGCATCCTTATGGCAATCCAAAAATCTACAACAGAATGAGGTAACAGAAGAATGGACTGCAGGTGGAGAGGGGTGGATCACAATTTTTAATGCTTCACTACTTTAAAGAAATAAAACCCCACTGCAAATAGAAATCTGGTATTTAGCAGGCAAAATCCTGGGCTACTCCAGTGTATTATCACTATTTATAGGTTTTTTTAAGCAGGGAAAGTGGCCCCCCTCTGGGTGGTGTTGCTGGAAGCATTCTACAGCCACATTCTCACCTGCTTCAAACCTCATTCAGCTACATGCGCAGACCCTGCCTAGTTCTCCTCCATATAAAAGGAATTTCAGAGGCCTAGAAGTGAGGATTCCCCAGGACAATGAGATGCAGATTCTTTTAGAGACACACAACAAAAACCCACCCCCTCCCCACGCTTCCTCCATTCTCCAGACTCAGAGGTCAGAGTTGAATGAACCTGAGCAAATCCAGGGCGCATGCCTAGGCTGCTATACTGATTCACATCTGGGCAGCTCCAGATGCGTTTATCTGCCATGTAATTTTGTAACAGCCACAGTCTCTGCCCAATCTACCTCTGTGGGTTGCTGGGAAAATCAAGCAGGAAGAAAAAGCTATGTGTGTCACTCTCAGTTCCTTAGAGGAAGGACAGGGCACACAAGCCATAAACGAATTAATACTTAGGGGGTAATTTGGCCAAATTTAAATACTTTTCATTTCCAGTTATTTCAAGGGGACAGAAAATTATTTGCTTGTGTCCTTAGTTAGTTAACATTTAGGGAAATAGTTCCTGTAGTTGGTGTTGACAGTCCTTTCAATAACCATGGGATGTTGGCTGGTAGTATTTGCAACAGAAAATGTTTGCTTCCATATATATAATGTAGCCTCAGAGAGCGGAGGTTTCATTTTCATTTCCAACAGGCTGACTTTTCCCTATTTGATAGTTTAACCAGGTTCAGATAATCAAATGCATTAGGTTAATGAACAAGAATAGATCAGACTAATGACAAGCCTTTAGAGAGCTTGTATTTCTAAATATATCTAAAATATATTTTAGAAGTCTGGAAGGGCCTGGCTGATTTTAAAAGAAAATACATTGGCTAATGTTACTGAACAAAAGAACTTTGAAAATATAAGTAGCAAGTAGCAAAAAGGAAATGGAACTGTTACAGGGAGCTGAAGTGGCAAAAGGCACACTCCCCTGGCATTTTCTCCTGAACATCTCACATTAAAATGAGCAGGGCTTGCACTAAGAACATCACTGTTCTTTTCCATAACCTTTATTAATTTCAGTGGGACTTGTGCATGAGAACTCAGTTGGGGATCATGCCCAGAGCATTGGTGTTAATGTGTTCAGATCCTTTCAATGACACTTGGTTGCTTCTTAGGCAGTTTTGCATGAGAAATAAGCCTATGAAACCTACTATTGAATGTTGGGCTTCATAATGACATAAGTTGATCACATATTAATTAGAGGTGTGCTTGTACTTCAGACAAACCCCAGACTAAAGTGTGGCACACAAAAAAAGATACAGGATTCATGTGAACTGAAATGAATGTCTTTCAAAGGATTCCAGGGCTCATTGGGTTGTTCCTGGACCTTTGGGACAGATTTAGAGGGACTCTGAAACACAGAAAGTGAGTCTGTATAAACTGATACACACACCAAGATCCACATATTAGTAGCATGACAGGAGAGGGGAAACGGAAAGTAAGGGGTGCAGTTTTGTGGCTAAGAGCTTGAGTTTTCAACCAGAGAATAATTTTATCAGGACTCCACTTTCTGCTTCTAATCATTCTGCTTTTGGGAAGGATGCAGAAGGAGTTTGTGGAGGACCGGTTCAGCCGTGAGACAAGGTGAGGTTATTGCCTCGGGCAGCAGGATCCACAAGGGCTGCTGCCTCCTTGGCAATCACCCGTCCACGCTGCCTCTCCAGGGGCCTCTCAGCATATATCAGGCGCTGCTGGTCTCTTTCACCCTAGGGAGGAAATGACAGGGGTTGCCCTCTGGGGTCTCCTGGGCTCTGTCCCCACCCAGCATTATTCAAAGCTAGGCCCCTTTCTCATCTCGCTTTATTGGCCGAGGGAGCCGGCGTACAGCTTCCGATTCATGTGGGCAGCATGACTAAGCTGCTTCTGGCGAACCAGAGCAGCGCACGGAAACGCCGTTTAGCTTCCCACCGGAGCAGTACCTATTGATCTACTTGCACTTTCAATTGCTTTCAAACTGCTAGGTTAGCAGGAGCAGGGACCGAGCAACGGGAGCTCACCCCATCACGGGGATTCGAACCGTCGACCTTCTGATCGGCAAGTCCTACCTAGTCTATAAATCCCTGGACCTGTCTGAGACTCAATATGCTTCTTACCCACAGAAAGGGCTACTTTGCCTTCAAATTTCATTCAATTCTGACAAAGAGAGGTCTGACCGCAGCAATATTTTAAACTCCTATATGTCTTTATGGTCAGATTCTTATTTTTCCAGATTCTTATTTTGATACTGCACATACATGTTCAGCTGTGTGGCAGTTGTACAAACCCCGAACAAAGCTCCTTATATGTCCCAGACTATTAAATGTTTCTTTAGAAAATAAAAAGCTAACTCGCTCAGCCTTCCTTGGGTTTATTTCCAGAATGGGTCACCCAAAATTTTTTTAAAAACCAAACCTGTTCAAAATAAGAAGCCGCCAAAATTATGTGAATCAGCCCTACTTTGAGTGAATCATTTAACTAGATGTGCATCTCGATGCACATGAGGGGTATTTAATTCATATTAAGCGTCTAACACAACTTCATTTAAAACCTAATAAATGATTATTACAATCTCCTCATAAGTTTGATGTTTACCTATAAAAAAAAACCTTTGGAAAAATCAGCCAAACGTACTTGAGACCAAGGAAGTCAAATAGATTCCTTATAATGTCATCAGCACTAACTAATCATCATGGGAGACAGTCCAGTTAAAACATGTCATCCTTGATCTGCAGTTCATGAGATAATTGGCTAATCTGCTGATTAATTGAATTAGTGCTTTCAGCTCCAATTCCTCTACAGCCTCCCAAAATGGGTATTGGTATGCAATGGAGGGGGGGGAGAGAGAACTGTGCTGAGGGCAACTTGACTTCCCAGATCGAATGTGCTGGAGATTCTTCCTTGTTTCCCTTCCCCATGGGAGCAATAAACAAACAGACAAATAGGCTCTGAGCACTGTTAGGCACCCACCCTAACCACCTGCTACGCCTCAAACAGCCTCCAGCTTGGGATCAGGGGAAAGAGTCAGAGGCCAAGCAGAATGGCAGTCAACTTTATAAATATCCCTCCCACAGCTGCTGAAGCTGAGGTGTCAGGCTGAAGAGCAAGAGAGATTAATTTGGGCACATCTTGTAGTATTATGAGGATTGCTTAGACAGTCGTCTAGGGTTACACACAAGCACACACACACTTTTATATTATAACTCCCACACAGGGCCGAGAAGGCTTTTGAAAGGTTGAAGGGAGGCAATCTGACAGAGAGAGCAGTTATATATTAATTACACTGAAATAAAACTGGCTGCTTTTCGGGATTGGACTGCATGTCAAACAGGGACCCTAGATAATGAAATCATTGGGCAAGTTCGTTGTTTCGACGATTCGAGGGTGACATCTGCAGAAACAGGAGCAAGGATGTGAGCTAAGCTAAAAGCTACTCAGTCTTCACAAGCTATTCCTGGGTTTCGTGGAGGAAAGGGAGTGGTCTGACCCTCCTATCCCTGAGAGTGCTCAAACCAGAGGTTTCTTCCCCCCAATTACGATGCTGTGGCTTGGGGTTTGATTGAGACCAAACGGCTGGAACTCTCACTAAATAAATTCCTAACAACTTTGCCTGGAACACCCACAGCATGTATTGGAGTAGAAGTGAGACTTACGCAGATAAAATGGTGCGCTTTTAGTTCCTTCTGTATATGTTATTTTAAACTTTTCTGGAACAAGGCAGTGATATTAGCAGCAGTTACTGGAAAGTCAAATAGGGAAAGGGGGCATTAAAACTAGGGGCACTGGGCATTAACCCCCCGGAATTTAAGATAGTGAAGCCTAGATCAATCAAAACATTGGTTACATAAGAGATTAAAGCATTTTCTCCCTAGTTTAGATATGGAGTCGAGTCAAACCACAGCATTTTCACTATACCCTCACCCTGCAAAACCTAGTCATGCTTTAGAAAGTTATTTTCATAAAATCATAGAATTGCAGAGTTGGAAGAGACCACGAGGGTCATTTAGTCAAACGCTCTACAATGCAGGAATCTTTTGCCCAGCGTACAATCGGGTCAGTGACTGAAATAAACCGATTCATTCATTCATTTGCCCAGCGTAGGGCTCAAACCAACAACCCAGAGATTAAGAGTCTCATTCATTACCTACTGAGTCCCTTTATTAATTTGCCATCTTAGATTGACCCTACCATTAGACAGCCTCAGACACAGCTGATGACCGTGGGGGTGGAGACGTTGTTGTTATTGTTGTTATTGTTTCACTTTCCCCAAGAAATTCAAAGCAAAAAGGCAGCAAGTTGTTCATTACTTATTTTTTCTTCTTGTATTTTTACTGCTAGAATGGCAGAGAGGTATCTGTGGAACTTTCCTGAATGAGGTCCAGAATACCTTGGTTAGCCTTGCCGTATATTGCACCTCGCCTTGAGGAGAGGGGTGCCATTGTTGCTCTGCTTCCAGCTGTGGGTGCTGGTGTCCATTGGGACTGATAGGGCAGAAGGCAGGGATGTCAGCAGTAGGTGGCGCAAGAGCCAATCACAAGAGCAAGCTCAGCCAACGAGAGGCAGAGCCACCTAGTTCTAGCTTTGACTCCTGTCTCTTTCCTGCTGAGGGCAACACTGAGACTAAGCAGGAGGAAGCTGGTGGGAAGGCCATGCTCTAGGCCACTTGTAAGTAAGAAGGCAGTTGGGTGAGGGCTGGCTGAAGGCAGATTAAGGTTGGTGGCCCCATTCACCATAGTGGACCAGCATCCACTGGCTTCAGGTACCAATTCAGGCACCATTCAGGCTCCAAGTAATGGCTTAACAATGTCCTGATCACTGTTCTTGGAAAATTCCAGTTGAACAGCATATACCTGAAGGAGCATCTCCACCCCCATCATTCAGCCTGGACACTGAGATCCAGCTCCGAGGGCTTTCCGACGGCTCCCTCACCATGAGAAGTGAGGTTACAGGGAAGCAGGCAGAAGGCCTTCACGATAGTGGCACCCACCCTGCGGAACACCTTCCCATCAGATGTTAAGTAAATAAACATCTATCTGACTTTTAGAAGACATCTGAAGGCAGCCCTGTTTAGGGAAGTTTTTAATGTTTTGTGTTTTATCGTGTTTTTAATATTCTGTTGGGAGCTGCCCAGAGTGGCTGGGGTAACCCAGCCAGATGGGCGGGGTATAAATATTATTATTATTATTATTATTATTATTATTATTATTATGCATCTGTGGGGCCAATGAAATTTAAACAGTGTTTCATTATGTATTCCATTGCACCATCTCTATTGAACCTGAAGACCTTAGCTAATTTTTTTGATTTTACAAAGATTGGTTGTTGTTTTTAAATAAAAAATAAAATAAAATCAGGAGAAATGTGCCACAAATCGAATCTCAAAATTTGCAATGGCTGCTCAGAAACTGAGGCAAAAAAAAAGCCTCCATATTCTTGCTAGACTGCAGACACATTCATTTGAACCATACTTCCTATGTTTGACATTTTATCATTATGACCTTTTGGTTAAACTATAAAATTAAACTTGACCTACAGCTCTCTCAGCAGAACCATGATGCCACAGAGAGATGCTGCCCAGCAATAAGACCTCTTCATCGAACAACTTCACAATGAAGTTGAGAAATGCAAGTAGAACACTAAAGAAACCAAAAAAATAAGGTGAACTCACAATGAATAAATAAGTAAAACCTTTGTTGAGCAAAGAAGAGCAAAGAAGTTTAATTTTCTTCTGTTCTTTCTGATTATTGGACCTAAAAGTACAACTACTAAAACTATATTAACAAAAACAGATGGACTAGTTGGTAGTTCTCTGGTTTATGTAAACCCCCTCTCTGAGTTATCAACATAAAAGAGATAAAAGGGAATCATATTGGAAGAAAATCTTCCCGTTTGCCTTGCCCTGACCTCTAGGGGGGTTATTTTAATGCACACTGTGACGGCCAGCACCATTTACACAGTCCACATTTTATGATGGACAGCTGTGCATAACAAACTCACAGCCTGCTCTGCAACCCAGATAAACTGAAGCTTCTTGGGCTGCGGCTGATTAAGATGTGATCCTAGGCAAAGGCACTAGGAAGCAAGACCCTCTAAAAAAACGGGGACCCGATAACTATAAATATGGATAGGATCAACTATAGGTCCTAGCCGGCAACTTTGACCCCCAACATATAACTGGCGAGCACAGCCAAATAACTCCAACTGAGTTTATTCCAAAACGGCGTGGTGAAGGTTGTGGGAATATAATTCTGCTCAAATTTTGGCACTTTTGCCGGGCTCGGAAACAGGTTAGCAAACAGTTACTCGGCACAGAAAGCAGTAACTATCCACCCAGTTAAGGAAACGTGCTTAGATTCAAGTTTAGGCCTCTGACCTAAATGTGTTTAGGGGCGCATAGTCCAGAGATGGATACTTCCAAGTCAGCGGGCCAAGCACGAAGCCATACCTTCATTGAGCTTAATGAAAATAAACACAGCATTTGGGGATTCGTTTGAAATCCCACCAATTTCCATTCCAGCAGCCTGATAATTTGCATGCGTCTGGAAGAAAATCTCGTTGATTTCAATGAAACTTTTGGGATAATTATGGGGAGGATTGCACAACTATAAAGCATCTAAACTGCTCACCTGAAGGGGGTTGTAGTTTGGGCTGTATTGCCACAGATTCATCGGAGCCGATCCCAAACTAAGGGGCAGGTTCCTCTCTGAGAAAGAAAATCTGGGAACGGGGTAGGATCCTGAGGTGTGTGTGGAGACCTCCTGCTGTCACAATTAAAAAGGGCTAAATTCTCTCTCGAAGAGGACCCCCACTGGCTGACCCTGGAGGGGGGCTGTTCCTCCACTTGCCCCACCATCCCAGTCTGACTCGGGAAGAACGTCTCCTTCCTTTTCACAAACTTTTTCCCTGCGCGCCCACTTTTAGAAGGGGCCGACGACACCCTGTTCTACTCAATGTTCTACTGCCACTGTCAGATCGGTGTCCCCAAACCCACCCAGATCGTTGCATACACCAGTCGAGGGCATAAACTATGTGTGAAAAAATCTCTGCACCTAGGACACGTGTGCGGCGCTGAGGGCGGGAGGAGGAGGAGAAGGTCGTAAGCTCATCGGGGGAAAACACACCATCACATAGGTGGCATGTGGCTGAGAGATTAATAGAAAGTGGAATCGCTGTGGAAAACGGTACCCACCCTCCCACCATCACTACCCCGAAAAATGCAAGGAAGGACACGCAAGATCATATATAGTTTTGCTTCCAGGTTTGTTTGTTCTCTGAAAAGACTCCTGAACCCTTAGTTTCTGCTGGCATCTCTTCTTGCAGTGTCGGCTGTGTACAGAACGACTGGGAAGATGCTTAGCAGGTCAGAATCTTTAAAAATGTCTCGATATTTTTTTTAAAATATCCCTCCAAACTCTCCAGTGTTATTTTATTTTTAAGGAAAAAGACCCCGAGAAGCAAGAACACTTTTCTCTTTTTCCAAGGCTGTGCCTCGGATTAACCGAATGGCGCATCCTACCCGAAAGGGTTTTTGCTTCAGCTAACCTAGTCCGGGGCGAAACTGGCAGACTGGGTTAGGCAGAAATCCAGACAAACCGAGGAGCCAGCCAAACTTCTTCCAAACTGGACTCGTCCTTTTAGGTAAAGAGGATCATCCGCCGTCCCAGTGTGCCCCCCGCCACACACACACACACACACACAGAGAGAGAGAGAGAGAGAGAGAGAGAGAGAGAGAGAGAGAGCGAACGCCCGGCGCGTTTTGCAGCGGCAAGAGCAGGGAAACAGAGGACTTGTCAGGCTTACGGGTCTAGGGCAAAGCCCACGCGGGAGGAGAAATACGTATTATGACGGGGAGTAGCGGGAGAAAAGACGGGGTGCGAAGTTAGAGCCGTGTTTTAGGTTTCTTCCAGGACGCGTTTAGGTTGGGCGGCTCCGCAACAGCACCAAAGCTCTTTAAGAACTTTTAACTATGATCCGGTGTTTTAGAGGACAGCTGCAAATATTGTTGTTGTTGTTTAGTCCTTTAGTCGTGTCCGACTCTTCGTGACCCCATGGACCAGAGCACGCTGCAAATATAATGAACGCTGAATTTGAGGCCTGGCGCAGGGCGCAGATCGTGGCCCGCTGCGTTACAAGAGGTAACCAGCCACGCTTCTTGTGTATAGAGCGGGCTTCGTTAAAAAGCAACAGCCAGGTCTCGCCTTGTGCTTTTTATCGTTGCAGCGAGATCCCCGCCACACACCCCATTCTTGGTTTAAGTAAGCAAGTACTGTGCTTCCCTCCCGCCGCCCACATTGTTGGCGTCAGAAATAAATGTCAATAATGATCGCGATAATCTCGGGATCTAGGCGGCTGTTGCAATGGGCTCTTTCCCCTAACGATTTGCCTTTTGTGATTTTTTTGGGTGACTATTATCTTCTTGCTGCAGCCAGTCCCTGTTTCTGTTCTGGTTTGGTGCTTTGCGCAAATGCCCCTCGCCTCGACCTCGCGTTTCCCTTCGCTATTCTCCTTTTCCGACCCTCAGCCCGGGGGATTCCTTCGAAACGAATCCGCTGGGAGCGGGGGTGGAGCAGGGATCGCCGTCGGTCCTGCTAAGTTGAAAAACATCTCGCTTCTATGGGACTGCAAACAGCTGAACAATGTGCGCCCTCCTCCGAGAGGTGTGGGGGGAGTAAAGCGGTGTGGGGGTTTTGGGGAAGGGTGGGGAAGGAATCCCCCAGATAGATCTCTCTATATTCTTTCCTTTGTGTAAGAACTTTCGAAACCCAAGTCTGGATTCCCGGATTCGCGGCCCCTCCAGAAAATCAATTTTCGCCTCCGGAATCTCAAACGTCTTTCTTCGCAAGGTCTCTTTCCGACGGTTCCTAGAAGCGCTTATCGAAGGGCTATTAAATGCGGTTCCAGGAGACTTGGGAGGCTATAACGAGGGGCAAGGAAGCTGCTGTCCCGCCCGCACCCGTTATTCTCTAATTCTTTCCGAGGCAGAGCATAATTAAGACATTTGTAATTAAGACGAGCCCTCCAATTTATTTATTTTTTTACAAAATCACCCCACTTGAAGTAGAAGTAATAAGAGAGGGAAGGAGTTCGATTCACAGCAGAGAGGGCCCTCGGGGAACACGGCTGTGAGACGGGCCTTGTCCTACTGAGTTAAAATAATTCACCCGTGAGGCAAAGTGGGAAAGGCCCGCGAACTGCAAATCGGACTGAAAGCCACTATATTTCAGAGACCGATTGACCGGGCAGTTCTCCTGCGCAAAGCTCCACTGACTGCTCGAGGAAGTGGCTGGAAAACATCCCAGGGAATTGCGCTTTTCCGAGACTGGACGGCAAAATCCAAAAATCATGCAGAATCCGAGCGAGGTGCGACTCGCTGTCCCCCGACGGGGCTTCGGCTACAGCGGAGAGGTCAGAATAGGGATTTTGTTTTGTTTTTTAAGCCTCATCGCATTGAGGGGAAGTGTAGGAAGCGGGGAAAGGACTTGCAAAAAGGACTTCGATCCTTGTCTACGTGGAAATCTAAGCCCGCTGGAGGCTCGACGGCACTTTGAAGTGGGCGCTCGCTCGATCCTCCCAGCAAGGGACTGACTTCGAGCGGGCAACTTCATTAAACAATCCACCGGTAATTCTGGCCTGTATTTATACTCCTAGGCACACGAATTGACTTAAGGTTTTAACCCAAAGAAAAGGGATTTACTGCAACAGGAAAAAATTACGTTTTGGAAAATTACAGATTTTCAGCTCTTTCCTACTTTTGAAGTCCTTATTTTTTAAAAAATAATATTCACAGTAATTAAACAACCGTCGTTCGAATTATAACTGAAGTGATTTGACACATACAGCCAAACAGAGAAAAAAACGGATTTCCATCAAATGGCGTTTTTAAACTCTTTCTCGCAATAGTGTCATTGGAAGACCAAAATAATTTACAGGAAGCACTGCTTAAAACGGGAAACGGTTAAAAAGCTGAAAATTCAAAACGATCACCTGGGATGTCAGGAATTATTTGTGGAGGCTACGATCCCACGTATACACGTAAGGCCCCATGCACTACATGGGACTTACTTCTGAGTAAGGCTGCTTAGGCTCATATATATACATACGGATCACAAATACAGCTATAGATACAGCTATAAATAAATATAGTAGATATATGGCATGCGTCCTGAAAGACCAGGATGCGGAAGAGGAACCGACGTGAAGAAGTAGACAAGTCTTTGCTAACACTACACCGAGCCCGCTGGAGCCGTGGCGAAGGAGAGGCGGATCCGGTCCTCGCAGGAGCCCGGTCCGTCCATCCTCGCTGCCGGGCTCCGCGGGCCAAGGACTCTGAAGTGGAGCCGCTTGAACGAAAATAGTCTCCAAGCTGGGTTGCCAATCGCGGCGCCTCTTTCCCGCAGGACCCGCAGCCCAGCTCCCGCCCGTGGGCCCAAGACCTGGTCCTGTGGCGTCCCTGAGTGAACTTCCCCGGACTTCTCCGCGCTCGGAGACCCGAGTCTCCATCCCGGGATATGTTCGCGGTAGGAGCGCGCGAGGAGGCGCCCCTTTCCCAGCTCTCTCCCGGGCCCGGCAGTGGCGAGGTGGCAAGGAGCGTGCGTCGCCCACCCAGCGCCGCTTGGCCCTTCGGGGGGCGCTCTTTCGATTGCCTTGATGCCTTTGGCTATTAATAGCCATCAGCGGGTCTATTCCTGTCCTGGAGGGGCGAAGGGGGTGCCTGGCAGCAAGAGGAAGGCAAGGCAAGGCAAGGGGTGGGAAGGCCGAGTCCCTGGGGACGCCCGGGCCAGGGTTCAAGAGATACAGTTTCCCCGACGGCTATTAAAAACCACAAGCAACATTGAGGCGATTCCTGCATTTCAGGGGGTCGGACGAGACGGCCCTGTGGGTCGCTTCCAAAGCTACCATTCTGCGGGGAGGCTGTGCTAAATTAACCTTCCCGAAAGATGTCTCCGTCGGTTGCAGCCTGAATGGTTTCCACCAGGAACCTCCAAAAATTCGGCCATTATTCCGGGGCCCCTCCAGCAACACCTGTCGGCGGAAGGTCAAGCCTTCGCAGGCCAGAACGAACGCCTGTCTCGCTGGACGGGCTCTGGCCTCGCATTTGACCACGACTTCCGCGTGCCAAGAGGACTCTCCAGCCGCCCCAAGGCGCGTCCGCGGACCCTTTCGTTCCTTCCTTCTCCCCCTCCCCAAATCCAACCCCGTCCAGGCCACTCACCGTTGGCGTTGAGGTCCAAGCACTGGGCGGGGTCGTCGGCGTCCGGCAGCTGCCCGTCGGGGCTGAGGCTGTCCATGGACAAATCCAGGCCTTTGTCGTCCCAGTCGCGGAGCTTCCTCTTCTTGTGCGAGCCGATGAGGGCCTCCACGGAGAAGGCGTGCGCTCGCGAGCTGAGGGCCACTGCCGAGCGCCTCCTCTCGCTCATTTTAGCCGCCCGACGGGGTGAGTGCGTGCCTGGCGAGTCCCGCGGCCCGAGGGGCAGGCACGCCGCCAGCTGCCCAAGCGCTGGCCGGAGGGAGGGCGACGCTGGCTAGCTGGCTGGTTCACGAGGCTGGGCCCCAGCAAGAGGCAAGCGGGGAGGCCGCCTCGACGTGAGAGCGCCCAGCGGCCGCCTGGACGCTACATGGATCCGCGGAGCAGCGCAGACGACCCACCGACCGCCCGGATCGCCGGCGCCGCTCAGAGTCGCGGCGCTTGCAGGCTGCGCTTCATTCTTTCCTTTCTCTCCCCCCCTCCTTTCCCTCCCTCTGATTGATCCAAACTTCTGGGGAACTTTCTTCTCTCCCCCACCCCAACACCCCCGACGACACCGCCAGGCTGTGCGCGCCTGTCAGGAGAGAGCCGCAAAGCCCCTGCCCAATGGAAAGGCGCGCAGGCCAGGGACCTCGGCGCCCCGGAGCCAATGAGGAGGGGGCGGGCCAAGCGCCCGGGCTGCTTCTCCCAGCTTGGCTCCTCCTGGGCAGCTGCGCGCGGAATTAACCCTTTGCTGGACGGGAGCCGAGCAGCACTCACTCCCCTCCGCCATCACGCAGCCACTCTCCCTTCTCTCCCTCCAAAAACAAGCCGAGAGGGCGCCTAGCCCCCCACCCTGCCCCAGATGCTAGCCCCCACCTACCCACCCTCATCACTGGCATCTTGCATAAGATTCTCCCCCACCCGCTCCCCCCCAAATATGCGAAGCTGCTCGGAGAAAAATCGACAACGCCGACGACCGCATGCAGGAGGGATCGTTTTCCACTTCTGCAAATGCTACCTTTTCTTTCAAGCGAATTAAAGCCGCGAGGGTTGGGGGAGCAGCAGCGAGGTTTCTAAAATGTACTAACCAATATATATACATATCTCCTTGAAAATGAAGTCCGTTATGAGGGTTTGGCAGTTCCACGGCGAAGTCCTGTTTAAGCAAACTGAGCCGGCATTCCGCCCGAGTGCAAAGTTTTGTGCGCGCGCGAATAGCTTCTTTGGGCGTTATTGGATGAGATTTAAACTGGTTTCAATCCAGGCAAACTTCGATGTTGGTAGGTTGATGGGTGGACGGGAGGAGGGACTGTCCGTAAAAACCTTCGGCCTTAGAAAACTCTTTCAGGTGTGCGTCCAAAATGCATAATCACAGCGACCGAATCAAAAATCAACAGAGGCACAATACATTTCTATATCACGGTATGACGGCGACGGCTATTCGATGTTTCCTATCCTATAACCTATCCTAAACATATTTCCTACGCCTCTTTACATCTAATAATGTATGGCATGTATTGACCATACTAATAACCCATCCGCATAATTCTGATAATCGCTCTGCAAGACTTACAGGCCACATTCCCACGGACTCAAAGAGGTTTACTGGGGATGGGCGAAGAAAGAGCACTGTAAACGGCAACAAAAAGGTGGATGCGATAAAAGACGCGGGCAGGATCTAGCCCAAGGTAACAGCCACTTTTAAGTTGACCTCAGAGTGAAGGCCGTCGTGAAGGCTGCGATTCTAAACTCTCTAGCTTGGGAATGCCTCCCGACGAAATCAGCGCACAGGAGCCGGCAGTAAAAATCTGTCCCGGTGAAATCAAGGCAGGCTGCGATCCTGTGCATTTCCCCTCGAATTAAACCCTAATTATTCCCGCAGAATTTACTTGCCAGTAAAGCATGTAGAGGCTTGGGCTGCCTGGTTTTGGGGTTTGGGCTGGAATCGGCCTCTTTATGGAGAGGATATTTTATTTTATTTTAACCAAATTTCCCAGTTCATAAATCCGGGCAAAAGCGAAGCGGAGACGTCATTTTTTAAATAAAATGTCCATCTCTGTTTTATTGCTACATTTCATTCCCCCTACACGCCTTTCTATGTTGAGACACAGAAACAGAGAAACAAACTGCCCAATAATCCCACAGCGTTTAGAGAGAGAAAGAGACGCAGGGAGCGCAGGCACGCAGCCGAGCGCGCGAATCGTACACCAAGCCTCTCCTGCATCCATAGCAGACAAAGGCGAAAGTGTCATAACCGACGCTCGCAGGCTGCTGCTCTGGACGGCAGAAAGGACGCGGGGACATGCAGGCAGCCAGCTACCTAGAAAGCCACGTCGGGGCTAGCTAGGCAGCGTCTCATTGCGGTCCCTTGGCACGGCTGAACCAGACTTTTGCTGGGGCCAAAGGCAGCCTAAGGCACAAACCTCCTTCTTCGCATGGATTTCAGGTCCTCTGAGACCGAAGAACCGACGGGGAGGGGGCTGGGAAAGCCTGGGGAAGATCAGGTAAGGTATCCCGCGGGCGGGCGCAGTGCCTCGCGGTGGCTTGGACGGGCTGCTCCGCTCGGAGTTGACAGCGACAAATAGCGCGCGGGCGCGCACCAAACTCTCCCTCTCGCCGTCTTTTTCTTTCGATTAGACTTCCCCCGACTATGGTGACCCACCATGCCAAGAAAGCGGGGCTTCTTCGTCAGCTTTTGCGCTCATATCCTCTCTTTCGCCAGCCTTGGAATCGCACGAAATTTGCAGGAGGCTGAATTCCGGCAAAGCAGCCGGAGGAGGGCGAAAGTTCGGGTCCTCCACGCAAAAGCAACCGTGGTGCGTCGGGGAAGGAATGGCGGGCGTCAGAGCGCGCGATTCTCTCAGTATTTGGGCGGACTCTGCAATGCAAAGGCTCTTTCGGAGAGGAATAGATGCTTGGGGAGAGCGGGTAGGCAAATAGGTGAGGGGCTCATTTTTGTATTAAAACAAAAACGAAGGAAAATAGGAGCTACCTGGGGAAAGGAGATGAATTTTTTAACGTTTTGACTAGCTTTTTTTTTTTAAGCCGCTCATTCGTATCCTAGGAGACCCTTTCTAAAACCAAAATCCTGGCTTTAAAATAGACAGAATTATCTACTCACCTTTAATCCTTGTAAAGCCGGCGGATTTTGATAGTGTTTATGTAACAGAAAGCTTTGTGAGGAAAATTTAAGCGCTCTCAGAAGAGGCAGTGACACTTTGCCAATTTTTTTTTTTAAATCTTGGGTGCAAGTTCTTTCGATTTCCATGACACTTCAATGCTGCAACCCTAAGAACATTTACTCGAGAGTAAAGGCTCACTGGAGCCAATTATATTTGCGTGAGCATGCTCTGCACGTACATGGGTCCAGTCAATTCAATGGTAGACACCTGGACTGATTTGCTAGTAAATAAACAGGGTTCGAGTGGAAGGGGGGCGCTGAGTGAGACTCCTTAATCGTCCCCCCATCCTAAGCACACTGATGTGTACGCAAGTTAAGTGGAAACCAACGGGATTGAGTTGCTATCCATTTAATGACTGGTGATAAACCCAGCACAGAAATGAAAATGAGTTTAACCAAATCTCATTTACTCTTGCATGTTGCCTTATGGCCTGTGAGCTTCATTCGCCCACATCACGGTCCCAGAACAAGTGGCCTGCAAGGTACCTGGCTCTCTGGAATCTGTGCTACGGACGTCCAACTAAGTGCAAATAGTCTGGGCGTATTTTGTTTTAATAATAATAATAAATTATAATAATAATAATCTGCACGCAGTGTTTCGAAAAGATAAGCGACTATGGCCACTCTGCGCCTCTTTCAGTCTGATTTGGCGACGCCAAAAGCGCGCTGAATTCCTTTGGCGTTTCTTCGCAGTTTGGAAAACATATTTAAGTCGATTTTTCCTTAGGGCTCCAAAGGTGACAAATATTTACTCGACTTCCACTGCCCGCATTACTTCCGCGCGCGCTTCAGAAATTAATCCGAAATTAAGTGGTCCGACGACGCAGTCAAAATCCACCAGCCAACCGCGGAGGGAAAAGGCGGGCCACAGTGATTGCGGGCAAATCTGGAGCGAATAGGAAAATCCGGGGGCGAACAGCTCTTCTACTCGGAAGTAAATCCCATAGAATTAAATGGGATTTGATAGCAAGTTAATGTGCGTGAGATAGCGCCCACCCAGGCAGACAACTCACCGCCCCCTCCCGTATCGCTCTCCTAGACTTCGCTCACCTACAAGACCTGTCTCAAGGTCACGATTCCGAGCCCATCTCTGTCCTTCCTTCGGATTTTTCTGTCTTTTGTTTAACTTCCGAGAGATCCGCCTCCACTCCGAAGCACATTTACCCGGGAGTGAGAGTAAGAGCTCCGTGGCAGCTAACACGTTTATTATGGCATAAACTAGCCTTGAGACCGCCACGAGGTTGCGCAGCATCCTACGAGCGGGGCTGCCTCCTAAAAGTCTTTGCGAGGACGGAGGTCCGTTCCAGGACATTGGGAGGACCCCAAAGGTCGTCCCCCCCGCCCCACAAGTTTTAGGTGGTGGCCTATGTGTAAACACCGCCGTCGGTCATTTCGGATTAATTTCGGATTAATTAGCTGTTTACTGACAATCGCTCCCATCTCCCCACCTGAATCCTTTGCTGTGTGGGATTTTCTATTTCTTCTTCCTTGCAAAAGGAAGCGCCCCTCTCTCGCTCCACACACAATGCAGACCGATTAGATGAGCGATTATATATGATGAGAGCCTTTATCTCCCTCTTCACGTTCTCTGGAGTGATAATGCCTTTAGATTTTGAAACCTGGAAGCCCTAGTCCAGAGTTGCAGTCTTGCGCACCCTTAGGCCCGTTTCGGCCTGAGATAGTAAGCCTGGGTCTGGAATGTGTACCAGCTCAGAGACCCCAGGAATGGATTCATTTGCCTGTGTGCTTCTCCCGAGTCCCACAAAAAAACAAAGCAGGAAGAAAACGCTGCACGCATAATGAGCTTCACTTGGCATGCTGTGGGCACATAGCCTTTTTATTTTATTTGGTGCGAAGGATAATTCCATCAGACTGGCCTCCACCTGCGATCTGAGGTGCCGCAGCGCAGATCCATGTTTCCCATCTCAACCTTGTGCCTAGCAGGGCTTACTTCAGAGTAGACCCTGCAGGGGCTGCCCCCGGGAAAGCTGCGTCCTCTACCTAACCAAGCTGAAGCGTGGAAGCGCACCGTTCAATAAATGCACTTCAAAAACCACGGATGGGAGAAGAGGGTTTTGCGCTAAAGCCGGTTAAAACGCTTATAAGTAGTAGCACCGTCAACTACCCCATCCCCACAAAGGGGAGGGTTAGTTTGCCCATCCCGGAGAAGGGGGGAAGAACTTGTTGAGCCCCCCCTCCCCCGCTTTGTACCAGGCTCGGCTAAGTAAGGGGACCTTGCGCAATAGCTGCAGAGCGCTCAGCCGGGCCGGCCGGCGGGGTGGGCTGGCGTTCTTGTGATTTATGGTCCTTTACTACCTTATTAGATGGTCTTT